TTTGAAAATGTAATATAACAAAATGATAATAATTTATTCTGATTGTGTATTCATCACAATAGTAAATGATGATAACAATGGTGAAGATGAGGATGAAGATGAAGATAATCAAACAAAAAAGTAAGAAGCTAAAATAGATTAGCTTTTTATTATTAACCTTTATCATCTTTATTGATAAACAAGTTATCATCCTCATCATCATCATCAGCTTCAAGATGAAATAACAGTAATTTCAATGGTTGGTGATGAGGATGGAGATGAGGATGATAATGATGATAAAGGGAATAATAATAATGTATTTTACACCTCATTATTTCACAATAACAAATAATAACATTTAGTTAATTTCCAATCTTTTTATCATAATATATTGACCCTTCTTGACCCCCTGGGTGTGTCTTCTGTGTTTGTGGTCATCATGAATGATTTTTTGCTTCTTTTCTTGAATAAATTAACAGAGAAAATAAATCAACATGTTAATCAACTAATGATCGTTAAGGAGTTAATATAACATCGAGTAAATCATTATATTATTATTACATTTGGTCAGTGGAGTTTTTTTTTACTTGGGATACCAAACTGACCGGAAGTAGTTGCGAGTCCAGACAAGCAGCAAAACAATTACTTTGTTTATCATCATCATTATTTGATCATATGAATCAATTGGTGAACATGAATCAGTAGATTTTGTGTTTTTTATGATCCATGAAATAAAACAAAAAATTCAGAATGAATGTTGATGTTTGTTTCTGGAAGAAAACGGAAACGGAACCACTTTCCTTTTTGCAACTTTTCCATCCTCATTGGGAGTTAAATGGTTACCATTATGAAGATTTGATTGATCTCAGGTCATTAGGAACTTCTTCTGAATTCTGAGATGTTCAATGGTGAGATTATTCAGATTTCATGATGGAATTAATTTTTTCTTTCTCAAGTTCAATTAAATCAATTACGATTAATCAACAATCTATTTGCTTATTCATCATTTCTCATCAAGGTAAATTTCGTTTTCTTGAGTTAATTAGTCCTGATTAAGCTTATAATTAGTATATTGTTCATATAATTGAATCTAAATTGTGCTTGATTAAAGGTAACAACTAAATGGTTAATTAATTAAACCTCATGTGAAACTTTTTCTGTTACAATTAAAAAAACAAATTGATATGAAAAATAAATGATGTTGCTTAATGTTATTAAATTGTGAATCGGTTGATTGTTAAATTATTAATTGTTATTATGTTATTATTACGATTGATGTGATAATAAATTTATGATTAACTTAGATAACAATTTATCAAATTAATTGTATCTCTATGTGTATGTTTTTCCCAATGTAAACAAAATAATTAATCAAATCAATTTATCTAATTAAAATTATGATTACAATTAATGTTTTTCTCAATTTAATAACAATCTTGCTTATTATTATTACATTTAGTAATTAGTTGTAACAATTAAACTTGAAATGATTAATCAAATTTAATTGTAAACTGAATATTATTCTTGTAACAATTTTCGGTTGATTAACTTGATCTGAATTGTTAATCACAATCAAAGATATTCAATCAACTTGATTTGGTGATAATAAAATTTTTCTTTACATTTCCTCTTCCTGTTTAATCAACTTGATCAACTCGATTACCATGAAATATAAAATGATCACAATTGATGACGATAATTAAATTGATCAGATGATTTTCATTAAATCTCTAATTGTTGATTGATTATTTGAAGAAAACAAAATGATGAAAAGTAAATTAAAATCTCACCAAGGTGATCATTTACTCCCTCGGGAGACACACCCAAAGTGATGAGGATGGAAATGATTAAGATGGAAAAAGTTTCCAATAAAAAGTTAACTGTAAATTGGAAAAACTCAGTTGACAAGTTAAATTAACTAACAAATGGTTTACATTAAATTCAAGTTGATTGTTGTTCTCAATATTTAATAGCGATCAATAAATTTCACTTATTATTTGAAATTGAAAACTATTAGATTGATAATATTGATGGTCAAGTCGATGATAACTTTTAAACTGACCTTTGAAGTCAAGGTTCAGTTACTATTGGTCATCATTATCACCATTTCTATATAAAAGTTAAATGGTCAACTTTTCATTTCCATGGGTCATTTAATCAAAGTTATCATCTTTATCGTTAAATAATACAATACATATAGATAGAGATATTTGTTAATTTTATATTTATCGAGTTTAATTGATTGACTAATTATTATAATTGTAATGATTACAATTGATTTGTTATCATAATGGTGATTTAATTTTTCCGTTTTAATGGTAAAAGATAATATAATTTGAAATCAGCTGATTTTCATTGTGATTTGTTGTACAAATATACTAATGATTGTGTTTGTTGTTTGTTTACCATTAAACTAACAATTAACTTTTATCATTTTTCAACAAATTGTTGTTTATCCTACGGCAAATTATATAATAATAGTTACAATCAATTTTAACTATCGTTGACTTTACCTGTTGTCACATTATCATTGTTATTTCAATGATTCTCATTCTTGTAATCATTTTGATTCAAGTTTTAAATCACATTTCAACCATTGCACTGATTTAGCAATGATTATAATGATCATGATTTATCTTAAATTGCTGATAACAATTTACTAACTATAAGGTAAAGAAAATGTTGAAAATCCCTTGGAGCAATTGAACTTCAATTGGTTGGACAGGTAAGCAAACAAACAACAATCACATTTGTAATGATGATGAATTAGAGAGAGAGAGAGAGAGAGAGATTCAGATTCACAGCCATGGAACTGAATTCAACTGAATTCTGAGATAAAATTGTTTAGTGTATGAAGAAAATTTGAAAATAATGGATTAGCATTTTGAGTTATAAATTGATTGTCAAATAGAGTTGATACAATTTGACAACAAGAGATGTCGAGAAATTGAAAAAAAAATCAAAACAAGAATTGACTTCATTTGAATAGGTTATTTGAATAATAAGAAATCAAATTGAATTTTTTTTGTTTGATTGATTGAAAGAATCAAATAGTTTACAACACACAAATAGTATTTGTAAATGTGTCTTCTGGTTCTTAAATAACAGTATTAGGTGGATGAGTTAACGGTAAAAATATAACCAGTGATGTATTGAGATGATGGTGAAGATGCTGCATGATAGACATCATCATATGGTGATTAGGGGATGAGGTGAGATAAGATTAACATTTAAAGATGAATTGAGTTTTTGAATAGTTTGAAAGATGAACAAAAAAAAAAGAATAGGGAAATTATGTTGATGGTGATGATGATGGAAACACTGTTAACACTTTCACCATGATTAAACTTTCTCCAGGCAATGAGTGTTTTCCCTCTTCTTTCACTTTTAACAGAATTTACTTTATCTCTCCTCTTGTGTTTTTCTCATGAAAATTTCTCACCTTCTTGTTATTCACCATATTTTATCCACTGAATCATTTTGAATACAATATAACGAAAGGTGTAAAGTGTTAACTCAATTGGCTCCCAAGTGAATTGTGACTGAAACAAGAAAATAAGTTGAGAAAATGTTGATTCCAGGTAATAAGAATTGGGGTTGACCTCGTCAATTGATGCAAATTGTAAAAGTAAAAGTGATTGGACAAGCGAAAGGGGTTACAGGGTATCCTAGAATAACCATTGGAATATACGAGTTCAGTTCTGTTCTTTTCATCTTTTTCTCTATTAACCTTTAACTCCTCTTTCTCTCTCATCTGATATTTAAATACAGAATTTCAACCAATTATTGTTAAGATGATTTTCTAATTCGGTACAATACAAGGTTAACTCTCTTTCTCTATCAGAAATATTACTCATCTTCGCCATGGAATCGCTTTCTTTTTGCTCACCTTTGCCTTTCCTTCAATTTGAATCAGATAAATTAGATTATCATTGAACAGAAAAGTAACAATTGTTAAATTGATAGAAAACTGAAACATTGTATCAAATTAGGAATAAAAAATTATAATGATCAACTAATTAACTTTTCATTTTGTTTCATTTTTCATCCCCGGAAGAAAAAAATTCAATTCATTTGATTGAATTAACAAGATCATCGATTCGAGTATTTAATCAGCTGATTAACTGTTTTCGTTTTGACAATTTGATTGATTTTCTTGTTTTTCTCTTTCTCTCAAGTTTATTTAACTTCTTATTCCAACTCTGATTCTATTAAATATTATGTTAAATTGTTTTTAATCAATGATTGAATTGGTTCATTTGATGGGTTAAGTTAATTATTTATGAAGCCAATTTATGTTTACCAAATTCAATTATTTCTTTTCCTTATTTTCTTCTGGTCTTTTGATTCTCTTCCATCAAAATCTTTACCTTTTTTTACCTTTATCATCATTTCTAACTGTTTGTGACTTGTTATCATCATCTTCACGATTCTCTAACAACCTTAATGATATCAAATTCTCCCGGTAACTTTCATTTATTACATTCTATCATATGTGTGAATCAACTGTTGTTTTCTATGGTCAATCCAGAGGTAAATTGTATCTTCCTAATATCATTTTTGTCAACTTTTTATTGTTCTTCATCTTTATCACAATTCTAACATTTTCTATCTCTTTCATGATAAATATCATAACCCAAGAAGACAAGCTGATAGCCGACTAACCCTTGACTTAAATCAAGGAAAAATTGTTCAGTTGCTATTTTCTAATATGATAATCTAGTTGGATATTTATCGTGTTGTAGATTAGATCAGAAAATTCAGTGAAATTAAGGTGAAACTAACACCATGACAATACAACGAACAATATCTTCACTCAATTTACTCATAAATCATTTGAGATGTTTTTGTTTCTACTTCGATCAACTTGATCATCTTGATTAAAGTTTTATGATTTCATGGAAAAAAGTTTCATTACTTTCAAAGTTTTCCTTCAACAACAATTATCTCATTGGATCAGCGTACTGAAGTTTCAATGTCAAGTTCAATCAATATTCAGACAAGGAAATGGTTTTGATTGTTTTCATTTTTTAATTGTTATTTTTCATATTTTTTACTTTCATTGAGTTGACTTGACAAACGAAAATCATATTGGAACTATTTGTATATTAATACAATCGGTTATAAACATGGTGATTTAATATTTAGATTACGGGAAGATTGCATCGATGGTTTTTCTTGTTCTTTGGTAATTTTTGCATGATGGCTCAGGATATTCAATGGATTATCTTCAATAATTTAGATTGCATTAGATTAAGCATTTGAATGTATAAATGTTAATAACAATCATATTTATCCAGCAAAAGATTGAACAAAGTGTGTAAATGTTGATCTCTTGTTATGATTTTCCAAGTAAAAGCAAGAAAAACAATCAGCTTGATTGGGATAATCTCTCGTTGATGTTGATATCGATTCAATTACACAATAATTACTGCTAATTGTCTTTTTTATTTTAGAAAATTTTCAAGATGATTAAAGAAATCGGGAGAACAGAATTAGAAGTCTTGATTAATTGATTGCATATTTATTCAGTGATCAACTGTTCCTCGATGCTAACAAGGTTTCACAGTGTTCCTTGGCCTTACGACGTAACTCGTTGACACCACTGGAAGCTGTTACGACCGTTGATGATGAGGAAGATGAGGATGAAGATGAAGGTGATGACGAGGATAATGGAGATGTTGATGAACAAGTAATGGAAATCGGAGTTATCGTTGATGAAGATGCTGATATTGTGTTGATTGATGAATTTAATATTGATTCTTGACTTGTAACCGGATTTATGGTTGTTGTTGTTGTTGAAGGATGAGGAGGAGGTGGAGGTGGTAAAGGTGAACTACCTGTTCGAGGTGACAAATCTAATCGATACTTGGCCATGTTATTAATCAGTGTTGAGCTCAGTGAATCAGCATTCGCACTACCTGATGACCCCGAATTTGAACCGTTCCCAGAATCAGTTGGAAGACAACATCCACACATACCTGGAAAATCAATCAATCAATTAGTAATCAAGCTATTTACAAATGTTACTTTTAGAATGTTTTTAAATTGATCTTCTCTTTCTTTCTCTTTCTTTTTCTCTTTCTCCTTCTATACCTGACAAAAAGGTGGAGTCGCAACTTTGTCCTACCCTATAAGTTAATTTATTTACTTTTTCCTATTACACAGTTGATTGGATCAATTAGATTCAATTGTAATCATTTAAATTGCTTCTTTAAATGTTTAACTCTTTTCTTTAATCACTTTCATTTAGTTGAATCAATGATCATCTATTATCTTGAGGGTAATTTGATTAACCAACTTTGATAACAAAATTGAATCGCTTTGCTTACCTTTGAAATTAGCTGATGAATAGGCAGCTAATTGTTGAGAGATGAGCATCGGATGATAAGCTGATAGTAAATGAGGAAACCTGAATATGCAAATGATGATAAGACAAGAGAGAAGTGATTGTTAAAATCAATTAACAATTTACATGAGTTGATTAGATACACACTTTGTATTAGTTGTTAATTTAAATGTTCAATTGATTTGGAGAAATGTATTAGTTTATTTTAATGTGATCAACAACATTAATTTGCAGAGTCTAAAGTTAAACTCAACTTGTTAATTAGATTAATAAGAATTGAATTTAAAATTGGTTCGTGTAAGTTTTTCAATTTCAATTGTTCATTTTGTGTTTCAATTGATTAATGAACATTTGAATTGACTCATACCGTTAATTTAACACTAATCCTGATCAACTTTTATCACCTTATTATTGAACATTTAAGTTAATTGTTTCATTTAATTACCTTTCAGTGACTAGAGGAGACATGAGTGGATAACGGAAGTTAAGTAGAGATGATGACATTCCCAATGATGGTCGCCATAAGGAATGGTCAAAATGTGAGGCCATTTTACTGATTAATGGTGAAGTTAATGTTAAATTGTCTTTAACTATTGCAGAGGATGAAGATAATGAGGTTGGTGTAATTGTTGTTGTTGTTGTGGTTGTGGTTGTTGTCGAGGGTGATGATGAGGTTGTCGTTGGTCCTCCGGTCGGTGTTAATGTTGTCATCATTGAAGGTGGTGTTGTTATTGATGAAAGTGACAATGATAATGGCGATGATAATGATGAGGGTGTTACTGATGTAATTGTTGTGGTTGTTGAAGATGTTGATGTTAATGAGGTAGATGATGAAGCGGAAGATACTGCTGATGAGGATGGAGATGATGATGATGAAGATAATGCCGGGGATGCTGATGATGATAACAATAATGAAGTTGTCATATTATTGTTGAGTATAGGTTTAACAAGGAGTCGAGATGAGAGTTGATGGTTTAAATGATGATGATGATGATGATGATGATGAGCTGCAGCAGCATTTAGATGGTTAAGATGGTTTAAATGGTGGTTAAGCTGATTATGATGAGCTGTAAGTGGATGATCACCCACACCGAGACTCCCATTTCCACCCACAACTGAAGATGAATTAAGATGAACCGCATTAAAAAGCATCTCTTCCGGACTATTGTAACAATTGGTAACTTTTGATGGAACTGCTGAAACTGTGATTATATTATTGGATGAAGAGTCACTCATATCTAGATCATCGTCATCATCGTCATCTTCATCTTCTGGACAAACTGAATCAGGACGATCCATGATATTTATGTCATCTCGATCTTTAGGTGACCCATTGATGGAAAGGTCAACACTGTCCACTCCATTTCTATCTCGATCTTCCTTTTCTTTGCGAAGTCTTTCCGCTTTTCTCCACTTGGCTCGTCGATTTTGAAACCAAACCTGAATTCGAAAATAGTTCAAACACAATTAACACAATAAATTCAATGATCTGAATCGAAATCCTCAGAAAAAAAGTAAAAGATTAACCCGAAAGTGTCAAAATAATAAACCATCAACAATATTGGCAAGTAAATTGGATGATAATTTGTGAACAATTTATCTCATCCCCTGTTAATTTTATCTCACACCGATTATGTTGCTTGTCAATTGGAACAATATTTTTCTTTCTTCGACTGTATTTCCACCATGGTTGATGATCTAATCTAATCTATTACCTTCAAGACTGTTTACCCAATCTATTAACTGTTAACTTTATTGTGAAAATTGGTGAGTTAAGTTAATTTACTGTTTGCTTACATGTTAACTGTCCTTCTCTTTTTTTCTGGTCATTTCTTCACATTGTCCAGTTCTAGAGACAAATGGATAAGTTTAAAAAGTTAACCTGATTTATTCATTCTTATTATTGTTTCTTTCCTTTATCAAGTTATACCTTATTTATTATTATCATCTTTTCACTGGTACTTTCATGGTCTCAGGAATAGTATATAATCAAATTGAGTTGAAATTTTGAGAATCAAAATCAATAACGGAATCGAGTAACAAGTGAGTTAACTGGTCATCATTATCGGAATACAGAAACGTCAATTTTTTTTTCTCAGCGAAATGAAATAACCTGAGAAAAAGTTTTATCAATTTCATTTGGTTTCTTCTTTGGCTTTAACATCATCTCTTCCTCATCCCAAAAATAAAGAAAACTTTCATCATCATCATCATCATCTTCTTCGTCTTCTCTTCAATATTAAGGATGGTAATGTGTAAAATCCAATAAAATTACCTAATCGAATGAGATTTGGGAGTAAAACTCAAATCCAATCAATCAACCTGATCCAGAATTCAGACAACACTTTCAACAATAACATGATAAATCAAGAATCCAGGGAGAGAAGATGAAAATTAAATAAGAAAGAAGATACAAAACTGAAGATAGAGAAAGAGAATAGCCAATGGAAAGAGAGAGAGAGAGAGAGAGAGAGAGAGAGAGAGAGAGAATAGACAGAGAGAATTCATTTAAGATGATAAAGAAAGTAGATTAGAAAACAAAAGGAAGATGAAAAAGTGATTCTCGCCCTAAGCTGAATTCAATTCATTCAGTTTCATTGATTTAGTTCAATTTACGATTTCATTTATTCATCAGTGATCTCACCACATTCACTTTCCATCCTGATCTTCATCATTATCATTTATTACTTGATTACTTTAACCAGACGAAAACAGAAAAGGAAACAAATCTTTGATCATCCAACTAATCAGTTATTCTCATTGATCAATGAAATTTAGTTAATTACTTTTCACATTATTCTTGACAATTAAATTCTCAACACAAACCCAATTAGAATCTCAATGTCAATTTCCTTTCATCTTATACAACATTTAACAACATTAACTGATAATTAATCAATCTCACAATCAGACATTAATGATTAACCATCTTTCCATCTCTAATCTCAACAATTAACTTTTCTTGCCAATAATTGATTTTATCTTCATTTTTTAATCTATTGATTTCTGATTATTCTCATTATTAGAATCACTATTATCTTACTAATCTTTTCTGATACTAATTTAATTTTCGATTTTCTCTTCTTCTTCTTTTATTCAATTTCTAGGTTCGATAAGATTATTATTATTATCAATCATATTTACTCCTGAATTTTTACCGTTATCATCATCAGCAAACTTTGTCTTCCATTTACAGTTAGATACAAAATATAAATCAATCTACTGGGACATACATTAAATCACATTTAGTATTTGTCCATAACCATCATCTGAATGTTTCGAGGAGCCGGAAAAAGGATGAGGATTAGATTCACATGGGAATTGAGTATTCGATTGCGAAGTTGATTCAAAAAAAAGATAAAATAACAATCGAAATATAAATGTCACGAAAAAAAGTGCTGACCTAATATGAAGTACAAATCGAAAGATAAATATCTGATATTGTTTTCCAATGGAAATGAAAATATCAAATAGCTGATGGTGATAATCAACTAATAATAACTTTTATTGCTGGTATTTTATTTGATGAAGAAGATGATTATCATCATCATCTTCATCTTGTACTTTGTCACCAAACCATAAAGTTATCTAATAACCAGAGTAAGTGATATCATTATATCAACTACTATTATTGGAAAGTGACCAGAAGAAAAGGAGATGACCAGTTATTCAATTGAATTTGGTAAAACAATCATGATGATGATGATATATCACCCAAAGAATCATGATGATAATCAGATGATCTGTTGAGATGATGGTAGAATTGTGGATTGATACAATTAAATTAACTCTAAATGGATCCAGATGATGAAATTTACTCTCCTTTTCTATATTTCTTTCATCATGTAGATTATTAAATATTTAAATTGTTATATTACTCCAAACAAATTAAATGTAATTTTAATAATAACAATCTAAAGAAATCGTAATCACATTCATGGTTCAATATATCCAATTGATTTATTTTCAATATATTTTCAGCTGATCAATTGAAATGAACACAAATTCACTTGGTCAGTTGATTAATTATTGATTGACACACAATCTGATTATTATAATTTAAGTAAATTCAAGTTGATAAATTGAATTGAATTGAATCAAAGTGAAAACCTTTCAACAACAACAACAACTCACATCTACAAGCAAAAGGTAAAGGTAAATGTAAATCCAACTTGATTAATTTGGTAAATTAAATTTACTCTCAAACTAGTTAATTATTAATTAAGGTGAGAATACATTTACCTTATTCTTTTGCTTATTTCTAGTAGTTGAATTAATTGTTCATCATTATTGTTAATTAGTTAACTTGATTACATTTCCAGAGAGAGAGAGAGAGAGAAAACTAAATTAGGTTACTAATTTAATTATCCAATTGAATTGAATTGTTGGCAATAATAAGGAACCAGAAAAAGTTACTTTGGTAAAAAAAAGGTTAATCTTATATTGGGAATCATCATCAAGGTAATTTGAGAAGTTATTTAACTAATGTTATTATTGTCGATTGTTATTATTATTATATTATTATCATTATTTGAGGATTAAATTGTGATAATCAATAATTGTATTTGATCAACTGTTGATTAATCAAATTGTAACGATAGTAAAAGTTTTCACTTTTAATGTGTTACACATTGGAAATTGTTGGAAAAAAAAGGAAACTCATAAGACAATCCAATCATTATTATCATCACAATCTAATCAGGATTAACCATCAATTTAGACAGTTAACTAGTTAATCCAATTGTTATTCAGAAGAAAAAGATTTACTTTATTTACTATTCAATTGAAAAGGTGACAATTGGATTTGCGACTTTTTTTTTGTTCAGGATTAGTGTTGAAATATTTTCTTCCAATATGTTATTACCTGTAAAGAGACTTGACTGTGAAACTTTTCACATTTAATTCAATTGTAACTAATATTTGATTAACTGTATCATTAGAACAATTTACAATCTGATTAGTGAGATAATTTAATCTTTTCAATTCGATTTAAACTTCATCAATGTTCATTAGATTCTCAGTTTAGTTTGATTTTGAAGTTTCTCTTTTTTTTGTCTGTTTATATTGTTGGTTAATTGTGACCAATTTTTTTCTACTCTTTTTGGATTAATTGTTGGTGGAAGATTAAGATTAGTTAATTTACCTGAACTCGAGCTTCTGTTAGATTTATTTTCAATGCAAGATCTTCGCGTGTGAACACATCGGGATAATGAGTTTGAGCGAACGCTTTTTCGAGTTCTTCCAATTGTTGGACTGTAAATGTTGTTCGATTCCTTCGTTGTTTTCGACGGACAAATGCATCGTCTTGAAGATCACTTGAGTATCCAGAATAATTCGGATCTAAAATTAGGGACAAAAGATGAATAGAAACGGAAGAGAATGAGTATCATAATGAGAGACTGTCAATCACTGACAATTAACAACAATGAATCAAAGGATTGTGAACATTTAACACGATTGCTTATTGATTGTTAAGTTGATTGCATTTCGCTATTATGATTAACAATTGAATGAAACATGAAAACAAAAACGGAAATTGAAACTGATCTAAAAAAGAAAGGAAATCATATCAACCGAATTAAATGTCATCGGCATGTTAAGTAATTAACTAATGGTTAAGACTAATTGTTGAATAACTCACAATGTGATGGTTGAGAGAAAAGAGGAAATGATGAAATGTTAGTAGGATTTGGTCCATGGGGATGATGAGGATGAGGATGATGATGATGTCCAAGTGACGAACCGTTAATTGTACAATGAGGATAGCAAAACATTGAGAGAAACGGTTAATTGTAACTTAAATTGTTGACCAAACAAGTAAACAAACTTAATGAGAATCACTAATTGAATCCAATTGCAATTTAAATGCCGATGTAAATTAGCAGGACAAAAAATTTACTAATTTCAATGGTTAGAAACAATCAATTGAATAGGAAGAAACAAAAACACAATTCACATGTAACAACAATTAGTTGATTCTTTTGATGGTTGATTGTTACAGTTATTTGTACAAGTGAATTGATAACATCAACATGGAGTTATCTTTAAAGTCAATTGATGCTCTCATCATCCTCATCACCTTATAGGGTTTGACCCAACAACATTATCATCATCCTCATCCTTTTTATCATCTTCCAATATATTAACTAATAGATTGGTATAAATGTTTATGCGCATTCAAGTTAAATGTTTATTGAATTGATTTAATGGTTATCCAAGCATCTTCATTGGTTGATAATCAAGGAGCATGAGCATCCACTTTCACTCCCAGTTAGTTAGTTAATCACAATCATCAAGATAATTCAAATCAAACAACAATCATGATAAATGTATATTAATAATGATATCAAATTGTAATCATCAGACAATTAGTTAATCAATCAGATCTATTGATATTATGATATTATTATTATTATATTCATCTAGTTATGATATGTTGCTGGGAGTTTTTTTTATCATTCACACACAATCAATTATATAATTGTTGTTGTTGATTTAATTTTCCGTTTGTAATTGTAATTGTGACTTTGAATATTTTTATTTTTATTTAGTTAATCATAAGAATCAAATTTTCAATAAAAATAATTTGCAAATTTAGTTGAGTTGAGATTTGATTGCTTAAAGCAATGAACGTGTTGTTGTATGATTAACTTTGTTATTATTATTATTGTATCACAGAAAATGATTAAGGTGATAATCTGGATCACAATTAATTTGAATAATCAGAAATCGTGATAAATTGTATTGTGATTAACATTTGATTCAGATCAATTACCTTAAAGCTATTCATCTAATAATCATTTCAACTAATGATTTACTTAATTAACAAGAAATAAACTAATCATGTATCAGCAAAACAAGTGATTATTTCAGATTAATGAGTTGATTTATAATTAATTTTAAACAATTAACTCAATCCATCCAAATATCATATAATACATTTTTTTTATTGATTATTTATTGGAAAATTAAATTCATCTAATACTATGGAACAGTTAATTTAATTTGATTGATTGCTGTGTTGAGGTTGATTGAATCAAATTATATTCAGTAATTTGAAATAATTTATTAATTTGTTAATTGTAAAATGATATTAATAGTTAATCTTAATTGGATGTTATCCTTTTGAGTTTAATACACAAATCGCATTAAGTGTTACAATGTTGATTAAGCTTTAAATAAGATTAACAATTTAGAGGGTGTAATATGATCACTTGATGATTATAATCAGATGCTGATCAAGATGATCAAGATGATGATGGGATGATGAGTGGATGAGGGATGATGAGATGAGTATTTGCCTTAAAGATACAACAAAACTCATTGAATGATCACAATTTAATAATTCCAATATTGAATTCATGTATCAAACTGATAATATTTAATATCGATCATCATATTGATCAGTTGATTTGGTTATCGTTAATTAGTTTGAATAAGAAAAATTTAACAATTTGAAATTTGAAGAGGTAATTTAGTTACTAATTGTTAATCATTAGGTTTTTTTTTCATAGGGTTGACGATTAATTGTTGAATTATCAAAGTTAATTAATACCGTTAATCATTTGAATTGTTAATTTGTGTAGTGTTGAATTGATTCAGATTGAAATTGCTTAAGGGTAATTTAAAATCATTGAACTATTTTTTTTTACCAATCAAGTTGATTATGATTAGTATGCTGGTAAATTAATGACAACTTGATTAAGTTAATCTGTTAATGATGATTATTTTGATTATCAATTCAATTTGAATGATTAACATTCAAGATTCTGGTTAATTTATATGATGAACAAAAATGATTAGTTGATTTAATCACTTTCCTTTTTGTTATTATTCCTTATTCAATGATTAATCTGATTCCTGGTGATTAACTCATCTCTTTTTATAACTGTTGTGTTACTTTTATCATATTTAACAATAAAGTTGATACAATTACGTCAATAGTTAAATCAACTAACGGGAAGAACCAATTCCCTGGACAATTAAAGGAAAGATAATCTAAATCAAAGATTAGATTAATTTCACTGGGGACGCAATGAGATTGCAATTCTCAGTTGATTTAGTTAAATACAGTTAACGGTAAAGTTAAATTATTATCATTTCATTTTCTCTGTGTTAATCATTCTTACTAAACTAATAACTGCGAATAGTAAAATGATCTGAATTATTATTATTACTGCTCAAGATAAGTAATTAAATTGAATGTTAATCATAATAATCGTCATAACAATCGTAATGATTGTCCGAAAATCAGCAAATTAAATTGTCAACGCAAAGAAATCAACATTGATTGGCATTATCACCATAATCAGGATATAAACTTGATCACAATTAATTTACTTCTTCCTGATTGCTGTTGATTATTTTTTCCATTAGAACTTCAGATTTCCTTAATTGTTGGTTAATTTTGACTATTTCCTTTGGTTCTTCATATCTTGAGTCTAGATTATAATTGGAAAAGAAAACGAAAAAGTTAAATTAAAATTGATTGTTGAAACAATTAAGAATTATGATCAACAGAGGGAAAAAGGTTAATTATAATTGGAAGGCAATTTAATAGATGTTAATTTTTTTACCTTTTCATTTAAATATTAACAATTTAAATTGTTGATTTTAATTCCTTTTCTTTTACAAGATTTTCATTAAATCCTCAACATGATGAGATAAATAATTACATCATTTTTTTTTGTTAATCATCATCAGAATTAAATTGAAAGGGTTGAATTAAACTGTAAGGTAAATGATGATTAACTTTGATAGGAAAAAAAATGATAAAATGTAAAGTAACAATTAATGATAATGTTAATTAACTTTACCGAGAAACTTTCAATTAACTTTTGTCTATGTCATATTTTGATTTGACAAAATTGTTTGTTAACAATTAAAATGTTCAACCTTTAATGTTAATTATAAACATAAAGGGAAAGATTATAAAAAAGAAAGAGAAACAATTAATTAATTGTTAAGGTTCAGAAATCAAAGGTAATCAACTCATCAGGTAATAATAATGAGAGTTGATTACTAGTGATTAATGATCATAATTGTTATAATAATTACGGTGGATTGGATGAAATTAAATTCATTGGCTAATGAATGAATTCACATTCATAGTAAATTCAATGAGTTTTATAATGTGAACAGGTAAACATTTTGATTACTGTACAATCGGGGATAGTTAACAGGGCAACTAATTAATATCATAAAGATTATTTTAATCATGATATTAAATGGAAATTAAATGAATCCATTGTAATGAGGTTTTACTTTCAACCTAAAAGTAAAAAAGATGAAGAAAATCAAAGTTCAATTATATCTATCATAGTATCATCATTGAATCATCTTCTCATGGGATTTATTCAATGATCAATTTATCATTATCATCATTATCGTCATCATCATAATCATGCTTATTATCACCTTATCAAGATACCTTAATGATCAATATCAGAACCGTTAACGAGTATAAATAGATGAAAATAAAAAAATAAGAGGAAAAAGTTAACCTCATCATTAAATTGATGAAACTTTTTTGTCCCTTCGCTTCTGGTGTTGGTTTTATGTTTGTTTAAATGATGATTATGGTTGAATCAACTGTGATTTGATGATGAAAAGAGTCCGTAAGTTAATTGAAAATGTCCGTTTTAAAGCCATTTTACATCTTTCGATGATATTAAGGTTTAATTCCCTGAAGAGGATGAGGTGAAGGAAGAGAATCTTCAAAGTTCCATATCCTTTGGAACGTCAACAATAATGGTTATGAAATATCTCCTTGGATTATGGCTTTTTTAAGGCTATAGGAAGAGAGAGAGACAGAGAGAGACAGAGAGATGATGATGATGATGATGATGATAATTTGCTTCACTTGGTTGATCAATGGAAATGGGATTTCAACCTGATATACTTTGAACGAGGTTTCAACCAAAACTTGAAGATCCACCAAAATATCAAAGGGATGAAAATGTAATGAATCTCACAGGATTTTTCCCTCGCTCTTTTTTTTATAAATTTTGTTTTATATTTATGGTCCTTATTATGATGAATATAGCCTATTATCGAAAAGAGAAAAAGATGACAAATAAAAGAAAAACTTTAGTTAGAAATGAGTACTAAGGTAGAGAGAGAGAGATAGTGAGAGAAAGCAAAGGGTGGATGAAGAGAGGGAGAAGAGGAAGTGATAGAAATCAGTTTTACTCTTTTATGTTTTTTTTTCCAACAGAAACTGTTAATTTTTCTCTTACTATTACTATTATTGCCTCGATACGAACGAAGGTCACTCAGTGTAACGGAACAAATCCTTTCCTTCCTTCACAATCCATAATAACGGCTCGTATCGTGTGTGGTGTACATACAGATCAGAGTAATGATAATCATTTATAATCATAATAAAAAAATTCTGATTCCTCTTTATCATTCTCATTCATTATCAATTGCTCGCTTTTCAATTTACATTATAACCATGGTTTTCTTAATGGTGTAGTTTCACTCTTCCTTTGGAAATCATCATCATTCTGATTTATTCTTGTTTCTCTGGATAATAAGGAAAAGAAAAGATAAAAAATATAATAGATTAGTAAAAAAAAGTTCCATGTAAATAAGTGAGTTTATTGCATGGTCACAATTTGTATATAACAAAACTAAATAATGTTTATATCATGATTATCGAGATCTAAATTAGCTCAATCAGCTATTAATCAGGAATCATAAAGTTGGTTAAATTGTAGCTATTTATAAAAAAGAGTATCAAAAAATTGGTTATGATGTTAGTTAAGTTATCATAATATTGTCAACAATTGTCATCATTATCATAATCACAATGGAAAAGTTGATAAAATGATGAGGATGAAAAAAAACAGATGAAAAATGAATTAATACTTTTTTCTGATTGTAATGTAAATGAGAGCGAGTTAGTTAGATGATTAGTATTTGATTACGATAATTTAGGTTATAATAGAAGAGAGATAATCAAATTGAGAGATGAGAGATTAATGAGTTATAGGGAAAATGTTATCATGTAAAGAGAAACAATTGACTGAATTATAATTGTTTCTTTTTACATGGGATGGAATTTTTATCTGATTTCTTTATCTTCTTCTTCTTCGTCAATCTGATATTCTATTTGTTGCTCATTCATTGAATTTCGCTTCTTCTTCCTGTATAATGATCTCTCTTACCTATAAGATATTATTCATAACAAGTTGTAGTTTTTTTTTACCTTTTCACTTTCTTATCCTTATCCATGGTTCATTCATATTGTTGGTATCACATCTTTGCCAATGATATTATTTTTATGATGATCATGATGATGGACTAACTCGAGGCAACCATTTTCTCTTGCATAATGTACATGTAATATACACACACACACACTATCTTCCAGTAGCACAATTAGGATAAAGACATAACCTCCAAAATGTATATTGTAGCAAATATAATATTCAAATGATATATTCTACTTGTTTGCCTTGAGTAAAGATGAAAATTTGATAAGGTCCAGTGGATCAGCAGGAAGTAAAATTGAGAGAAATAGAAAAGTCAAGGATCAGTAATAGAAATAGAAAAATGCAAATGATACTTGTTTACATTTCTATTCCATTGGTCATCAGCTCGTTTGTCCAGTTTTTTCTTCTTCGATTTCCTCCAACAGCAAACGATTAGAAACATCAGATGATTAGGATTAGAGAAGAAGAATAAAAAAGTGAAGAAAAGGCCACTAATTAATCCATTTTGAGTTGGAATTTTCTAGAAATGAAGAGAATTAGATTTTCAAATTTAGAATAGAATTTATCTTTAAGATGATTTGTACTTTTTTCCTTATTATGGTTAACTCTTTGGTAATTGATATTCTTACTTTTCAAACAATTAGCATGATGATGATGACGAATTGAGGACAGTGATGATGTAAAATTGGACAAGAATAGAAACGGAATAGAAAGAGAATTAAAATGTAATTTGCTTGAAGGCGAATACAAGAAAGAAACACCAGCGAAATGCTAATCCCTTAGGCCTTGAGAATCGAGGAGAAAAAGACAAGGAGAGAGAAAGAATTGTCACTTGTTCTTCATCATTTCTCATCATCACTTGTCGTGATTTAAGGTAGAGATAATTGTCCTTTGTTGATTACCAAAAAATGAAACAAAAATCAAAATTAACGTTGTGAAACCAAAACCAAAACCAAAAAAACAGAAAAAAAATAAATTGTTTGTTGTGTTTACATTAATCACTTTCAATTATTGACCAATCACAATCTTCACTAAACGTAAGTAAACCTCAAGTTAATTGTCCAATTCTTTAATTAGAATCCAGTTAATTAGTTAACCTTGTTCTCAATAAAAGTAATTAAACTGTTCTGTCAGGAGATTGTCAAGAGTTGAAGAAAATTTTGTTCGACCTTCAGTGGAAAAGGCTATTCAATTTTGGCGCTTTTTCTATTAGAATGAGTCATCGGTGGATTTTCATCTCTGAGCAACAAGAGTTCAGTTTGTTTTCTGTTGACTTTTTGTTGGAAGGCAAAGGAAAAGCCTTTTAATTGTGATCAAAGGTTAATTGTTAAGCCTCATTAATGAACAATTTTTTTCTATTTTTAATCATCTGTTTATAATGTTAATTATTCGTCTCTGAAAGAAATTATTCTTTTTTATATCTACATCATTCTGGTTGTTTTTTCTTTTCATTATTTCTTTGTGTTTGTTTTTATCTTCGCTTTTGAACCATTCATTTAATCAACAATATAATTGAATGAATTTAACCTTTTCAATAAGACGAATTTTTTTCCTTTTTGTTTTTTTCTTTTATTCTGTTGTTTTTCTTTCTTGTTTTTCTTTTTCATTTTTGGTTATTTTTTCTTTTCTAAACTGTTGTTATAACAGAAATAACAACTAAAATATTATTAATCAATAAGAGAACATTTTTTTTTCTTCCTTTTTAAAAAAGCAACAAGTGATTAAATCTAAAGGTATATTCGGTACTTTTTAATATTCTCATCTGGTTAATTTCCTTCTTTTGTTAACCATGAGTGTGGCACGAAGACTTGATCTTAGTAATTTATCTCTACCCTTGGCCAATTCAAGTGTATCCACGATCACAACACCGACCTTAACACCAACTACGTTACGTTTAATTGATGATGTTCTTAGTGCTCCTCATTCAGAACCCATGGAACATCAATATCAAGCTGGTTTCATGCCTCCGACCATCACTCCATCCATAACCTCAGACAGTGATTCTCAATTTGACAGCGATGATCTTTCCAGAGGTGCATCACCTAATTTATCGGCTACACCAGGAAACAATGGCTCAAGTGGAGTTAATCTCAAAGATAAGGTAAATGTTTCCTTTTTCACTTTCACCCAATTTGGTTTCTCTATTTTTTCAACCGTTTACAGTTAGATGAATTGTTTATTTCTATTCCATCTCTCCATTTAAAGTTGGTTGGATTGACAGTTGGGAAAATGTTTTGCTTTTTGCTCTTCATCTATTTCAGTTTCCCTTTTTTTCCTTATTTACACTTTTCCTTTTCTAACCTCGTGCTTGTAAAACAACAAACAACTGTTATTAATTTGTTTTCTTTTACTATATTTACATATTTAGACTCCTGCTAACGATGAAGAACGTAAACGGATCCGAAGGGAGAGAAATAAACAAGCAGCAGCTCGATGTAGACAACGTCGAATTGAATACACGAACAAATTGGCTCGAGAAACCGAGGAATTAGAAATTGGAAACAATGAACTTCGACAAACACTTCAATCTCTCATTCAGCAAAAGGCTCAGATCGAGGCCACTCTTAAAACGCATAGTCAACGATGTCGACAATCAACAATCTCATCATAATACATTCAAAGAGACACGAATATGCTAAAAACAACAACAATCAAATATTTTCTCCTTGAGGTTTTTATGCCATTTACACAGAAGCTCAATTTCATGAAACAATAACCATAACCATCATCATCATCAACCCTTGTTTTCATCACTTTTAATGAACCCTTTTACCGGCCCACACATCATGTAACATGGGAATCGCTCCAGCCAAATAACCTCTAACGCATATTCATATATTTTTGTGATTATCAGCCTTAGATGGATGAGATCACCTATGCAAATACAAGACAAACAAAATATACTGACTAACAAAGGCAGTAGATCAAAGGGTGAGAAGAGACAAAAAAGATAGAAATTGAAAATTTTCTATCAAATCGACAGAAAAATATTCGCCTTGAGAAAACAAAATATTTATTTTCTATGTACATATTACTATTTTAACGTAATTACCTCTTTTTCCCCCTTAAATCTTGTATCTTTCATCCATCAAGGTCATTCATTATTCTCTCTCTCTTTCGTTCATTTCTTCTCTTGTATTTTTTTCTCTCTCTCTCTCTCTTTCTCCTTTCCTTCCACCAACATAAATATTTCTTTAAGATTTTGCTTTGTTGAAAACATGAAATTCTTAAACTAATCATCATCTCCACAATTTTCACACAATTGCCAAAATCGCCAATCTAATCAATTTGGTTCTAAATCGAACCAGAGCCAAACGTCCTTTCGCTCTCTTTTCTCTCCTTCTCCCATAATATTGAGCCCAGTGTCTTTTCTTAATTCTTTCAAAAGCAATATTTTTCGCTAATACAAATCATTTAATAAACTGTGTCTCTAATTTTACCTTCGATTAAAGATCTGTAAACTTTAATTTCGCATCAAATTAAATGTGTTGTTTTTCTTTAATTAGAAATGAGATGTCGCTCTCATCGCAGAATTTAAATCAACCAATAAAATCGAGAGAAGAAAATGACTCATACCAACTTTTCCGAACTTGAAAGAGAACATCAGATCTAATTGATTCTCTTTAATTCTTAATTAATTTCTATAATCTATTAACTGTTCAACTGTTTTCATCTAATTCTCAAGTTTCTATTTTGTCAAACTCTCAGCAATTTCCTTTTCTCTAGTGATAACAATCCGTAATTCGATTACATAATTAGTTTTACCTTTTGTGCTCTCGGCACAAAGGTCTTCACTCTCGGTGTCACATAGTTACCTGGTCGCCATTTTTAATTTCTTTGTTCAAATTCCTCGTTTGTTTGTGTTAAAATCTTCTGATTGTTTTGTTCCAATTTGCCAGGCATTTGCTCAGCTTTCAACTGACGTTCTCAAAATGTCAAAGACAGTTAAAGAAATGGACCAAGAGAAACTGAAAATACGTCGAGAAAAGAATAAAATGGCTGCGGCAAAATGCAGGTTCATTAAACTTAAGTACATCGATAATTTACTCAATGAGACTAGTGAATTGGAAAAAAAGAACAATCATTTGCGAAACATTTTAAAATCTCTTTCAGTTCAACTAAAAGTTTTAAGGAAAGATCTTTTCATGGATTCAAATCGCTGTTAGTATAACAAATTGTTATTAACAATTTCTCTTAAAACTCCAAGTCTCTCCAACCCGAAACTCAAATAACTCAAGTATAAATACAATGTATTTACAATTTCCCCGAAAAAGTTAAATGAACCCGATTGATCTTTATAAAAATCTAATTCAACAATAAATGAAACGTTGTTTTTGTTAAAATTTTCTTAAATCATTATTTCTAAAATTGAATAATCAATTATAATCCCTGCAAAAAGATGAAAATGTGTTAATGAGTTAAAAAAATCAACAAGTTGGTTAGGGTTTTGTTTCCTTTAAAATATTGTAATCAATTTAGTTGCTTATTACAATATGTATAGCGATAGTAAATTCAAGACGAAGACCATTTGTCGTCCTTTTGATTTTTTTTTGTTTCTTTAAATTATCAGTAATGTTAATTTCTTATTTTTTTTTTATACTTGAAATTGAATTAATTTAAATTCAAGGAGCATAATTAAAGTTTATCCAAATAAGATTCAAGATCGGGTAAAGATTCTTTAAGACCCTTTCGTTTACGAGTATCCATAACAATAGTGTAAGGTCGGGATTTTCCGTCCAATGGGTCACCAGGTAAGATTTGCCAATGGTCAAATACACATTGTGGGAATGCTTGACCTCCAGTGTTTGATCTTAAATCAGCAGTGAAACCGAATGATTCGTTTACGGGAAGGTGAGCCTTGACAACGAACATGGGAGTACCGGGTACTTGAGCTTCTTCGAAGACAACACCTCGACGTCTGTTGAGTACACTGTAAATACCACCGACAGCAGATTCGGGACATTGGATCTCAACAAGGTAGACGGGCTCCAAAAGTCTTGGGGCAGCGGTCAACATACAAGCGAAAAGACAACGACGAGCAGTGGGAATGATTTGTCCACCACCACGATGAATAGCGTCAGCATGAAGAGTAACATCATAAATATTGAATCGAACTCCTCGCATGTTTTCATCACAGAGAACAGACTAAAGAAAAAAAGAAAAAAAGAAATTGATTAGTCATAAAATTCAGATCGAAATTAAAGATTAATCTCTCACCTCTTTTGAAGCCCATTGGAAACCTGCAACAACACTATCTTTGATTTCGTTAAGATATTGGACTCCCTTGGTAACATCAACAAGAAGATTTGGTCCAGTACCTTCGGGTCCGAATGACCAAATTTTTCTGGCCTCAGTTGCGTCCCATTCATATTTCTCTACTAGATAACGAGCTCGAGCTTTGAAATCGTCTTTGTTGGAAACATCACCTTTGTCAATATCCTCTGGTAATCCATCGGGCATTGGGACAGCCTTCATGAAGAGACGATTGTGCTTGTTGGGAGACTTTGAAAGACACATGATTGAAGATTCCTCGCTAACAGTTTCCCGATAAGAGACAACAGGGTCAGAAGTTTTAATTGGAATCTGAGCGTGATCTTCTTCTAAATCTTTTAAGCAAATTTCAAGATGCAATTCACCAGCACCGGCAACAATGTGTTCACCTGATTCTTCAATGATACATTGTACCATAGGATCTGATTTGGCCAATCGTTTAAGACCTTCAACCAATTTTGGCAAGTCAGCAGCATTTTTGGGTTCAACGGCAACACGCACAACAGGGCTGACTGAAAATTTCATGACTTTCATGTTGTGAGCATCTTTAAAGGTGGAAATGGTACCGGTTTTAACCAAGTACTGGTCAACACCAACCAAACCACAAATGTTACCAGAGGGAACATTTTCAATTGGTTCAACGGCACGACCCATCATAAGAACAGTTCTAAGCGAAAAAAAGAAAAAAAGAAATTGATTAGTCATAAAATTCAGATCGAAATTAAAGATTAATCTCTCACCTCTTTTGAAGCCCATTGGAAACCTGCAACAACACTATCTTTGATTTCGTTAAGATATTGGACTCCCTTGGTAACATCAACAAGAAGATTTGGTCCAGTACCTTCGGGTCCGAATGACCAAATTTTTCTGGCCTCAGTTGCGTCCCATTCATATTTCTCTACTAGATAACGAGCTCGAGCTTTGAAATCGTCTTTGTTGGAAACATCACCTTTGTCAATATCCTCTGGTAATCCATCGGGCATTGGGACAGCCTTCATGAAGAGACGATTGTGCTTGTTGGGAGACTTTGAAAGACACATGATTGAAGATTCCTCGCTAACAGTTTCCCGATAAGAGACAACAGGGTCAGAAGTTTTAATTGGAATCTGAGCGTGATCTTCTTCTAAATCTTTTAAGCAAATTTCAAGATGCAATTCACCAGCACCGGCAACAATGTGTTCACCTGATTCTTCAATGATACATTGTACCATAGGATCTGATTTGGCCAATCGTTTAAGACCTTCAACCAATTTTGGCAAGTCAGCAGCATTTTTGGGTTCAACAGCAACACGCACAACAGGGCTGACTGAAAATTTCATGACTTTCATGTTGTGAGCATCTTTAAAGGTGGAAATGGTACCGGTTTTAACCAAGTACTGGTCAACACCAACCAAACCACAAATGTTACCAGAGGGAACATTTTCAATTGGTTCAACGGCACGACCCATCATAAGAACAGTTCTAAGCGAAAAAAAAAGAAAAAAATTAACCAATTAAGGAGTGGTAAAATGGAATAAATTTTAAAAAAAATGGAACAAGTTAATGACATACCTTTGAATTGCTTTTTCAACTAAATCTTCCTTTTTACCAGGAACATAATTTGGCCCCATAATTCTGACTTTTTGACCAGAAGCAACAATACCAGAGAAAACACGACCGAAGGCATAGAAACGACCTTTGTCAGAAGTTGGTACCATCTTAGAGATGTACATCATTAATGGACCATTAGGGTCACAGGATTTAATGGCAACAGCAGCCTCATCATCATGAGGACCTTCGTAAAGCATTTCCATACGATACTTTTGAGCAGTTACAGGTGATGGCAAATGAATGGCTATCATTTGAAGTAAAGCATCACCAGCAGGAAGCCAAGTTCGCATTACGACCTTCAATAAATTCTTACCATCTTTTTCTTTGTCGTCACCTTTGAGGACAACGTTCAATTTTTCTAAGAGTTTAGTAATCTCTTCTTTCTTGAAGTCCATGATGGCTTTGAAAACTTTGTAAATTGGATCCAAAACGAAGTTACAGAAACCACGACCATAACCAGCTTCTTGTTTGGTTGACCATTTTTTGGTTTGTCCATTGTAGAAGTTTTCACCCCAGAATTTTTTCATCAAACGAGCTGGATCAGTCTTGAACTTTTCGGCGTAAATTTCAGCAAACTGTTTAAGAGTGAAAGCCCAACCATGTAAACCAGAACCAAAACCAACACTACCTTTAGATGGGTCAACTTTGATGTCACCCATTGGACCGGCATCATCAGCATAAGTGGCAATGATGACGTTGACGTTTTCAACGATACGGGTGAACTTTTGGTAAAGATCTTCCATGTCCAATTGAAGGGTCAATAAGGCCAAGTCAACTTTGTTCATGAAAAGAACGGGCTTAATTCGTTCAGCAATAGCTTGTCGTAAGACAGTTTCGGTCTGGACACAGACACCAGAAACACAGTCAACGACGACCAAAGCACCATCAGTAACACGAAGAGCAGCAGTAACTTCAGAAGAAAAGTCAACGTGACCGGGAGAGTCGATAAGATTGATCAAGAAACCTTTAACCTCCTTGTCTCGTTGAGATTCCTCAGTGATGTAAGTTAAATCAGCATCGGAAAGCTCAAAGTACATAGAGATAGCAGTAGACTTGATAGTAATACACCTTTCTTGTTCATCCTTTCTAGTATCAGTGAATCTCATCTCACCAGCCTTACTACCAGCAATGATACCAGCCTTAGTAACAAGAGAGTCAGTTAAAGTAGATTTACCGTGATCAACGTGAGCAATAACCGACATGTTTCGGATGCTCCGTTTACGGTTCATCATTTCACGAATTTCATCTACAGTGAAGTTAACCTAAAGAGTCAAAGGTAAAATAGGGGAGAGGGTCACCAACAAACAAAGAAAATACCAATGCGGGGGGGGAGAGAAGAGCAGAAAGAAGAGAAAGAGAATGTTAAGAGCCAATGAGACAAGATAAAAGAAGAAATGTCAACGCAATAGAAATAAATGACCACTTACCATTTTGGTTGTTGATAATTGACGACAATCAAAATATAAGAAAAAACAAGAGAACAAGTAAGGACAAAATCCACTTCAATATTAAACCACAAAGAAAGAGAACGAAAGTCTACACGTCTTCAATGGAAAGGGATGGAAGTTTGAATACCAAAAGCAAGACTTTTAAAGATAAATTTATTCGTAAGAACCTGTTTTATACAGAGTTACTTTCCGTTTCCGGACAGTAACTAGGGGCAACACTTAAGCACCCCTACAGGAAAGGCTTTGGCCGCCTTTTATAAAAGTATAGAAATTAATTTGTCTTGAACAGATTTGTGAAATTTTCTCAGGTCGATTTGAGGAATAGGTGGTGTTTTTTGTAGTTTACATTCAATTAGAAGATGAATAATTTTGCTTTCCCTGGTAATACATTGGTCTCTAATTCGAACACATCCTTTTATCAGCCATAAAAGATATTTGATACCAGCGAAAGAGGGCAGTTGCCAAAGCGAAGGGTTTAAATGAATAACGAACGAGTTTTGACTTCGCATCATGAAGATAAAGAATTTCTTGAGAGCCATTTCCACCTTCTTCTTTTGCATATTCCTCGTAGTCCAGAATAGTAAATCCATCCGCTCATTGGGTCTCCTCCTGTTTCTTTCAATAGACGGTCCTTCAATCCAATTCCATTCATGTTCGTAAAACTTCATAATTCTTTTCACCTCCATCCAACTATTTGCTCTACAAATGTCCGTCGGTATTACAAAAGTCGTTTTAATATCTGATCCTATTTGTGAAACAACACTGAAAAGAACATTAATCATAGCAATATACTTGTTTGCCGAATTGTCACCAACAAATTCAACCAATTCATCATTAAGTAATGCACCAACCCTACCCCCACTTAGCTTAACAAGTTCGATAACATTTTGATTCAAAGACGAACTTCTCTTCTTCTCCATTACAAACTCGGGTATCATGTTTTTAATCCGAATATCACTCAAAAGGAAAAGTTTGACCAACGGATGTTGATAATCTTCATTATCCAAGAGATTCATGATGAGCATCTTAAGATGTGTAAACCAAGGGTTCACAATACCTTTCAGGTAGAATTGAGACCATTTCCCAAGTCCCTTAGTGCCGGTAAGAGGCTGAAAGTACTCATTGGTATAATTGATCATCTGAATCAACCTTTTTTCCATATCAAACAGGTTACCCCCTTCAATTACTAGGTTATCAGCCGTGATGTTTCCCAAAGAGGAGCCAATGAAAGCGTTCAACAGTTCTCTCTGAATCCGAATGTTGAGCTTTTGGACCAGTGTTATGTTGGGTTTTAACAAATCACACGATTTTTTTAGGTATTCATCTAGTAAAAAATGATTAATAGTATTCTTTAGTTTAAAACCAAGAAAACTCATTCCAGTTTCAACCTTCAACGGCACTTCTTTTAATGCTCTGGACACTTCATTTCTCTGAGTTTGTATGACTGTTTTTTTCATGTTAAGGCTTAGTCCCTTTTCCGAAAAAAGTTTTATAATCCATTGAAGCAAATCAGCTAATTCATTAATCTTCTCGATCGATAAAACCAACACAATATCATCGGCATAGCTCACTAATCTAATTTTCTTGTTTATCTCAACTAACGTATCGTCGATTCCAAGAATAAATGTTAATGGTCCACAACTTGATCCCGCTGGAGTACCTTTATCTGGCATATAAAAGGTTTTCTTCTCAAATTTAATTTTGCACCATCTATTTTCACAGAAACACTTTAGCATCTTAACCGTGTCCTCATCCATAATATTCTCGATTTTTTTATAAACAGCACCCATGTCAATATTTTCAAAGGCTTTGGTCAAGTCTAATTTGATCAAAATGTCATCCCGATTAATTAATTTTTCTAATGCCGCAGCGGCTTGTATACGACCAGTTTTCTCCTGGTAAGCAAACTGCGGGGCTTCAATGAGTATTGGTAAAAGAATTTGTAGCCTATTAGCGATTATTTTATCCACAATTTTTAAGATGTGATTCTGGAGTTTGATCATCCTAATTGAGACATTATCAGGTTTAATCAGCATCGAAACTCCCGAGACTTTCAGAAAGTCAGGAATGTAATTATTGATAAACATCTGATTTATCAGGCAAGTAACAAGTTCACCATTTTCTTTCATCATTATCTCCCACTGTCTGATGTTGTAAAAATCAGCACATCCTGAACTCGAAGGTTTCATGTTCTTAATCATTTCCAATTCATTCAAGGTAAGCGGATGACCTTCACTTGTATCACAATTGCTTTTATTTTTAAGTTTCGAGAATTTAAACTGCCTTAAGGTGATCATAACCTGTTCTCTCACCAGTGGATTATTCTTAGCAATTTGTTCAATCTGAGGTTTTATCTGTTTATTCAGAATGAATGAATTTATCATTTTCCATCTCTTCACCGAGTCCTTGGTATTTTGAATGATTTTGATTGGATTGAATTTCGATAATTTGTGTCTAATTATCTCTCTACTCCTTGGATCTTTCCTCTTCTTTAAATTGGTCAATCTCCGACTGTAATGATGTATTTTAGTCCAATGTCCATTAGAAAAAGGTAGATTGATAATCTTTCTGGAAACCAGATCTATTTGGTCCTTGATATCAAAGGTATTCAAATCTGTTTTTACTTTGATATGATAATGTCTTATTTTGTGTATTTGTTTATACGAAGTCTTCTCCTTTGGAAGATTGATTGTTAATGAAGACTCAATTAGGCGATGATCAGAATTCGGAATTGTTACCAGTTCAACCTCTGCAGTCCAGTGTTCGCTAATTAACACCACATCAATATAACCCAATGACGTTTTTTGATCACCAATACTAGTTCGTGTGAAATTTTTAACAAGAGGTGCGATTGCTGATTTCAAATGACCAATTCTGTATCTGACAAACATATCGAACCAGGACGATTTATTATTCTTATTAATTATCTGCCTCGGAGTCCAAAGAAGAGAATGAATATTCAGATCTCCCATAACTAGTAGAGGGTCTTGGATTTTTTCCAGCCGACTAATAAGATTAAAGGCATGCGTTTTAATGGCCTTATTTGGATGAAAGTAGACATTAAAAAGATTTAGACGAGTGCCCCCAACTTCAATGACTACATGAATAATACTTTTCATCGAAATGTCCAAATTAATGAGAGTAATTTTTCTTGGTAACCTCATTACCGTGTGACCATTTACAAAAAGTTTCGTGTCTTCAATTGTCCTGAGAGCTTTAAGGTTAACCTCTTGTAACATCAGAATTTTTTCCGGGTCAGATATCATCATATCTAAAGTGGCTTGTTCATTCTTTGCGCAATTAAGTTGTACGAACTTGAATTCAAACGTTTTTATTTCACAAGAATAATTGTGCTCATTCAGAGGCTGTTACAGAATTTAGATATAAGGAAAGAAAAGAAAAGTATTAAATTCATGTAATAAAAGAAACAAATAGTTCCATTGAAATTAAGCATTCAGATTATTCTATTTTTCCTGCCATCACCCAATCATATGTGTAATTGATGTACTGAAGTTCATATGACATCTTATTTTGAAATACTTCACATGAAGGATCATTAAATTGATGTCCATTTCGCATACAAGATTTACATTTGTACAGTTTTTTGTCACCCTTTATCTTACACTTTCCAATATGACCTAAGCTGCAATACCTACAGTAGATCTGTTGACTGCAGTTAATATGTCCGTAAGACAGGCAGTTATGACAGATTTTGATCCCAAAACAATCTGAGACTTGAAAGGTTTTGTATCCGATCAAAAGTTTTCCCTTTCTTCTGTAGATTAACTCTCTTATTATTGGTGAAACTTCTAATATGAGTGTCATACCATTCTTACGATTGGATCTGTGAACAATCTTCATTAACGTTTCCTCATTAAGATTAAACTTATTTTTTCTGACAATTCTCTCTATTATTTCTTCATCTTTAAGAGTAGTTAAGCTGTCAATGTTTATGATTCTCAGACAAGGATTTCGAAGTGTTGGAACCTTAACTGTCCATCCATCCTGATATTTCTCAGCATAACGACAAAAAATGTCTCTGTTGTGAGTATTCTTGAAAATAATTTTCACAAATTTGTTTGTTGTTGTGATTTCCTCGATCTCTCCAAAATCAGAGTCTTCAACCTCAAGGATACCCTTTACATGTTCTAACATCAGATCAACTTCCTCAATTTTTTCAATCTTCTCGATAAGTACAATTGGCTTTGGCGCAAGGTGATCAACTTTAAACCATCCTTCAGGAACTTCATCTTCCTCTTTATATCTCTTCGAGATTACCTTTGATTTCTTGGCTTTACTGAGATTATAATCATCAACTGTAACTCCAACGACATCAACATCAAAGTTTATCTCTTCCAATTCCGATTGTACAGCCTCTGGTTCAATCTCTGAGTCCGTGATTCCATCAGTTGTAACTTCTTCTGTGTTGTCACTACCATTGCTGACAAGATCAACTTGATGAACTCTAGTCCTTTTATTTGGTGTTGTGAGAAGTGAATTACTTGATCTCTTTTTACCAATAAATTGAGAGAGAGTCTGTTGATTAGCAGGAACCTGATTTTTTTGCTTTTGTGGAGTTTTCTTAGGTGTTTTTCTAAGGTTAACCTTATCTCCAAAGAACTTAATTATTTGATTAGCTGCCACGATGTCTTCAGGTGACCAAGTTGAGACTTCCTTTTCATCTTGTAATTGACAGTTGATCTTAACAATGGCTTCATTTAAATTTTTCTCCGACATTTTATTTACCAAGTTTTCATATGTGATATTGGAGGTGATGGCCGTTCCAATTTCTTTAATTAATTGGGTTGTTTCCGTCATATTTTTACCTTTTCTCTTTAATTCCTAAGAAAATGTAAGTAAAAAATATTAGTTTATAATTCTGAATATTTGAAATTCTGAGTATTTGAAATTCTGAGTATTTGAAATTCTGAGTATTTGTATTTAGAGTGTTTGTTTTTCAACAAATGCTCATTCACTTTGTGTTATCATTTTGAACATTTCAGTGTTGAGATTAAAAGTGAATTTCGACTTACCCAATATATCAATCGACGGCTCTGAAATCACTCTATCAGATATATATTAATTTATCACTTAATCAAGAAGGAAAAACAGGTAATTAATTAATTTTTAATCACTTAATTTCACTTAACCTGAACAAGAAGAATTTGATTAACATCCGTTTCCTTTGAGTTACTATTGGAAACTTAAACTCCCTCAAGAGGCGAAAACTTTAACCGGTAAATTTGAAAAAGAAAAGAAAAATAAAATTGATTAATGGATTTGGGGGAAAATTAAACGAAAAGTTTTCATTAAATTTTCAGTCTTATTGATTGATTAGTTTAATCTTCTAATCATCAGCAAATGAAACATCGAAAAGTTTTAAATGAAGTTACATTATTTCGAAGATAATTGTTCAACCAACTAATCATGTTTGAGAAATTGAAAAACTTAACTAAAGTTAATCAACATTACTTATGTGGTTTCCCAATGTACAATAAAGTAACAAAATTTTTTTCGAATGAGCTATATCATTAGAAATTACGATTGCTATGTTTTTCGAGTGATAAATGACTATTCTCGTTAGATTTCATGTCATTGACAAATTTCATGATGGAACAATTTAAGAATTGATAAACTTTTAACAGCTAAGTGAGTATTAGTCGACTGACATGTCAAGCTTTCGACTCAAGCAAGTGATCTATTTTATGATACCAATTTAATGAATGTGAGGAACAACAATTCTATCAGCTGCGAATCGACTTTCAGAGAATCGATTATGCTCTTTTCGGACATTATTTGCTTTCAATAAGTTGATTTGTGTGATTGTAACATTTTCTAATTGTCTTTAAGACATTGTTTCATTTTTTATTCTATTTTATCAATTTTATCAATTGCTCAATTCTAGATTAGTGTCAAGTGTGTGTGTTACGTTTGATTTGGTGTGAGATGCAAAACTAAGAACGAATACCAATTAAAGGCCCGGAGGGCTCTCAACCCATACATTAAACAAAAACTAGCAACCTCGGACTTCCAACGTTATCAGCACCAAAACCTATTAGTTCTGAGATTCTTACTTCACTTAAGTCAAATAAACAAAGATAAAAGAATTATCAATATTTACTTAAAAGTCTACAAATCGGTTAATTTGCACCAAACCATTTGAATTTAGAAAATAATTCAAAAGTGATTAATATCATATCTAAATCAAGTGGAGCTCAGGCTGATATTTGTGCTGAAGATGGACAAGTTATTGATTGTGGTTTGATTAAACTAAATGTATCTCTCACTCCAGGTAATTTAAGCTGATGATTGTTTACAGTTTGTGCTTAATTGATTTGATCATTTTCTGGTTGAAAGGTCATACCAATGGTTGTATGAGTTTAATTGATCACGATAATAAACGAGCCTTCACCGGAGATACTTTGTTCATTAGAGGTTGTGGTCGAACCGATTTTCAAGAAGGTATTTAATTGTTTGCTTTCATTGATTATCATTTAATCTAGTTAATTATCTGTCATTCATTTAGGATCATCATCCAAGCTTTATGATTCAGTTCACTCCAGGCTTTTTATATTACCTGATGATTATAATGTTTACCCTGCTCACAATTATAATGGTATGTAATTATTTTCTTATTGAATTGTTAATCATTCAGTCAATTGTTTTATTTTTAATCACAACTTTAGGTCAATTAACATCAACAATTGGAGAGGAAAAAAAGTTTAATCCAAGATTGAGTAAATCATGGGAAGAATTTATTCAAATTATGGAAAATCTTAATCTTGATTATCCAAAAATGATGGGTAAGCTAATTGAAGATTATTTTCTTACAATATAATTAACTTGATTTGATTCTTTGATGATTGATGATTGATAATCGATAATTGTCATTATTTATTGGTTATTGTTTCATATAAAGAAATTTTTGTAAGCTTGAAGCTGAATGACGGCTTCAAATAATATATTTCAAAAAAACGTGACTCAATTCTTTTCAAAACGTCTTAATATCTATGTTATCGGTCGCATTTATATTTTAGATTGAAGATGGAGTTTTGGTAGATTGATTGACGTTGATACCATTGCAATTAGATTTTTTTCTGTTTCGATCTGTGAATCGAAACGCCATTTTTCAAGCTGTTTATCGAATTCATAGATTTTTTTCGATGCTTTATCACAAACACTGAGCTTTCCATTGCTATTGAAAAGCTCCAAGCTTTGGAAATGTAAGCCGTCTTCATCAATAAACTTGAAAGTTTTTACAGTTTGATCTTTTGGACTCCTATAGAACAATTTAAATGTCGCGTCGAGTACATAAATTGTATCTTGAATCGTGCATGAATGTAATCGCGAAGAAGTGGATGGAGTAAGGAAGACACTTTTGTTTCTAATAGTTCCACAGCAAGCTATATTTGAGTTCTGAACAGAAAAACTTGGCCCATAGGGAATAAGAGTCAAAGCAGTGAAATGACTTCCAGAGTCAATGATGCATTCAGCTGATGTTAACACAATCTGCGTTCTTATATGCGCTGTGTTTCTTATATCCATGTAAAATATATCACTGTGGAATAATTTTATTAGAATTTCAATTACGCTTCGGTAGTTTTATCTTACCTCTGCATATCAGTATAATAATTCATCATATATTTTGATATTTGGCCATAATAAGAGCCCATTCCACCAAACATTCTGAGATGTATATATTTTTTATTCTCCCAATCCAATCGAATGCCTTTTCTACCGGAATCGTAAATAATATCGGTAATATATTCATTTATGAAAAGAGATGTTGAAAGTTCATTACATCTAACAAATTTAGCCAAGATCGACCAATATTTTGTCTTTGTTAGCATAAGAACTTCAACATTATTATTAAGTTCAAAAATGGCGAATGAACCATTTGATTTAATTGTTTTAGCGCAATCTTTTTTCAGGAACTCAGTTACTTTGGATACTATTGACATTTCCATAACCAAAGGATTAGCTTTTATTTTGCTCATCTCAAAAGCACTCAAGCGAGACCAGTGGATAAACTGAGACAAATTCGATAAAAGTAACTTTCGACCATTTAGATCTTGTCTTATCCATTGCATAATTACTTCGAATTTTTGATACTCTGAGTCAACAATGACATCCAATCTGTAAATATATTCAATAGTTTTAAGTGGAAAGTTGAGAAATGATGGAGTATTCGAAATTTTAAGAAAATGCCGTTTGATAAAACAATCGATTTTGGGTTTACTTATCAGGTTTAAATGACTGGAAGCACATTCATTTTCCAAGAGAGAATCAACAACAAAGGGTAAATGATCAATAGTGAAATATTGCGTGAAAAAGTTATGACACTGGATTTTAAGATTATCCATCATCAGGTAATCAGCAACGCTCATGGTTTTCAGAACGGTGTCAAACGAAAGGTGAGTATAGCCATTGATCACGGTATAGAGGATGTTTCTCAAAGCATCTTCATCCAAATCCAAATTCACATTCAACGTTTTAGACTCAGAATAATCATTTGAGAACATTTTTTCAAAATAAGGGATTTTAGAACATAAAAATTCCTTTGGTACTTTAAAAGATTGCGTTCGATTCGTAATCTCAATCTCCACGGAATCAACTCGTGTCAAATTAGCCATAGTTTGGACTAATAAAAAATCGACACTTCGAGTCCAAACTGAAAAACTCAGACACAATGAACAATAATATTAATGAGTGAAAAGGTCAACTTACTTTTAAAAAAATCTGAATAGATGAGATTTAAACGAGTTAAAAGTAATGAAATACATTGAGGCTACGTAAGCTTAAAATAAAAGGTGATAATTACCAGGTGATTATCAATTCATATCTTTGGTTAATAATACTATACGGTAGTTTACTAATTGTCACACTAATCCATTCGGTGGCTATGAATGAAAATATCATAAATTTAGTGTATGTACTAAATGCGCTTTTTCATGTTCAATCACTTACGATTTATCTCAGAGTAACAACCTTTGAGGTTTGAAATTTTCTGTTAAATTTCCAGTCGAGTCTAAATCTAAATCGAGTGGAGCTCAGTCTGATATAATTGCTAAAGATGGTCAATTAATTCAGTTAATCATTTACCATCTAGGATCATCGTCCAGTTGTCTCCAGGCTTTTTATATTACCTGATGATTATAATGTTAACCCAACTCATGATTGTAACAGTTATTACATTATTATTTTCTTATTGAATTGCTAATCACTCAATCAATTGATTTATTTTTAATCACAACTTTAGGTCAATTAACATCAACAATTGGAGAGGAAAAAAATTGCGGATTGAGTAAATCACGGGCTGAATTCATTCAAATTATGGAAAATCTCAATCTTGATTATCCAAAAATGATGAGTAAGCTACTTGATTGAGATGATTGAATATCAATCAGGTAAACGAGATCTTACCGTTAGTGATACCGACATGAGTCAATCTGTCAACATCTACAAATGTAAAGATTGTCTGGTTGTGATTAAAGGAAAGGTAAATTCAATCACCGTCGATTCTTGTACCAAACTTTCATTGGTATTTGATGACATCGTTTCCGTCGTAGAGTTTGTCAACTGTCAAAATATCCAAGCTCAGGTAAGAAAAATTAACAAATCTACCAACAAATAACCTGAGAACAAAAATGTAATTCAATATTTCTCCTCGTTTTCTCATCTTCTACCAGAGTATGGGCGCTGTACCAACTGTCAACAGTGAGAAGATCGATGTAGTCGATCAACATATTGAAAAAAATAGATTTTATATTACTAATTTAAAATTAGTAATTTTCCTCTTGATTTGACTCTCAAAGGTTGAAATTAGAGTATTTATTTTGCTATCACGCGATAATTCAAGTATAACTTCTTAATTCTTTACTTCCTAGAAAATCTAAGAATTAAGGGGATGTGAACTGTTTTAATTCGCATGTCGACCTGATTCTTAAGAAATAAATATTCAGTCTATGATAATGATCAAAAATCTATGGTAATCAATCGATAATTACTATCAGTTGATCATCATCATCATCTTGTTGATTAAAACATACACACAGACAAGTGACATGAAGATTAACAGAAAGTGTCATCGAATAAAAGTTTTAAATGATAATTTAAGTACGAACTGAATCGTCTTTTAACCCTTGTGATTAATGGTAACCCATGGAATTCAGTATATTAGAGCAGAACTATGTAGCCTTTGGCTTTAAAGTGATTTTTTCATTGAATAAAATCTCGCTAGATTGAGTTTTGTTTTTCATTTCTTTAATTGTGATGTGAAAATTATTGCATTGTAAGTAATGACTACAAATCAATTGGAGAGATATGCAAGAACATCAGTTAATCTGGACAATATTACTAATTTAAATCGACGACGATCACGACAATTGCTTAATCGTCATAATAACAAAAATCACAAAGACTTTAATATCTCTAATCGTCATCATCTGAAGGATTTGAATGATTGGAGACCAATAAGAGGTTCTTATGGTAATCGAGGCCGTGGTCGTTACATTGGAGTTGAAAGTAGACTTGGTCAACATTTAAATGGACTCAATTTGTTAAATCACCAAAAATCATCATTTTATCGTAACTCTTATCCAAGTGTAACGGGACTCGAAGTGACCGTAATGACTTCTGATTTTTTCTCACAAGTTAGATTACCTTATAGTGAAGTGATCGAAACGCTTAATTTATTTTTCCGTCCAAACATTAAAAATGATCAACAACTAGAATCAAATCGGTGAGTAAACTTCAAGTAGTATCTATTTATTGAAACTCTGTTCAAGACTCTCAGTACTTGAACCATAATTCTGGGAATGATTTCGGCAGAGTAACTGATAATAATCGATAGAATGAGATCTAAACGAAACTGCTAAAAATCAATGTAAAAGTTTAAAATTCTGATTCTCCTCAATTTTTTGTCAATCGATTACAAAAATGGCCGATATACTGTCTTTTTCTCATGTTATTAGTTTAATTGCTATTTAGATCTAAATTGCTAAAAAAATAAATGAATTTGTTTCATAAAACATCATGATAATCGCAGATTTTATCCTCAAATAATCTCGCTATTCAGTTGATCAGCGATTTGTGACTCTGATAATTGGATAAGGATTCTTGATGGATTATAATTTTACTTTCATTTTAATCTCATTTGATTATATTTATAATTTGATACAAAGAAATTATTCTGAAAAGTCTTAGAAATTGATTGATTTCTAATTTTCTCAATACAATATTGTGTAAGTGAAGTTACAATGTGAACATTGAGATAATATATTTTTTGTCTAATAGATTGAGATTATATAATTGTTTGAGGATAAGAATTAAGTAGATGAATTGATACCATTGTGATCAATTTTTTTTCTGTTCTTATTTCAAATAAGAATTGCCAATCATTTTTAGATGAATTGTATTTATAAGCTTTTTTGGTGTCTTTATCACAAAGAATTAGATCATCATTGTGATTCAATAATTCCAAGTTTTCGAAGGATAATTTCTCATCGATAAATTTTAATGTTCGCATCTTTGGGTTAGACACATCGCACTCTTGAAAGTCAAGTGACTCATCACATTTGTAAATTGAATTGTTGATAATACAAGCGTGTGCCGATCGAGTCTCGGGGTCAGTTGAGAATAGGCTTTGGTCCATAACGGGAATTGCCCTTGGAAATACCCTTGAGGTAAATTATCATTTCAACGACGCTCGTTTCACCTGTTGAGTTTATCGGGTTCAAGGGTTATCCATTTTCTTTCAAATTAACATTTCATTTCAAATCAACAAAATTAGATTAAAGAAACATTCTCAATGGTTCATCACCGAACATGTAAGATATTTAAACTTTATCTCCTTCCAATCTAAACGAATACCTTTGGTCCCAAAACCATAACGCTATCGGTGGTACTGTCATTGGTTATTAGATTGATATAGAGATCATTTTTCAAAGTGAATTCACCAAAATTGATCGAACGATTCAATTACATGATTTCATGAGGTCAGCGAAAAGATCAGCTGATGGTGGTGAAGGAGTCCCCCAACAGAACGAGCACCAGGACCTGTTGGTCAGCTGGAGAAAAAATGGTTTCTCTTCTATGCAAATCAAACAAAAAAGAGAAAAATGCATCAATTTCGATGAAAAATAAAACAAGAAACACAAAATTAATCAAAAGAAATTAACAATAAAAAGAGAAAATAAAATAAATCCATTCGATATAAAACAAATTCTTCTCTTCAAGAAATAAAAATACGATGATAATCAGAGAGAAAGAATAGAAAACAATACAAAGAATAAGCAAAGATCGAACTTACCAAAATCCATCTTGGGACAACACACACACACACTTGATACTAATTTAGAATTGAGCAATTGATAAAATTGATAAAATAGAATAAAAAATAGATCAATTTCTTAAAGACAATTAAAAAATGTTACAATCACACCAAGCAACTGATTCTCAATGAACATTCAACATAAACAACGCCCGTAAAGAGAATAATCGATTATAAGATAATCGATTCTCAGCTGATTCTTTAATCTTATCGTCACTTTTTTCATTCTCGCCACTTTACTCATCATTTAACTCTAATTCAGTTACATTTAATTACTTTATTTTCTTAGCAAATTAATTGTTTCCTTGTAAACTGCTCTGGTTAACACAATTATCACCATCTATTAATCATCATTCCAGTTAATCAATTGGTTAACTGATTCTTTCAATTTCCTTTTCTGTTGTTGTTTCTTTCATGGTGAAAATTTGCTTCTTTTTTTTTATTCTCCTTTAATTATAAACCAATCAATTGATTGTTCTGTGTAAACATTTTCTAAACATCAATTATTGATAGAATTATTGTTGTTGACATTGTTCCTCATATTTCGACTTGATTTATAAGAGATTAATTCAATTTGTGTATTAGAATTTCCATCTTTATGGCATCAAACCAGAATAAAGGATCAACATTACTCAGCAGAGAAGAAAATGATTTTTTATTCAGTCTTCTAGGAGAAAAGTGTGTGGTAAGATGATTTCCTCAAAACCTTCACAATTTTCCATCAATTATCCTGTTCTAACATTTCCTTCACCTTTAGACACTTTCAAGTACAGTTATCCAATTACTGGTCACAACACCACCGACCCACTCAAAATGGACCAAACATACCACCGGAATGGTTTGTTTTGTCAAAGACAACATAGTTCGCTCCTATTTTATCAAAGTTTATGATATCGACAATGTAAGTTGTCAATTGCTCATTTTTTTCCGCCATCATCTCCTTCAATTGTCCTTCCCCTTAAATTTTCCGTAAACTAGGATAACAATTGTGTCCATTTTCGTAATTCATATCCTAGAGAAGACAATGTGTTTGGCAACAAGAGCTTTACCGTTACTTTGATTACAAGGCTACTCGAGTCAATTTTCACACCTTCGAAGCGGACAGTTGTCGAGCTGGTTTATATTTCGCCGACAGTAACGAAGCCAATGATTTTCTCAACATAGTCCAATCTAAAGTGAAAATTTTAGGTAAAACTTTACTCTTTTGTTCAATTGATCACTTTAAATATCAATGTTATCATTTGTTACCAATTGATTCAATATTTACTCGCTTCATTTCATGTGAATCATCCCAATTACATCAACTGATTATTTAAAGTAACATTGATATTTTTAAATCTCTCTTTTAATCTAAATCATTTTTTCATTGACTAATTATGTTCATTTTTTTTTTCATTCTCTTTTATCACACAGAAAAACGAGGAAAAAGTTCAAGGCAACAAAACAATAATAGTAATAGTAACAATTATCCTAGTATAACTGGACCAGGTTGGATCATTTTTACATATTTATCGTCATTCATTCATCATTTTGATATTAGACTATTGCCAGACTTAAATGATTTAAATGTTGTGACCTTTTTTACCTGCGAAAACTTTACGACTTTTACCTCACGTAGATGAAAGTTTAACATACAATTAATATCAATCATTATAAGTAGATAATATATTGTTCAGTAGGTTTAATTGGATTCAGGTGATCAAGTTTCTTTCACTGACTCACTTACTCACTGAATTTAATGTATCAACTACTCTACTTTAATATTGGATGAACTTGATCACCAACTTAACAATTTCTTAATTGGGTTATCAAAAGATCACTAATCAGTTACCTTTCAATCAAAACTATAGATGAACAAATCAGCTTTTCCCTTCTTAAGATTTGATTGTCTTTTCATTTCTCTTATTGTTTGTGACATTTTCCTCCTTCAAAAGCTCATTAGTCTGATGACATGAAAGGGATCGAACAATAGAAATCAAATATTACTAATAATAAGCCTTTTGAATACCTAATTAGTTGAAATGGAAAAGTAATCACAGTCAAAGAAACAAATTAAGTCACTAATGCATAATTACTATTAACTGACCTGTTTTATTTTTACTCTAATCTCTCTCTCTCTCTCCCTCTCCGTCTCTCTTACAGTTTCAGACCCATTTTTAACACATACTCCGATTGCGAGTAAAAAAAAAGAGAAAGGTAAAAAGAAGGAAGAAAAGAAAGACAAAAACAAACCCAAAGTGAGAAAGGAAGATATTGGTCTTCCAACCGACTTCCAGCATCTTCGTCACATTGGTTGGACACCCGAAACCGGCTTTAATGTAAATACTAAAATCTACTTATTAGCATCATGAAAGGTTATTGATTCTAATTGATTAACTTTCTATCAATCAGGTTACTAATATCACTCCAGAGTACAAGAGATTTTTTGAATTCGCTGGTGTCACTGAAAAGCAACTTCAATTGCCCAATATTCGTAGTTTTCTCTATGAGTTTGTCGATAAACGAGGAGGGATTCAAGTATGTCTACAAGATATGGATCAACATCTTTCACAGAAACTTCCTCTACCTCCTTACTCACCACCTCTTGTAAGTTTCAATCTTCATCCGATGATAAAAAGAACAAAGTTTATTGGTCTTTTGATATGATTATTGATTATTATTCGGTTTATTTTGTAATTTTCAGCCCCAATCTCAAACATGGCATCCACCACCTCCAACTGGGGCTCCTCCACCTCCACCAGCTCGAACACAGCACCATAGAACACCAGCTCCACCACCACCGCCTCCTGCACCAATGAATCCACCAGTATCGAAGTTACCACATTCAGCGCCACCACCGCCGCCTCCACCTCCATCTTTTGGTTCAATGGCTCCACCACCGCCTCCGCCACCACCACCGCCACCTCCTCCTGGTATGGGCATGGGTCCACCACCACCTCCTCCTCCACCCCCACCTTGCTCTGGTCCACCTACACTTCGGCATGATGAAAACCGATCATACAATGCAAACGGCGGGGCACCGCCACCACCACCACCACCAGTTGATGCCCGATCTGCTCTCATGGACGCCATACGAAATGGTCCTAAATTGAACAAAATTGACCAGGAAAGTTTATCTTCCAAATCAAACAGTTCCGCTGAGACTGGACGAGATGCTTTGTTAAATGAAATTCGTAAAGGAAAAGAATTGAGAAAAGTTGAAACCACCGGCGCTGATCGACCTCCAGTCCAGGCCAAACCAATCGGTGGTATAGCTGGAGCTTTGGCCAAAGCTCTTGAAGAGAGACAACGAGCCTTACAGGGTACAAGTGATGAAAGTGATGCCTCAAGTGATACTCCGTCTGATGATGAATGGGAATAATTTAGAGAAGAAACAATTGAATGAATTCTTTTTTCAAGGTTTTGTTTCAATTCTTTTATTTTTCTCTCACATTCTCATTTCATGATAATACAGTTTGAATTTTTTACACACCCAAAAATCAATACAATCATCAACACGATTTATTTTCAACAATATTATTACCTCTGTAATCATACTCTTCGTTATCACGTCGACATCATCACTCGCTGCCGTCGTTATCATACAAATCCTGTTTCCATCAATGAATTTCCCCTTTTCTCTCTCTCTCTCTCGCTCTCTCTTTCATTACAATTAGAGGAAAACAAATTATTATCCATCAAAGTTAAATAATCAACACACGAAACAAAAGCTCTGTTAACAATTACCCACAGTGTCAACAAGTTAAAACACTCAACAAACCACAAACACTTAAACATTACCACCAATACAAACATGATTTACTTAAAAAGGTAAAGGGTTAATCCAACAAATTAACCCTCTCAACACATTGTCAAATCACTCTAAACTTTAGCAAAGGATTTTTTGATCATCACAATCATCATAATCATCACCATAACCGCCACCATCACCGTAATTGTTATTAACTTAATGAAGACTGTTAAACGAAAAAAAGACAATTTGTTTCTCCTTTTGATTGTCTCACCGAAAACAACTGAAAGACAAAACCACCCGATCGTCGATCAACAAAACAAAACGAAAAAAAGATGATAATATTGTTACAAAGTTTAATTTCAAAAAAAGAGTCTCCTGAGTACTTAATTACACTATAATTATATAAAGAGTTAATTAACTAATATTATTATTGATTATTACAAGAATGAAATCTCTGTAATCTATTTTTTCTGTAAAATCTTAATGTTAAACATTAACACAAGAATCAAGCAAAAAGCAAAGATAAAAATCAAAATTATGATCAATTTCATCGGTATCATCGATTGTTTTTCTCGTGCGATAAATTATCTTGGTTAATTGATACTTCGAATAGATTGATAAATAGAAAATTAAAATATTTTATTCGAATAATCATTGAGAATGTTATTATTTTACGAATTAAAATAATTCGATCAATCAAAAGTTCTAAAACTTTCGAAAGGCAAAGTTGAGAACAATATAAAGTCATAAATAGAATAGCAAATTGATTGATTGGTTTTGGTTAGAATTAGATTTTAAATTAGTCAAACAATCGAGTGTGAAACAAATCAAGATGATCAATATTTGTAGAAATTAATGATTAGTCAATAATCATCCAAGTAAATCAAATATGAATTCACACGAAGCCGGAAAAATGAATTGAGATTCTTAACCTTAACTGACAATTATGAATATGAAAAAGTAACTTTTTAAGTTGATTGTAAGTGTTAGTAATTTAGTGATGAGGAACAATTGTCAATTGGTTGATTGTTTACACTCAGAGACAAAAACTGATCAACAATTTAAACTCGGTCACGGTTATAAGATTCAAATTAATGTTGGCAAAAATGTTCTAAGGTTAAACTGATTCATCGTTAGTCATTTTTTCAAGTTGCTTTAATTAGCTTCTTCCTTTCATTCATCATCATCATCTATTTTTCACCCTGCACTTTGTTTACCGGATGATCCTCAGGTTTTCATCATCATCATCACTACCATTAAGATATGAACAATTTACACTTTTTATCACCTTAGAGATGAAATTAAACGTATTTATTATCTGGAAACTTGTTACTTTTGGGTTCTTGTTTTGCCTTTTATTGATTTTCGGTTGTTTTTTTTGTCTCTTTGCTCCTTTTCTGATGATCATTTAAAAATCTCGTCGATAAGATCATTTAAAGTTGTTTTCCACTGATTAAATTTGATTGTCTTTTACACCTCTCCTGTTTTCCCATGTATTGCTCTCGTCGTTGATTTGTTTCAGCTGATAAACTCTCGCTTCTCAAGTTGATATCATTCTGATATTGATTCAATGGTTTTCGCCTATTAGGGTTGTGTTCACATAGATTATTAGGTAAAATTAGATAGAGAAAAGGTAGCAGATAATGAGATACAAATGGAAAAAAAAGACAGAGGGATAAATGTAGACAGAGAGAAAAGATTAGGCTGCTTTATCAGCAGGTTCCGTTTTGAAGACTGATCCGTTGAAAATTGATTTGAATTGTTCCGGAATAGGATGTTCAACCTTCAAGAGCCAAATCAAGAGGAAAATTAGATAAAATTAAAATTTTTTTCAACATGTTGAAATTGGAAGAGGAAATAACACCAATAAGGTGTGGTGATAAGCTTAAAATGAGTTGACAGGTACTTACGAAATCACCATTGGCAGAAGGGACTGAAACATTGACTGATGATGATTTGGCGGTGACGATTTCAGCGGTAAGTGATTTAGCGTTCAAGTAGACCTCGACTACATCGGTCTTCTCAATGTTGACAGTTGGTACAGCGCCCATACTCTGGTAGAAGATGAGAAAACGAGGAGAAATATTGAATTACATTTTTGTTCTCAGGTTGTTTGTTGGTAGATTTGTTAATTTTTCTTACCTGAGCTTGAATATTTTGACAGTTGACAAACTCTACGACGGAAACGATGTCATCAAATACCAATGAAAGTTTGGTACAAGAATCGACGGTGATTGAATTTACCTTTCCTTTAATCACAACCAGACAATCTTTACATTTGTAGATGTTGACAGATTGACTCATGTCGGTATCACTAACGGTAAGATCTCGTTTACCTGATTGATATTCAATCATCCATTTTTTACCTTCCAACTCGAAACGAGGAGGTTTTGGTGGGGCAACTGATTTAACAACTGGTTGCGAAGTTGATGAAGGTGCTTTGTAAGGTGCTGGACCTGAAGATCTTAAAGCCGGATTCTTGTGAGTTTGTTGATCAGCGGTGATTTTCTTGAGACCTTTGGTAATTTCAGTTCCTCTGTTAAGCTCTTTAAGCAAAGCACTTCGAGTATCATCACCACCGGGTCCTGATTTCATGGGGTCGGCAAAAAGATCAGCTGGTGGTGGTGGTGGAGGTGGAGGAGGTCCACCTGCAGAAGGAGCACCAGCTGATGCAGTGGCAGGGGTTCCTCGTGAATTCCAAGTAAGACCAGTGGTATGATGAACTCGAATATACTTTTGAAGATCATTGAGAAATTGAAGCCAAGCTTTGGCCCAATCAATGTGTGTCTTGTCCTTCTCTTTATAAGCCACTAGAACTTTATTAGTATAAAATGTAGCAGCATCGGTCATTTCTTTCACAAAGGGAGCAGGAGTGGGAGAAACTGTTACCCAACCAAGAGCACCAATAGATTCAGAGATGGCGGACAAATGGTTAAACCAAGAAGAGGCTCGATTTTTTTCACGAAATTCTTGAATGGCCATTATACTTTCTGATAAGGGCTTAAGTAGCTGCATAAATATTCCTGTGTCTGGTTTACTGTGGTTACCAGTTAAAATAAGTAAAGAATAAAGCTTGGAAACAGCTTCACGTACCATTTGAGCATGTTGATTAACTAAATCACCGATTTGTTGACTCAGATTAAGATAAGCACCGAATGAACCTTCAATGATGTCTTTACATTCTCGAAGAAATGGTTTCTCTTCTATGCAAATCAAACAAAAAAGAGAAAAATGCATCAATTTCGATGAAAAATAAAACATGAAACACAAAATTAATCAAAAGAAATTAACAAGAAAAAGAGAAAATAAAATAAATCCATTCGATATAAAACAAATTCTTCTCTTAAAGAAATAAAAATACGATGATAATCAGAGAGAAAGAATAGAAAACATCAAAGAGAATAAGCAAAGATCGAACTTACCAAAATCCATCTTGGGACAATACACACACTTGACACTAATTTAGAATTGAGCAATTGATAAAATTGATAAAATAGAATAAAAAATAGATCAATTTCTTAAAGACAATTAAAAAATGTTACAATCACACCAAGCAACTGATTCTCAATGAACATTCAACATAAACAACGCCCGTAAAGAGAATAATCGATTATAAGATAATCGATTCTCAGCTGATTCTTTAATCTTATCGTCACTTTTTTCATTCTCACCACTTTACTCATCATTTAACTTTAATTCAGTTACATTTAATTACTTTATTTTCTTAGCAAATTAATTGTTTCCTTGTAAACTGCTCTGGTTAACACAATTATCACCATCTATTAATCATCATTCCAGTTAATCAATTGATTAACTGATTCTTTAAATTTCCTTTTCTGTTGTTGTTTCTTTCATGGTGAAAATTTGCTTCTTTTTTTTTTATTCTCCTTTAATTATAAACCAATCAATTGATTGTTCTGTGTAAACATTTTCTAAACATCAATCATTGATAGAATTATTGTTGTTGACATTGTTCCTCATATTTCGACTTGATTTATAAGAGATTAATTCAATTTGTGTATTAGAATTTCCATCTTTATGTAATCGATACCATTATTACAATAACAACACTCTAAATGAACTGAATTAAGATAACAAGTTGTTGGTTGTAGAAAGAACAATTTACTAATTGTTACCCATAGAACCTTATCCATCTAAAGTTTCAAATACTTTGTTATCACCTCATCATCTCTCTATCAGTTGACTATAAATGGTTATGATGATTATCCCCAACTCATAGTGATTAACTTGATTGTGACACTTTCGGTTCTTTCTTCATGATTTTCCTCTTCCACCTTCACCACAATTTCATAAATTCTTGTGTAATGAAAAATGATTCAACTTGAATCTTTTTTTGGCTTCAAGTCAATGATTTACATGTTCACTCAAGTATATTCACTTTTCCAAGGTTCAGCTCATGTTGAAATTCATCACTGATAAGTTATCAGTCTTCACTTGAATCATAATCATTGTGATTAACTTAAATGGTGAAAATAATTTGTTTTCAATTGATTGAATTATTGATTATCCATATTTAAGATCAACTCAAAATCAATAATATTTGATAAGTTTTAAGCTTAAATGAAACAATCATTTTATTGTGATCATTGAATTGTTCATTCAAAGATTGAGAAAGTTTTCAATTGTTTGAGGTAATAAATTAGTTCGTTTAAATTTAATAATAATGATGATTTACAAAGGTAAATGAGAATAAAGATTAAAATTAGTTAATTGTTAATTTACACAGTAAATTATTAATTTTATCACTTTTGATGATCCAATTTGTATTAGATGTTGAATTAAACTGTCCAATGTTTTTTTTTCAACTTCGTTAGCCCGTAATTTTTGGTGACAAACAAAAGGTCAATTGTTTTAATCAATTAGCAAACAATTAGACGATAATCACTCGATTACCGTTAAGAATACCAGCTAATTGTCCTTGTTTAGCCATTTCCGCTAATCCAGGTTGTTGTAAGACGTAAGTTCGAGTTGCTTGTTGATTGTTTTGTACTCCCGATTGGACAGTTTGATATAAATTGTTACTTCCTTGAACTCCTTGGCCTCGTTGTAACAAGTAGGTTGTACCTCCACCGCGACCATTGGTCATCAAATTACTGACCAAATTTCCCTGAAGATTTGATCCTCTTTGTCCACCTAAACCTTTATTGTTTTGAGTTGTAGTGTAAGTGTGACCAGTATGACCTGGACTTGAGTGACCAGTGTGACTGTGTTCATGTCCACCTCCGGTGTGATGATGATGATGATGATTAGCATGACTATGTGAGTGTTTGTGTCCATGGCCGTGGCCGTGCTTGTGATGAACTTTGTGGCCTGTGCACCAAAAAATAAATGAAAAGACATGAAATGAGTCATCACACAGAAAATTTCATTAATTCAGTAATTGAATTTGCTACTCCAATGGTCAGTTAATTTATAAAATGTTCTTACCTTCATGGTCATGGTGATGATGAACCTCCTTTTTACAACATTTATGTTTATCACAACCACAATGATGATGATGACCAATTACTACAAATGCCAAATTAAACACAATTAAACTAATCAGCAATAAAGATTTCATGATTTTTGGTCACTTGTTGGATTAACTTAGATTAGATTAAGAAATGAGTTTGTTTAATTCACTTGACACTTTCTTTTGGTGATTCTGAGACTTGATTATCACTTATCTTGTCGTGATTAACGTTGATCGTCAACTAATTGTGGTCTGTGTATTTACAACTCATTTTTATACTGATTAGCTGTCTCACTCAATCAGCAATTAAACGTAACAATTAAAAAGTTTTTAACTCTTCCTCCCCACTTTGCATTTGAATCTAATTGTCCAAATCAAATAGTTCAAAGATCAAATGTAAATCACAAATCAACTTAATTGTTAAAAATGTTTTCTAATTGTTCGGGCCTTTAACTATTGTTAATTACATTGAAATGTTTTTTACACTTTGACCGATTAGCTTCAATGATTTAACCTAACAAAGGTTAACTTTTCAATTGCAATTAAAATCATTTATGATGATTAATTTAAATCAATTGACAATCGAGGCAAATTCAATTGATTTAACACCAACAATTAGATGAGGACGAAGTGATTACAATAAAAGCCTCAACCGGCCTGATTTAATTTGATTGTAAATCAAATAAATCGCTCTAAGGTCAACTAAACGTATTTTCCGACAGCAATTAAGTTAAACAATTAGTTATAATTGTTAAGAATCTATTGAAGATTCAACTTAAATTTGATGGTAAATGAATAACAAACAGTTAATCATTCAAATAAACAGGAACAACTAATTAAACTAATCATCATATGGATAATTGTACTAATTAACTTAACCTAAAAGTGGCAATAAGTTAATCAAGATTCACACTTGGGACTGAATTAAATACAAAATATATTACATTGGTTTACAATTTAACTTTTAATTAATTGTAAAGTTAATCTTTCTTTTTTAATATAATTGCATTTCTGGCTTCATGGTTGATTATTACTAATTATGCATCAATTGAATCAGTTAATTGTTAGAAATGATTATCTCACATGGAATAGGAAAAGTAATAATATATTTGTTGAGAGTTTAAATGATTTAGATGATTATGAAACCAGAGATGATTAACAAATTGATATTTTTCCAGGCAAATGATGTACATCAGCAATCGGCCAAATTATTAATTATTTGATGAAATGTAAAAGGGGAAATTTGAAGAAGGAGTTTTATCACATTAATTGGATCTACATTCATCAATTAAGTTGTATTTTTGATTGTTAGCAATCTCGTAATAAAAGTGGCTTGATCATTATCACAGCTCTTGTCGATAATATCTCTGTGCGTTCAATTTAATTGAAGATGTAATCATTTCTCTGTGGGTAAAACAATTAAAAGAAAAACATAATTTACAATTTTGATCACAAAATCCAAATGGCCAATTAACCGATTACCTGAAAACATCCATGTTAAAAAGTATCGCTGTTACATGTCCACCCTCAAGAGTATGTAGTTTAGCTCCAGGCCAAATTTTGGTCAAGGGTATGATACCATCTCTCGGTACATAGGCATCTTGAGAAGCAGTGACAATGGTTACTAATTCGGGATCGACCGGTGGACCAAAATTACCAAGGTGAGTACATTCATCCATAATACCACGCATGAAATTAAGACAGTCTAACTTGAGATCAGAGTTTTGCTCATCTCCTTTGGAACCATTTCCATTGACCATTGAATCGAGACTAGATGGAAAGTTTTGAGCGAATTTTCTTCCCGCATTAAATACCTCATCCTGAGAAAATGAATTAACCATGAGAAGAAAAAAAAAGAAATAAAAAAATTCCAATGAATAAATGACGCGTTCTGATTATCGATCTCAAACTTACCCATTCAGGTGAATGGATCATTTTCTTGACTTCGTTTTGAAACTCTGAACCATATTGAACGTATTGATCTTCTAATGTTTGCCAGGGAATAGCACCACTTAAAACACCTATGAAAATACAGTTATCTTATTAATATTTCTTTCAAGTCTTAAGTAATTTTCACAATCAGATATTAATCACCTTGAGTGAATGCACAAGAAGCCGTTGTCCATGAGAGACAAGGTATTATTGAAATCGGCTTGTTCCAACTAACACCAGCCAAAGATGCCATCTAATGAATAAATTGTTCTGGTTCAATGAAAACTGTTCAATTATGATTCAGACGATTAACTTACATGTCCACCCATGGAAATACCCGTTACACAGAGAGGAGCAAAGTTCATTTTCTCACACCAATTGAAAAGCGCAATTGACTCAAGGATTAAACAACCACCCATGATAAAAATATCTGAAACTTTACGAAGACATGAACGAATTTGATCCGGAGGTTTACGAGATCCATCTGAATTAGAAGAGAGACAATTAACACACAGATTCTAACGGTTATTAATCACTAGCAACAATTAGAATACAGCAAAGAGTAAAACAAAACATACAAAAAGGATTTTCCAAAATGATTGAACCAATTCCAGATTCACGTAGCAAAGGTTTCGCCATTAGAGCTCTTCGCCGCCAGAAAAACTGATAATATGAAAACAACAAAACAGAGAAATAGATAAATTAATTACAATGAATCACACAAAGATCACCATTAACACAATTAACCCATGAAAACAACTAACATGATCACCGGTTCCAGCTAAATGAAGGCAAATAGGCTTGAGATATGGATGTCTCCATGTTTTGGGTACCAACAATTGGAATCTTGCAATTCTTGATTCCTCTGGAATACCTTCCGATAGATATTCTTCCAGGGGACTGATAAAATGACCTTCAGTAAGAGTATATTCTTTGGTATCTTCGACAACCTTATCGATATAAATTGGATGATTGGTTGAGACCATTTTCATACACGATTCTCGGTTTGACATAATTTTTCTTAAAGAAAATATCCTGAAAAAGAACAATTTTAAAAACAAAAGAAATTAAATAGAATAAAGGAAACACCAACAGTTAATTAGAATCATATGAAATAACTTAGAATAGAATAGAAAATAAATAGATTCTCTTGGTGACTTACTTTTTCATATTCTCGGGGTCTCCCCATCCTTGGGTGAAAAATTTACTCAACAAGATACTCCGATAAATTGTATCAATTTTACTCGAATTAGGATTTAGATTAAATCTCATGGCACTCGGATGGAAAATTAAAATAAAATCAAATCGAAAATAAAAGAAACAAAGATCAAATTTAATTCTAAATGGAAACTAAATCATGATGAACAAGGAGAAAAACAAACCAGAGAGATGACAGAGTCATCAACAAAGAAAGAAAAAGAAAGAGAAAAAAAGGAAAACATAAGACCGATAATCAGCTGATTTTCTTGTTCTTTTTTCTCTTTCTTCTTTTCTTTCTTTCTTTTTTCCCCTTAGCTATTGTAGCGACAACCAGATGAAGGAAAACAAGTTAACTGTTAATTTTTTTTTCTTCTAAATTGTTAACTAATTATTTCCAATTCAACTAATTAATTTAATTCTGTTCTGTGTAAAAGAAAAGAAAATAATCTCTTGACCAGATTGAAAATTTCTTTTTTCATTTGAGTCACTTTTCTCTAAATCATCATCATTATCATTTAGAATAAATTGATTTCTACTAATGAGAATTAATTTATTTCCGTAGTTCTTATTTTCCCGTTAATTGTGATTCTCTCTAATAATCCTAAGATCAACAGGTAAGTCTAAAACCTGAAGTGAATCTCTATCGGTGATAAAGAAAACCGACCAGTTGATCGAGAGAAAAATTTGTTTTCATTTTATTCTATTCGATTCTGTGATTAGTGCTGGTACACTTGTGTTTTCTATGAATTAACACACAGAAAATGTGTAAAGAAATTTGATCAACCCATCGTTCACTTGTTGATTAATTAATTCTCATCAAATCTACTCAAACCGACTCTCTCTCTCTCGCTCTCTCTGTGAATATATAATTTATCTCTGGTTCCTTCTGGTTTTACATTGGTTTCCTTCTGTATGGAGAATTGTATGTTTTCAATGGTGTAACTCAACTGAGATTGATCACTTCCATTCGAGATTAATGAACGCATCCTCTCTTCCTTTTCCAATATATAATATATAGCGAATGAATAAATGTAATCATTGCCATTACCATCATCATCTCCATGAAAAAAAAATCAAAATTCGCTTGTGTTTATGTGCTAATCTTCATCTAAATCGTAACCAACACGCTCACTAATCTCCATCATCATCTTCATCTCTGTGAGTTTTTCTCATCCATTGTGAGGTTACATCTGAATTACAAGATAGAGAAAAACCGAGAAGCTCAATTTAAATTACAAATTGATCCACAATCAACTGTTTCCTCTTGCACTTCTTTGGTTACCAATTGATTCAGCCTTGGTGTTTTCGGTGAACAATTTCAATTCTCTCTCTCTCTCTCTCTCTCTCTCCTTTCTTTTTCCATGATTTCAGTTCTTATTGTTTCTCTGAGCGATAAAAAAATCCTCCATCACCACACTACTCATTCTATGGTCAATTTAACCAGGATTGTTTTTCCTAATCATGTTACAATGTAAAGGAAAACAACAAACCTTGATAACGAAAACTGAATCTTCCCTGAGTGTCGACATAATCACCACCATCATCACCACCTCAGTTCATTTTGTCAATGGAGAGGAAGAAGAAGATAATGTTGATGGAGAAAGGAAGAGATGAAGATGAGAGCTTCGTTTTCTTTTATTCTAAAATTGTTTTCTTCATCTTCTTCCTCAGTGATTCTTTTGGTTAATCTTCTCATCCACACTGTAGATAGTGTTTACAATCAATTTGACTATTTGATTAAGAACAAAATGTTTCACCAATCAACTGTTTCTCATCATTGGACCAAATTAAGACAATTATGTTTGAGCTTTGGTTAACCAAACGAAAACAAATCAAAAATCTCTGTTAATTTATTGTGATCAATGTTTCCATTTGTAAATCCCTTGTAATAACAAATCAACAATTTCCTTTTATTACTACAATTATTCTGGCACAAGAAGACAAATAATTTTCTGATTAACATAAATAATTTATCTAATTGTCACAATTAGATATCATCAGAATCACCATCACCATCTTCATAATCATCATCACAAATCAAGTTAATTTTGGACAACAACAACAACAAGATCATCGTCATCATTAATCTGAATCAGTATTAAACCGTCTCAACTCTTTCTTTTTACTTTTAATTGTAATTAAATTAAACCAAATCATGGTTTCTCTCTGTTTTATCTGCGAGCTTCCAATTTTACCTCATCAAACCTGGTCAACCTGGAAAGAGTTGGGCAGTAACCTACTGACCGCCGCTGGAACCACAGCATCACCAGGAAGTTATGTTAATAATTTGTACCATGAAGATTGTTTAATTTGTTCAGTTTGTGGCATTCGTTTGGAACAAAATAATTCAAATTGTGCCAAAAGATATGGTAATAAGGTTTATTGTCCATTACACTTTTCAGATATATCGGGAATTGGAACCGGCGGAGAAGAGTTCATGGCCAAATTGAAGGATTTTAAACGGCAAAGTTTGGGTTATGCTGAGGCTCGAAGGAAAAGTAGTACCACTCTCTCATTTCCGATTCCCGTTCAGGCCTGTCCAGGGTCACCCTATTGTTCAGGTTATCCTCATGGTATTAAACCGACCTCATCCTATTGGATTGAATGTTGTGGAACACCAAACTTTACTGGTCCACCAGGTAGTTACATTAACCAACAGCAACAGGCATTACAACAACAGCAACAACAACAACAACAGTCGTCACAACAATTACAATCATCATCATCATCACAACCCCAGTTAATAATACAACAAGCCTCATCTTCAACAGGTGATTTCTCAATGGGTGATAAATCAGATAATCCATGTTCATCTTCATTGCTTGATTGTAAAGAACCTAAAGAAGGTGAAAATCTTTTACTCGGAATTCCCACCATGATACCTCGGAGTAACACTTCCTCGGAGGGTTTTAATGTCAGTCGATTGGAGAGACAAGACACATCCAAATCAACCAACGATATGTGTCCCTACGGTCGATTACAACCACCGACGATTCAAGTGATCGAATCACAAACACCAATGACCAAAGATGACATTGAGCTTTATCGTAAACAGCCCAACATTGTACGTTAATCATTAACAATTTAAATTAATTTCATCCCTCTCTTATCCTTTATCGAATCATATTAATCAAATTTTCGTTTGGTCAGTCGAGGTCAATTTTTCTATGCAAAAAACAAACAATTCATCTCACAATCTCATCCACCTTATTGACAATCTAAACTTGGTTATAGTTTTCAATTGGTGCGATAATTAATCAATTAGTTTCACTAAAACTCTGAAAAAATTGTTTATTCTTTTGATTTGAATCAATTAATCTTGCAAATCATTTTCATCAGTGATACTTGTCAACAGATTAATACTTTTAATGGTTAGATTAACTTTTCTCATCAATCATCAACGAATTAATCTTTTGCCTTCAATTTCTTAAAGTCACTACGAGATTAAAGCCACTTTCGAACCTAAAATGCATCTAATTTAGGCATTTTCTCATCATCATCTCAATTCCCACCACCACCTCTTCCTCACCACCTCCTTACCTGACAACTTAATCATCTTCTCCTAATCATTTATTTACCTCTAGTGAAAAAACTGTCATCATGTCTATACAATATTGATTCTCTTTCTTTTCTCTCTTCCTCTTCCTGTTCCTCTTTCTTTCCATTAACATCTTCATCACTTTCATCCCTTTTTTACCTCATCACCTCTGGTCTTACATATTTTTTTCTTCTTCCTCAACTTCCTTCTACCTGAATATATATTATTTGTATAATTTTTTTTCTCTTCTTCTTCTTCTCTCCTTTTTATTCTATTATTTATCTCTCATACTCACTCTCTCACTCTTTATTTCTATTCTTTTTTTCTCATTCTAGGTCATAACGCAAGCTCACTCAACTTCACCACCTCCATCTCCTCCTGCTCCTCCAAAAGGTGAACCTGAACCTTTACCATCAACAAATCAACCTCAGAGTAAATCAGAGGATCCATATGAACTTATCTCCTTCCAAGAGGAAATCTACGAAAAGCATTATTATGGTAAAGAACATTGGAATTATTTTACCAACGATGAAGGTCTTGGTCCCGTTATATTGAGTCTTAAACAGGAAAGTGCCGCTGGTCGGGATCAATTTCGAATTCTTCTTAGAACAGTTTCCTATTCTTTACATGGTCTGGTTCCTGCGAGTTCGATTTGTGCTGATCGTTATGATCGAGAAGCGGTGGTCAAAGCTCTTGGTGACGAAGCTGGACTTAAACCATCCCTTAGCCTTGGGCAACTTCCATCTATACCTGATGAATTAATCAAATTGGATCAAGTTTTCGTTAAATCTGAACTTAAGGTCGGAATAATTTATATCAAAAAGGGTCAAACTTCGGAAGAGGTTATTTTAGGGAATAGGGAAGAGTCACCTCGGTTTGCTGAGTTTCTCGAAATTCTCGGAGACAGGATAAGGTTAAAAGGTTTCGATAAATATAAAGGTGGCCTAGATACTGTTCACGATCTGACAGGAACCGAATCAGTCTACACTAATTGGAAAAATATTGAAATTATGTTCCATGTGTCCACTATGCTTCCCCACGAGGAGAACGATCCTCAAAAGTTACAAAAGAAACGACATATTGGAAATGATATTGTTTGTGTTGCCTTCATAGAAGCCGATGATACCCCTTTTTGGCCTGGTAAGTTCACTTTCCAACTTAGAGAGAAAAAGTTTTGATCCTCTTAATTGACAATTTTGACTTTCCATTTTGTAGGTTGTATCAAATCCCATTTTCTACATGCATTCATAGTCGTTCGAACAACACCTAAGCCTCTCGCTGAGGACGAAGTGAGAAAATACTCAATCAGTGTTGTCTGTCGAGACGAAGTCTCTGCTTACAAACCCTATTTATGGCACGAATCGACATTCGAAAAGGTTAGAAAATAATCAATCATTCAACAAGTGGTTGCTCTGATTCTATGCACTTTCCAATCTTAATTGTTTCCATTTGTTTGTATTTCTTTTCAAGGGACCACATTTAAGAGATTGGCTCTTAACTAAGATCGTCAATGGAGAGAGAGCGAGTTATTCTGCTCCAAAATTTGCACGAATGCAGGTAAATAAACTTTAGCTCCTACAATTTGTTAAATATGTTGATACATTGTTTTCTTTTTCTTTTTTGCAAAGGATCGAACTCGAAGTCAAATGCTTGAAGATCTTGTTACCAATTTAGCGAATCATCTTGCAACCGGACAAATTCCCAAACCATATCGCCGAGGTTCATGGAGACCTATTGGTCACATGAGACCTTCTAGTCCACTTTTAGACTCTGTACGTGATCTTTTTGAAGGTTACGATCAACTGGCCAAAGATTTTAGTAGTGCTTTCAACAATAATGCTAAAATGATTTGTGATGTCGCATTTAACGTGATGGGTAATCCCGGAAATGGTTGTCATGAAACACAGATCAGACGAATTTATGGAGTCCGAGCAATTTTGGCCATTCGAAGTCGGGTTTTTCTTGAAATGTTGTATGGCTTCAGTCCACCAGGAACCGTTAATCCATCATCCGCCCAAATGAACAACCCTGGTGGCTCAATTAATCCAACCATGGGAGGAATTGGAAGTAACTCTTTATCACCTTTAATACCTGGAAGCTCATCAAGTGGTGTTGGTATAAGTAGTTCATCATCTTCAGGGATTGGTTCCTCGACCATCAATCCATCTCTGACCACCATTACTGGACATCAGCCACTTGGACCAAGTAACTCCCTTAATAAGAATCAATCATCATCACCTGAAAAACCTCGAACCACTCGAAAAAGTAGCATCACTGCCAGTACAATTCATAAAATCTCACAAATCCCCAAGATAATTCATCCATCAGAATCGAAAAGTAAACGTAAAGAATCAACCATATCAAACTTTTCGAATGCCTCAGCATCCAAAACACCGACTTACCTTACGGTTCCTGGAGCCTCATCTCTGGGTGGAAGTTTTCGTGCCGCTTTCTCGAGGTTAGTGTCCGGTTCTTGGGCGGGTTGGGGAAGCAAAAATCGAAACGATTCAATTAAAAGATGGCAAAGCGAATCAATTTATGGTCGCACTGATTTAAATATCGATCCATCTAAAATCCCGAGTCTCTCGGTGTGTGCTGATATCGCTAAAATTGATAGAAATAAATTAGCCCAAACTGAGGTAAGAACAACAATTAATTGAAACTCGCAAAATTAATCAACTTTTTCCTCTCTCTTTTGATTATTAGTTTACGATAATTGAATTTGATGGCAACACTTTTCAACTTCTCATTGAATATCTTCATTCGGGCTCATGTCCACTGACCTGTGATACGATTCCTGGTTTAATTTGTGCAGCGGAACATTTTGATCTACCCGATTTACTCCAAGCTTGTTTCCATCATGCAAAAACTCATCTTCGTCTTAGTTGTGTACCCGCGATGTTAAATCAATTGGAAAACTATTATTGGAGATACAATTCAGCGACCCAATTGGTTAATACAATATTAAAATTTGTCGATCCTCGAGTCGGTAAATTTTTCTCTCGCAGTGAATTTTTAACTCTCAGTGAAACCATGATAACTAATATACTCTCTCGACCTGGACTTGACCTGACGGAGATTCAGAAATTTCAAATAATGTACCAATGGGCAGTTAATAAAGTGTTAAACAGTGATCCAAACCATCCAACAATTTTAGTGACCAAAGAAAATGTTAACAACCACAATTTACCTCCGACCAAATTTACCGAATTAAAAGCGATCATGAGTAGATTAACGAGAGATGTTAAATTTCACAAAATGGCTCCACAAGATATAATTAAGGTAAACAGTTTTTTTTTCAATTCTTTCAACCAGATAATAACTAATTGTTTCATTCTCACAATTTAACAGATCGTACTTCCATCTAAAACAATTACTCATGATAAAATATTGGCCACTTTACTTTACCAAGCCGATCGAGGATTATACCGAGATTCAACCAAGTACACTCAATTTGGCAGTTGATTGTGATATATAATCATTATATAGATATTTATGTATTAATTTAATTGTTATCCTTCAATTTCCTCAACATAATATAATATCTAATTCTCATATTGATTCACTTTAACCAATGTAAAAATCAAATCTCTCTCTCTCTCTCTACAAAACTGTTTACATTTCCAAGTCAACAAATGTTCAGTATCAAAAATATTTCCAATACATTTCATCAAATGTCAACAAGATTATTTATGTTTTTTGTTTTTTTTTCATTGTCATTCCATGTAATTTGATTTGATTTCTTTGTACTGACTAACATGTTAAGTGTAAGAAACAAGTTAAAAATAAGAATTCTTTCTTTCTTTTTTTGCGAAGAAATCAATTCTATTTCTTATTGTTCATCAGCAAACATGTATTACAATAAAATTGATTAAATCAGTTAAAGATGATCATTTGGTTAGAGGTTTAATTGGTTCTTTTTCTAGGTGGGGGTCCTCCGCCGCCTCGACCACCACGGCCTCTTCCTCGGCCACGTCCTCGTCCACGACCTCGAGCCGCTGCTTCTCTTTTCTTGGCTTTTGTTTTCGGTGTATCATCAACCAGTAAAGTTTCCAATGGTAAAGCATCAGGCAGTAAAAAGTATCTTATATTGTTACCTCTTATGGATAGAGCTTCCAATTTCATAGGATCACCTCCTAAGAATCATTTAAAGCAAAGTAAGAAAAAAGTCTCATTATAACAACAATTGCAGTAAAATGAACTGATTACTATTAGAGAAAATAGTAACAAAAAAACCGCGAACATACCTTTAGGTGGAACAACTTTTACAAATTTCATGTGGGTATTCATGGCAACATCAACACCGGTAACAGTTCCAGTAATGACTGATCCATTTTTCAATTCGACTGTTAAAGTCTCATTTGAAAGTTTCATCAAAAATCTAAATAATAAACCCAGAGAGAGAAAGAAAAGACAATAAATATCAGATGACATGAGTTAGTCAAAAAAAAACATCGAACCAAAAAAAAAAAAGAAAACCCGTCAACAAAGATTATAGACTTTCTTTTCATCGATGACACTTAAAACTCACCTGACAAGCTTCATTTTTTGGAATAATCAACACTTGAACCTATTATAATACAAATGGTTAATAATACACTTAATCAAAAAAAGAGATCAATCAATTAATTAATTTAATAGAAAACAATAAAAATCAAAACACTCGCTAAGTGATTGTGTTTACCGACTGAACAGCTGCTTCCATCTAGCGACCGTTTCCATGGAAACAAATTCCAAAGAGAATTTTTGAAGCGGCAAAGTTAACATAGAATATTTTGATTTTCTCTTCACTTCTCATTTGTATCTTTACCGATAAACGATCAATTAATTATCGAAAATTGTCTATTCTTCTTTGATTTTTCTTTTGTGATTACTGTTATTTGTTTTTCTTCTTGTTAAAAATGTCAAACATTCTTGAACTCTTGAAGGAACTGAAGAAATCAAACAAAGATCAACGGATGACCATTAAGAAGCTCATTTCCTCCTTTTCCAATTATTCACCGACCATAACACCGAGGTTTAAGGCTATGAAGGCGTTACCAGACTCGGAGGAAATGGAAATGTCCCCGCAGTTGAAAGAATCTAATGAAGAAGAAAGAAAATTTGTGCTTCTATGTTATCGAGCTAAATGTAGATTCCCTGCTGAAGATGAAGAAGCTTACAAATCTCATGTAAGTAGGTATCATGGTGAAACTGAACCGAACTTGGCAATGGCTCCAAGAAAATTTTTGACATCTGAAGAGATTCGTCAACAACAAGAAACTTGGAAAAAAGAAAGACTTGCAAAGGTGAAAGGTGAACTTTGTGAACTTCTTATTCAATGGGACGATGATTTGGATGAGCCTAAAAAGAAAAAGCCAAAGAATTAGAAAAACAAAACATAACCTATTGTCTCCATTTCAACAAGCAAACTAAAATCATCATTGTACCATTGTGATAATCATCTCCCATCAACCTTAAATAATACTCTATGTAAATTGTAATAAAACCCAACAATTAACGATCAAATCAAATTAAACCGTGAGGATTAACTTATCACCGATTCATCATCGGATTGATTAGTTAACCCAAACTATTTACTTCACTACAAAGAGATTCAATTATTCTATCCCTACCAATTAATATGATTTCTCTTTAAAATCGTATGCAAGTTCTAAGAGAATTCTAATTAATCACTTAATTAGATCAGTAAAAAGAAAAAATTCTAAATCGAAATTCTAAAACGAAAAATAGAAAAAGACCCAAACGCCATCTAGTTGATCGAATATCTACTTTTTCATTTTCTATTCTCTTCAAAATTGGAACTTCAAATGTTCACTTTCTCTTCTCAACCGATGATCATCATTGTTAATTTTGTTTGATTAATTTGATTTCTCTTTTTTCAATTGGACAATAAACCGTTCCAGTGATGGAAAATGGTTCAATCGCCAATTTAAATGCCGAAAAAACGTCATCCCGTCAATTCTTGTGCCGTTTAGGTTGTTTCTTTGTTCACATGATTTGATTTTTTTGGTGAGTTATTTTTCAACTGTTATGTTAAATTATCAATTGAATCAGTATAATTGATGAATTGTTTTATTCTCGTTTAGAACACAGAATATTTGATGGTCTACTATTTTTGTTTGGTTATGGATCTCAAACCAAAAAGGTGAGATGTGATTGTGATACATATAAAAACATTACATTTACCAGTAAGTAAAAAAGGTTTCTTAAGCTCGATCAGGTGAATTTTCACAATTTAATTGAATCTTCTGATTTAATTATTCACATTTTCTTCTCTGGTGTGAATTATTTTCTATTTTTGTTGCTCTTTGTTATTCTTGAAAAACTTCATCAGATAATTCATTTGATCAGGTTGAGCTGTTAACTTTTTAAATATATCAATCAATTTCTCATTGTTCACAGAATCCAATTGGGGTAATAGAGCTTCAATAACATTTGCCTCTCGACGTTTACGACCATTGATCGTGGTGGTAGCAGCTGATGGAGGAACCAAACTGAATCCACTTCCAGTGTTACCCAAGAACATGGAGTAAAGAAGGATCATCAAGGGCAATCCAATAAAACCAATTGCAAGAGAGATCATGAAACCCACCACCAATGTTTCAATTCCACCGTTGAAAGGAGCGAAAGTGGTTCCATATGATCCATAACCTTGACTGAACCATTGTCGAGGATCCCGTTCATAGTCATAATATGGATAAGGTACATTACTAGCGGTTAAATTGGCTGCAGAAGGTTTAACACCGATGTTACCATGAACCTGGTGATTAGTTAACAATGTTAACCAGAAGCAAATTGTTGCAGCAAAAGCTAAAGATTGTCCAAAACATTTACTGTTGTCAAAAAACATTTTTTTACTCACAATTTGAGGAAGAATTTAGTTAACTAAGAAATTGGAGAATCCAAATTGGACTTTTAAATCACTGGATTAGTAAATTACTTAAAGTTTTTGGACTGTTATACTTACACGATCAACGTAAACTTTGAAAGTGAATCTTTCCATCGAAGGTGCATCAACATTTTATACTCGAAACTTATTTACGGATCTTAATTGTTAAAAACTGTTTAATTGTCTTCCATCATAACATCTCTCTCTCTCTCTCTTTCACCCAGGAGTCTTAAAGAAAAATCTTATTAATTCATCACAATCAAATTTCATCAAATTGTATCTCTCCTCTGTTCCAAGACACTGATTACCAAGAAATCAGAGCAACCGTTGCAAAAACCTACTTTCATTTTAAATCACCATTTTTAAATTTCACTTCAATTGTTATAACAATTGATTTATATTTATTTTATCATTTTCTAATCTTAATCATCTTCCACTCTTCCATAACAATTTAATACAATTATCATACTTTCATTACAATTAAAATCCGTAATAGCTTCCAATTCATCCAACTCCTTTTACCTTTTTTTTTCATCACAATATGGAAAAGTGACTTTAATCAAAAATAGATTCTATCAAACAATTAAATACAAATGACAATTAAAACAAATTGAAACGAAACAAAAACCAATAGATTCATTTTAATATCAACAATTAAACTCTTAATTTCGGTTAAAAGTATAATATAATTAAAACATTGATCCAATATCGTCGTTTGAGATAATCAATCCAATTAACAGTCGACAGTCAACAATCAACAATTTAAACTCATAGAAAGAAAAATATTCTCAATAGTCGATAGAGAACAATTAACAATTAAAGAGCAATCAAATTTTCTAATTACTTGTAACATGTTTAATCTTCACTTTTCCTCCTTCAGATCTCATTCCCTGTTCCCTCTATGGTGTCTGTCAGATTTTCCCCGAGGCGATGTCACTTTAAATCGTTAGTGTCAACCGTATAAAGATGAAAATCTTGATCCATTTTTATCTTCATCTCTCTCTCATCTCTCATCTTCCATATTCTCACTTCAATAAACAGTATAACATCATCATCATCTCCAAATGATGATAATCTTTATGGACTGGTCCTTGTACCATTATCATGTTTTGGTAATCATTAAAAAAGAGCTCATCTCATCATCTTCCTCATCAAGTTTCCATCATCATTTTAATCATCATCATCATCATCAGAAATTATCATCTTCCAGTTTCTTTGTTGTCAGTTTGCTTTTATCACTGGTGATATAACAACAATCAAATTATAATAATGTTGAAAACGGTAATTTGATTATAATAATGGATTATAATGGAATGGAAAAAGTTTCCTAATCAGTGATAATATTTAACTCCCAAAATAATGAAATCTAATCACAATCAAATCTTCTCACTCAAACAAAATTTACTTAATTACAGTTTCAATGTGTCACAATTAACCAACAACAATTGATAACTTTTCACATCCAATTTGAAGGTTAAAGTAAAAAGTTCACCTCATCCATTGGAAATGAACATTTCAACCAATGATATTAAAAGGATTTGAAACTGAATCATGATTCTGATCATGATTCAGAGATGAGGATAATGAAGGATAAGGTGGGAGGTGGAAGATCATGAATTCATCATGTTCCTCATGAAGAATCAACCTAAGCCATGATGAAGACTAATGTCAAACGATTGTGACAAACAAATCATTCAACTTAAATCCTGAGCAATTTATTTATCCAACTAACAGACATAATATATTATTAGGATTACAAATCAAGAGGATGAAGATGAAGATTAAGATGAAGATGAAGATGAAGATAACCTGAGACATGATAATTTGATTGCATCTTCATTGAAAAGATGAAGATTATTTTAAAATAAATCGGAGGCCCAACAATTTGAAATTGTTTTTATCTTCATTCATTTCCAGGTCTCTGTCATCATAACAATTAACAGAATAGTTTATTATCATTAGTTGATTTTCCATATTCCCAATTCAACAGATTAGTCTTGATTAGATTTAATTAATCAAGACTAATCATCATTATCCTCTGGTTAAGATAATCGTATTCATCTATTAAATGGTATGATTACACCAACGGTAACAATTAAAACCATAATTACTAATTGAATTAAATGGTTAGTATGTATTATTTAAGTCTGATGAGAGTTAATTTTTTTCTCATTGATTAACAATTAGTTTCAATTAGATATTTAAGTCTTGTTACCTTTTCATTTTCACAATGATAATACAAAATTAACTGAGATGAAATGAAAAGACAAGAATTAATCAGTTGATGATGATTAAGAATCTAATTTAAATATGATTGATTGTTAGTTAAACAAATCCATATTATGGATTGTAATTAATGTTTAAAGATATAGGAATTAAATTGATATCCAGCTGAGATCAACGATCGTGATGAGAGATGAAGCAATTAACTTTTATAAACAGAGAATCAACTTAATCAATGATGTAAAAAAGGCGAAATCAATTTAAAATGGATTAGATTAAAGTAAAGGATGGACAGTTAATCAACATACTACATTGACAATCAAACATTTTACGAAACAATCAAATTAAACTGAAATTGGGGCAAAAAAGCAAAAAGAGTTAATTGATTGTGATTAACCTTTAAACCGATTGTTGTGATACGATGATGCGAGTAGCCCTTAAGAGATACAACTGGAGACCACCAATTGTGGGGATGCGGTGGAAACTTGATCTCACCCATCTCTCGTCATCTTCATCTTCATCTTCATCTTCTTCCTTAATCTTACAAGATGAAGATGATGAAAAGAAGATGAAGACCACCATAGAAGAGAAGATGATTTCTTTTCTTTTTCTCTTTTCAACATTTTCTTTTTTCTCTTCCATCTTATTCATGATACTAATCATTCACTCATCACCATCATCATCATCATCATTGATTGTTGAGGTGCGTACTCATCATTATCTTCATCGCATCGTTCTGATTAATCTTGTTGTTAAAATTCATGTTGTGGTTAATTTTTGATTGCACCTTCAACGATGGTAAATAATATAATCTATCATCATCTGAATCGAAAGGTAGACTTAAATTGATTACTATTGTTTGAAATGATATTATATATTTTTCATCTATCAACTTTAATCAACAATCATAATCTTTGTCACAACGTGAATTGTGATCTGTTTAATTGACAGAAATTCAATCTCATGTTAATTAGTTAACTTTCATTGACCGACCACAAGCAAAATGTAACATTATTTTCTTGATGTTTTCAATGTGAGATGTTGTTATTGATGATGAGAATGATGCAGATGATTTTTCATCATCTTCCGTGATTTTATCTTCTCTCTCTCTCTTTCTCTCTTGCATAACTGTTTTACTACCTGTGGCTCATCGAGTGTGATTCATGTCCATAAATGATACTAAAAGGTTACTGGTTCCTCTTTTAACCATCAATGATTATGCACTCAAATGATGATGATGATGTTTGATAATAATATCGAGGAGTAGAAATGAACAGTGGAAGCTGGATGATGATGAGGAAGAGAAAGATGAGGATGATGAAGATTGAAGAGGGTGGAAAATAACGGGAAAAACGAGTGAAGCGTGTTTAAGCCATTTACCAGTTCGATGGGAAACAAAGAGCGAAGAGAGAAAGAGAATCCGAGAGAATATCAAAATGGGAAGATGATGAAGAGAATAAAACAAATGAGCATCGACTGAATAAAATGTTCACTTGGATTCAAATAAAGGTGAGAGATGAATGTTACTTGTCTTCTATTGGGAATCGAAAAGAAGAAAAAAAAAGGATCATCATCATCATCTTCTTCTTCATCTCTAATGGTTTTCATTCATTGGAAAATAACCTTCATCCGACATATTTGTTTCTTTCACTTCTCCGTGAAAATCATCCTCATCCTTTCTACTTCCTCTTTAATTCCATCACTTGATTTCTCTATATTCTTAAGCCAAAGATAAACCTCTAATAGACCATTCAACTTATATTATATTCCCTTTTGACCTTCATCGATTGATGACCTTATCAATATCAATTTGATGACACAATCACAATCATTAAACATGGAACTCTCTCTCTCTCTCTCTCTCTCTCTCTCTCTCTCTCTCTCTCTCTCTCTCTCTCTCTCTCTCTCTCTCTCTCTCTCTCTCTCTCTCTCTCTCTCTCTCTCTCTCTCTCTGTATTAATGAAATAATTGTTTCCCATATCTCACATGTAATCATTATGATATAACTACAAGAATCATTAAGTGATGAGGATAATCAATTATGAAGAAAAGACTTAATGAGAGACCGATTTAAATCAATGATTTCGATTCGATGGAAATGTGGAAATTGATCAAGTTGATCATCCTGATTAAGTTGATCGTCTTTTCGATAAATTTAAAAAATTGATGTTCGAATAATTCAATTTTTTTTTGTTCTATTCTTTTCCTATTGTTAGTCATCATTTCTCGTGTTCTCTTTTCTTATCCTTACTAACCCATAACATGGAGTCGATGATGATAATGATGATGATACATTTGATGATAACAATGTATTAATACATTGGGAGTGTCAGATGATGGTGATGATGATGAGAAGTGAAGATGATCAAGGAAGAGAGTCTGTAGTTTACACGATAAGCGGATTAAGAAGCTTTTATGTGAAGATTAACTTTTAAGATGAGAGAGGGAGGGAGGGAGAGAGAGAGAGAGAGAGAGAGAGAAAGTAAAAAGCTATTAGATTAACGATTGACAAGAAAACTCAAAACAACAACAATAATCATGCAAACTAATCAACAATCAACTTATCGATGACAATAGAAGGTAAAATATTGTGACAATTTAGCGATCATTTAATTGTTACATAATTTCATCGATAATTCAATTGCAAGTTGAGTTTATCTTTCGTATTAAATTGATCATTTTGTCTCAATCTAATGTTATGTGAATATCAATGATAAGCAGATTAACTAATTTATTTGTTTTCTATTGGATTTAAAATGAACAATTAATCAATTGTAGATTAATATCATTGGATGAACAATTTGTTTCCATATTTTTGATTCTTATGGATTCTCATTAAATTGTTGAGGAAAAATTGATCCATTGAATTTAGATTATTGTTTTTTTTTGGTTAATTGTTGTTGGGTTGAGATTAAAATTGATTTAAGAAAACTAATCAATCAACAAATTAGTTAGTCAAATGTTTTAACATCCCAAAGACTTGACTTTACATTAATCCTTGTCACATTGTTACCAAGTTAATCATGATTGATTATTGTAATGTCTTTAAGTTAATCATCATCATAATCACCACTATCATCACAATTAACATAAACAATCAACATCTCAAATATCATAAAGTAAAACAAATCACCAAACAACAGTGATTGTAATTAAATGACAACATACAATTAGAAATATAGTTTGTCATTTTACCTGTTTTATTGTGATTAAGGTTAAATTGTAATTATGATTGTCAATTAAACTGATCACAATTAAGGTGATATCAAACTAATCAACAGTTTAATAATAAGAATAACTTTGATTACAAAATGATATTAATAGTTACTAATCAGTCTTGACAATTTACGATGACGATTAACATTAATAGTTAGTGAATATTTTTCTGTGCTCATTGATTTTGTTACAATGATTAACCTTGATTGTAATTAATTTATTTCAAGATGAAAATATAAGAGGCTCATTAAGAGGATGAAAAGATGATGGAAATAGCCTCAGGTCATTTTCCATCATCATTCAGATAACTGATACATAAACACACGAGCCTCGTGAATGAGAGAGAGATGATAATCATCTTCATCATCATCATGTTTTTTATGATGATGATAAGTAGGAGTTGATGATATGATACAATGTAATTGATTTATTTCAATTAATCAATTAAGCTTGATTATAAAAGGTTAAAGGTTAATCACTTGATAAAGATGAATAATAATCAGAATAAAATAAGGTCACAAAAAGTTCATTACCATACTCAGGAAAAAAAAAGAAAAAGGAAACGGAAATGATGAAAGATGAAGGTTAACCAAACAGGGGAAAAAGAAATAGGGTTTTCATCAAATGACCAAATTAAGGTAACAATTTAAAGTCAATCTACTCAAACATCATCATCCTGTTCACATAAATCATTTTGAAAATAGAAAAGTTAATTGATGAAGATAAAGATGATGAAGATGATGAAGATGATGAAGATAGAGTAGCTTCACCAGGGTAATATAAATAAGTAATATTTCATCATCTCTGTGGGTTACCTTTCTGAGACTTTCATGGAGGTAATTCAAGCTGAATTTGCAATCAACTGATCACCAATACTGATAAAAAGCTGAACTTAATCATTCACAATTAACCAACAATAAAAAGTCAAATGAAAGGATGTAAAGTTAATACATAAGGAGAGACATTGATTTGAACAAAATCTCATAAGTGTAATTGATTCACTTTTTCAAGATGATTTAGTTAATTGTTTAATATGTTTCCACACATCAAGTTGATTTATGTTAATTTTTACGTTTTTAATTATTGTTAATTATGGTTGTAAGTTATAAAATAATTAAGCAACAAGATCATAAATGTTTCTATCAATTATATTAATAGTAACGGAAATAATTACCATGGAAAGATGTTGATTTAACTGTCCTAAAGGAAATTGTTACTTAATTGTTGTCAACTAATTAACTACAAAATTCATTCATCGTTAACATAAATACATTAACCAATAAAACCTTTTAAATGTGAACATCATCTTCATCATTATCATCATTCATTGATCTTCATAATGGATTCAAACTAAATTATCATTTGATTTATGAAAAAATTAATGGTGACAACAATGAAAGTGAATTTATGATTAAATTGATTGTGAATCAAATGTAAGCTTCAATATTATTAGATTACGATTAAAAACCTTATCACAATTTAGTTGATTTCATCTCATTGGCATCAACATGTTTATTTCATAACAAAACCAATATCACTTTTCATCATTTTGATAATAATCAAGGATGAAGATGAAGATGAAGATGATGATGATGATAATCTAATTATCTTCATTGAGCTGATGGTCTATTGTAAGAATCTTGTTTTCCAATGTTAACACTAATCAAATCTAATCTATTATTGTGCAAATCAATTGGTTAACTTGATTGTTATTGTAATAGATGGAGGAGGAAAAGGAAATGATAACGATCATCATTTCAATCATCATAATCTTTCATGGTGATATCAAAATAATCAAGAGTTAATCTTAATTTTGTTAATTGTTAACAGATAATGTGAAATGATTTGTATCATTGAGGAGAGTTACCATTTTTTGGGACAATCAGATTTAAACAATTAATTTAAACACAGTTGATTGAGTTGTTATCATTATTGTATTTTATATATATAATAATGAGCTATACAATTTGATTTAGTAAACAAATTCATCAAATTGTAATCATTTATAATACACATAGATGATAATGAGATATTGGGAAGTAATTAATTGTGGGAGTTAATTAAAGTTATGGTTTGATTATGATTACAGTGGAAACAGAAATGAAAGGTAAATGAGAGAGAGAGATAAAACTTTGATGTGTCAAATGGATTGGATTAAAAATGGCGGGTTAATTAGTTTCTTTTCATCTGGGTAACAATTAATTACCATAATATTGTCTTAATCCTTAATCCTTTTCTTTTTGATCATTAGGTTAATTTACAGTTGCCTTTCATTTCTTGCTCGTAATTTACGTAATCAATTGTATTAGTTGAGTCAGATGATTAACAGTTAACCAAATTCACGAATGGTCAGTTGTCTCCAGGTGAAGGATTTAATTGGTCATCATCTCCTTAATCCTTTTCGTTGAGTATAATTGTCCAGTTTACAGTTTATCAAATGATCTTGGATTAGTTAAAAGCTCACGGGTAAGACGCCATGTTTGTTTGGCTGCAGTTTCCAAATGACTGGAAGATAAAAAAAAAGATGAAGATGATAAAAATTAGTGAGAGAATCATGGACCATGGATAAGATTACAATTCCACTAATCTTAATCTCAACTTTAGATAATCAATTTTTCCCTAAACATCCAAAGGTAAGATATTAATCAATTTTCAATCATATTCGTCATAATCATTAGTTAGATAGTCTTTTTAATCCTCTCTCTCAGATCATCGGATTTAATATAATTGTCGCTAACTCACCGATTAATATGATTAGTAAGCATTTGATTTGCAATTAATAGTATTTCAATCAATTAATTTAACCATCACTTTGATCGTTTAATTATCAATCAATTGAAATGTTTACGGTTGGATATTAATTTTTGACATTATCTTAATCTGAGAGTTTTTTTTTGTAAATTGTAAGGATGACAATTTTTATGATGATATTTCAATCAAATTTGTCACAATTAGAGGGAGTAAAGAAAACAGAGTCAAAGATGATGATGAAGATAAAATGTTGATGAGGAAGATGAAGATGATGGCGGTGGGAGAAGGAGGTTTCATGGTGGAAGATGAAGAAAGTGGGAGGAGATGAAGAAGGTGGAGTTGCATTGTTTACATTGGAAAATGTATTCACGCGAAGCTTACGCAGTCTCATCTTTATTTATCTTCATAATTATCTACATCATTCTCATCCTCATCCTCATCCTCATCATCTACATCATCATCACCATTCTTAACAACATCATCATGAAGATTGGGTGTGACATAATTCCTACTGAATGATTCTTACACATTATCATCCCTTTAATCTTGAGGAGTGACAATCATGTGAAAACAAATGTAATAGATGAAAATTCAACATATTAAATTGAAATGATTCAATGTAATTCATCAAGTAAATGATAGTACAAATAAAACTAATCAGAACGAGATTATTATTCAATGAAATCAACATTTCTCATGAGCCTTGGCAGTAACACGAGAGGATCATGATACTGGTCAGCGGTTTAATATGTTATTTAAATATATATATAAACACATGAGGAAAACTAATTGATGGTCAGTTTTGTTTTTTTCATTAAACTAATGGGAAAGGTTGATTACTATTATTACAGTTATCAGCTAATAGTTAATGAGTAAAGGGAATTGTGAATCATTTCAAATAACTAAGGATTGATGATTAAACATCAACAGCAAGATAAATATCAACGTAAACCTTATATTATATTGTTATTGTAAAGATAATAGAGATGATGAGGAAGACAAAGATGAGGATGAAAAAACTCAATGACTTCTCTTGGTTCGTCGAGCCTGTAATTGAGTTTCAAATGAATTGTTCACAATAAGTTGAAATCATTTGAAACTTATGACCAGAAATTAGGTTGATATTTATTACTATTACCATGGATCGAGATGATGACCAGTACTATAGGTTAGAGAGTGGTCAAGGATCATCATGATCATCATGAAGATAAAGGATCAAGATCATTATCAACAAGGAGAGGGAAATGAAGGAGGAGATGTAGAGTGTAAATGGGAGGAAGAGGAGGAGGTTATCGATATATGATAATAATGATAATTAGGGAACAATCATTTTCAATATCATTTAAATTTAAGGAAAATGATTAAATTGCTTCTCTAATGTAATCAATTAATAATATAATTCACTAATTATTTACCCACAAGTCAACAGGTAGGTATCAATTCAAGTAAGATAATTAAATTCATGTGGATAAGAAAAAAAAATCCTTAATGATGATGATGATTAATTTGATTGATCTGTAAAAGGTTGGGTATTCATTATAATCATATTGTTTTCAATGAAAATTAATTACAATTATGTTGAATAATATGATATCAAGATAATAGTAGTTATAATAATGATAAAGGACTTACAATAATTCACTGATTATGTAATGAAAAAAAAAGGTTGATTAGTCTGATTGTATTTACTAACCTAGTGTTTGTTATTAATATTTCACTTGATTGTTGTTAAAAGGTTGATTGTCTGATTAAGGTTCTGGTTTAAATAGTGATTATGGTTGAATGATTAAGGTGATAGTGGAAAGAAAAAAAAATGAATTCAATTCTCTGCGATTATTATTATCATTGATATTATTATATTGTTACCACTTATTGTGTGTGTATCAACATTGAGTAAACGGTAATCAGTTAACCGAGACAAGTATTTAAGTGTAACAATTATAATCATCATGATAATAATCATTACATAGGAACCTGTCAAATGGGAAAATAAAACAGAGATTTAAGTTAATAGTGAATCAGAATTGATTGTAAACATGTAATTTAAAAATAGTTTGCAATCTATCACCAGAATTTTTGTTCTCTTGCCTTTTAAATTGTGATTGTCTACTTTTTGATTGTCAATCAAAAGACTAATGAACATATACTCTCATTTTGCTAACACTTATTATTATTTTGAGGTAACAATTAACAATATAATGATGATAATTATAGTTTAAATAATCAACCATGAAACTGTAAATGAACCAAGAAAATGTAAACAATCAACAAGAGAGAGAGAGGGAAAAGTTATTGATCTTAATCATTGTATGAACAATTAACTGGTAATAACTATTATGTAGTTATAAATAGTTGAACAATTAAAAGTAAATGAACAGAAATTAAGTATCAATTAAGTTTAGAAAATCTAAATCAAAAAGTAAAACTGATAACAATCAATTGATTTTGAAGTAAAAAAGCAAAAGATATTAATCAAGATCTTTTTAAAGTCTTAATTTGTTTGACTATTAAAACATTAAATTAGTTGTCAATGTTTTTTTAATTTGATTGAATCAAAATTGACGATTAACCAAATCTAATGTAGTAATAATAACTTATTTATATTACTATTGATGATGAAATAAATGATTAGAATTAAAAGAAAAATTAATCCCTTGTCATTTGATCATTGGAGGAATAAAATTTAACCTCGAGATTATATCGTCTTTTGCTTGTTACTGATTGAAATTATCAAGATTAAAAAGACTTTACAGTTGATTAGTTGATTTAATTACCTTTGAGCTTTTCCTCGGAAAAGATCAAGATTAGGTAGGAAATAGTGTGGACATCGACGACATTGTAAACAAGAAATTAATTGTAATAATATTCCGTTGATTCTATCACCTATACACGATTCATCCCATTCAATTTCACGAGGATGTTTTTCACATTCATAAAGAACCAAAGATTTTAGATGATAAGATGTAATTGGTTGACCAGGTAGATCGAGATGACGATCTCTCAGTGTTTTTAATATGGATAAACATTTTTTCCGACATCCACCCTGTAAGAATAGAAAGATAAATATACATTTATGATTAGAAAAATGAAATTTAAACATTGAATTAGTTAATTAGGATGGAGAAATTAATATCTTTATCATATCATTTGTATCTAATACTATGATTTTGATTGATACGATGAGGAGTTGATTGTTTTTCGGTCATTTTTTTTTGTTAATGATCAAATGATTTCTTTGTTTTTTGTTGATCACTCTGGACAAATTAATATAATCGTTTCTAAGGGTTACTCATACAAACTACATTGGTAAATTGTGTGTATTTCTACTGTTGTTAGTTTGATGATTACTCAAATTAGACTGATTATGTATTCTTGTCTCGAGTCTGGGATCGACTAAATTGCAACAAAATGATTAAAATTAATCATATTCACATGATATATATTTAATTGAGTCTAATTGTTGGGCGGTTTGGTTGTTTTGACAGTTAAAGAGGAGGAGGAGATGATGATGGTGGTTGATGGGAATATATTTAAGGTTGAAATGTGGTTAATTAGTTTGATTAACAAACCTGCAATAATCGATTCTCGGCTTCCACAAAACTCAAAACCCAAGCATCACCTTCCATTGAGCTTTGTTTACCCTGTTAATTGAAGAGAAAATATTATTACAAAGATTCAATTGTTTACAATATTTAAAGTTTTAAATTAGAATAAGAAATAAAATTAATCACCTGAAGTGAAACACATTCTTTACTAAGTAAATCAAATCCTTCTGCTTTAACCTCAGAAACAATATTTGGAGGTGGCCATGGACAAGCGGGTAAAGGCCAATGGGCAGCTGATCGAGGCCAAAGACCACTGCACCGAAAAGCTAAATTAGAAAACATATAATAGTAAAGTCGGAAAATTAATTAACCATAAGTAATGGAAAGAAAGGAAAAAGAGAAAATCTTACCTGGAGTAATCTGAACAATATAACGCTCTCTAATCCGAAGTTTAACTTCACTAGTATCTCCAATCATCTTAACCATATCTCGATAGGTACTTTTATCACAAGCTTGAGCTACCTGGAATCAAGATAACAATCAGAGGGCAGGAAAAGGTAGACAAAAATAATTAGAGAAAAAAAAGACGAGAGAAAATTAAGTTAATCTGACAAAAAGAGAAAACCAATATCCGCCCGTTGGTTTTGTCTCTCAAACCGATAAACAAACGAAAATGGTGGCAACATATTCCAACCATTAACCATTGTAATCACTCAAGTTAAGAACAATAAATTAATCATAGTAAAAATGGTAATTAATCAAACAAAAAAGAAATAGAAACAATTAACTAATCCTTTGTCTCTTTCCGAAGGAGGGAAATTAACAGCTGATCGAATATCGGATCTCATTGGGATTCGATCTCAATTTTTTTCTATTCTATTGTAAAATTTAATTTCTTTTTTTTCCAATGGTTAATTAACATTTTCTTTTTCTTTTAATTGCAATTTAATCAACTTACCAGTGTTTGGAACCTTGAGCGAATCTTTCTTGCTGAAAGATAACCACTGGCAGTTATGAATTCGACCCATAGAGACATTGATCTTTTCCTACCATCGGAAAGCTAAAACATTTGGAGAGACAAAGAGAGACAGTTAATTATTAATTGGTCGTAATTATTTTTCTCCTCCAAATCAATAAAGGTAAATATAAATACACTACATTATAGAAGATCCTTAATCAAATTCAGATATTGAAATTGATCTCATCACTTATTCATCTCAATTTATCTTCTCAACTGAATTAATAATGACATGATTATAGTTTGTTAGGAGTGAAAGTATAAGAAGCCAACAATTTATGTTACCTTTTTAACCTAACCCAAAAAAAAGAGAAACACTTAACTTTAATATTTAATCAAATTAGAATTGACGAGGAAGGAAATAAGTAATAAGTTAATCAGAAAAATACAAGAGATTAATCAATGATCTGGTTGATTGAGAAAAAACAGAAAGAGATTAATTTGATGATTAAAACGACAATTAGAAACAAATGAAAACATTAACCGTTTCCCTTTTTTTTTCTGTTTTTCTTTTAGGTAACAAAAAAAATGTAACCTTTCACTCAATTGTCCTAATATGTGATTACTAATACAACAACAATTGACGATGATCACACGTGCAACTTCACGTGCCAATGAGGCCTCAGGAGGATTGAGGAGGGAAGACAAGAGGAGAGAGTCAGTGGTAAACAAAAACGACCAAAGGAAGGAGATTGAAGGCTGATCATCACAATTAGTGTTCTTGTTTTCTGGTTCATTGTTACCTTAACTTTTTTTTAGAATTCACATTTATAATTCTTTGCAATTCTAATAGTGAAAATCACCCTGATTATCACAGATCTTGACATTTAATCCAAAGCAAAAGTGATGAGGAAGCAATTGTAACACTACAACAGAGGTGGAGAGGATAATCAAAACAAAATCTTTCTCATCTTCTAATCCAACATCAAGTGGTTCCTTTATTGATCTGGATAATACAACAAATAACAATGAGTAAATTGTTATGATAACTTATAATTACCTTAAGGACAGCGCATCCAGGTAGAGATCCATCATCTACAAAATTAAACACTCCCATTTGATTTAAATATAATACAACTTCAAATTCATTTGGTGAGATAACCTCAAGACCTGATTCATGATGGAGATGAGGATGGAGATAAAAGAGAGAAAGAGAAAAAAATATCACAATTAACTAAATGGAAACCGGTTCATTGGATGTTATTATTGTTTTTCCTTCCCTTTGGATTTTACATCAATCTCATTTTCTACTTTTACTTTTTCTTCAACTCTCATCACCTGATTTACCTTGATTATCAAAAGATAATCATCATTTGTAATAACCTTGATTGTTGTTAATCTGCTTCTGGTTTTACAAACAAAGTGATTTATGATTGTTTGAGATGATCAACGATTAGCTTGGTTGGTTAGTTAGTTATTGATTAGTATCAATAAGTACAAAGTTATTACTGTTTAGTTACCTCAAGGGACTTTAAAAATAAATTACTGCTACAAATGTTGATCATAGTGATAACAATTAACTAAAATACTAAAAATTTTCAGTATAAAACAATTGATTGTCATGACGAGTGAATTTCACACAGAATTGATGATTTGATCACAATCAAAAGGGTCAATTTGTTACACTTTTCATGGTTAATTACAATTATGGTTTATAATCAGATCTCAGAATTGATTAGATTAACTCAAGTGACTTTTTTTCTGGTCCGACAATTTAATCAGAATCAATTAATTGATTGGACACAGTTAATTGAGTTTGAAATTTTCCAAAAGAAAATAATTTCCCAGTCATTGACATATTCACTTTCCCATGATGAAGATGAGAGTTGAAGTTATTTAATTGTTCACCTAAAATGAGATTGATTTAAACCAAAGGAAAACGAAATTGAAACAATTAACTATTATATTAACCTTTTAATTGGGTCAAGGGTCGGTCACCATCGTAGTGTCCATTACACTCAGTTAAACTGGAAATGAATCGAGGCTCTTGAACTTCGACCTCTTTCAAAACATCTTGAACGATCTTGACAATTTCCCTAATTGTTTTGGCGATTTGTCCTCTTCGATAACTAACCCTTTCGGCACAGTACTTATTTAGATGGTACAACAATTTAGGTGTTACCAATGAATCCGCGGGCACTAACATGTTGATTAATTGATTACAATTAGATTGACAAAATCACGAAAGAAATGTAAATGTAACACTTAAAGAAAAGATCACAAAAAATCAGATTAATGATAAAACTATTGTTGTTGGTCTGTCGACAATTAACTAATTGTTGTTGTTAAGCTCCATTGTATTGCACAAACAGTTTTTACGGGTTTACAATTTCAACTTAATTCAATTCCTTGATTGTAATCACTAATCATGATTTCACTTTGATTCTTGAACCAGAATTTTTCAAAAAAAAAATTCAAGATTGATTCAAAATCTATAACATGATTTTCATGGTGATGATAACCAGAGGAAGAAGATGATGAAGATGATCAATTAACATATTCCTTTGGATTATAGATAAATTTTCAATCAACTAATTGTTGTTATTTGTTAATCAATTGCCAATTGATTGATAATCAACGCTGATAATGTTGATGATAATGTTGAATAGATAAACATAAAAAAAACAACACAAACACTAGTCCGTTAATTAGTTAATTATATTGGTGATTTAATCATACAAATAAGTTAATTCACTTGCTGATTATCATGATAATTAACTGATATATTTATAAGTAGCAATTAACGGTTATTTATAAAGTGATTAACTGAATATCAAGATTGAAACGCATCCAATCAACTCTTAGGTTGAATTGTTAACATTTAAACAGAACCAGAAAAATTTGATTAACTTTTGATTATCAAAACAAAATGGCGATGATAATGATAATGATGATGATGATGATGGAGATGATTATTGATTTGATTTATCGTCAATGTGAGATAATAATGATAATCATTTGAATGTCGCACAGAAGAAAAGATTCAAACTCATTGAGAATATGAACTCATGGAGAGAATCATGAAAAACGAATTTTTTTTTTCGATTTTATTATCTCTCTTTCTCTTTCTTTCTTTCTTCAAGCAAAATCTCATCATCTTCATCTTCATCTTCATCACTTTGTATCCGCCTCGAATTCCCAATGATAACCAATGAGAGAAGACAAACCCGCCTTCGAGTGGAAGATAAATAATCTCTTCTTCTATCCGCCTTTTTCTCCTTCTTTTTCTCTTTCTATTTTTCTTCTCTCTCTCTCTCTATCTCTCTCTCTCTCTTTTCTCTCTCAAGATGAGAGTTGATATTCCACAGAGAATGAGTATAGATTCTGCTTGAATCTTTCTCCTGAATTTCCATGAATTCTCATGTTCACAATTCAATTTCTTTTCTCGAATTCTCATTTTTCGAAAATCATCTCGTTCCATTCCCTTTTCCTATCTGACATGTTCAAAGGCTGAAAAGCAATTTATTGATTCTGATCAAATTTGATGACGATTTTTTCATCATCATCATGTTGTTATACTTTTCAAATCAATTTAAATCATCAGCCAATCTAATTTAATCATGTTTTCCATTGTTGTAGTTTGACATTGATCAAAAAGGTTCAACAATTTTGTTTAGAAAAACTTTTTCACCAAATTAAAGTGATTTGAACAATTAATTTATTGTTGAAGAAAAAACAATTTCCAGTGTAAAGGTTAAGGAGAGATGAAGATAAGAGGTTAACTGTCAACTCGAATTAACTTACAATGATTAAGATGATTGAAGATTAGTAGGTTAGGATTAAGGAGTTTGATAGGATAGAAGAAGAAAACTTTAATTGGCCACACAGAATAATCTTAATCATCTTAATCATAATCAAGATGATAATCATAATGATCAAAATGAGGTCAGATGAGTATAAATAATAATCAGAGAAAACAACAACAATTATAACCATTGATCCATTTGGTTAATCCAATTACTAGAATCAAAGAAAAGGTAAACATGATTAACTATATTTCGCATTGATTGATATCATTTGATTGTTGTGATAATGTAATCATATTGTTGTATCAACAGCAACAATTTACTAATGGACATTAAATTGTTTCTCTCCATGATTTGGGATCAGTAAATTGTAGTGAAACTTGTCAAATTGTTAACTCATCTCTTTAATTATTTATATTGATTCAATCGCCATTGTTTTTACGTTTACACTTTGAGGTGGGAGGTGGGAACTGAGCGGTGGGTAGTTGATGGCGGTGGGTAAGTGGATCTCTCTTTATGAATGGATAACTATCAATGTCTCTCTCACTGTTTAATCGGTTCAATGAATTTCAATGGGAAATCTTTTACTTCCTTAATCAGAGTAATCATTTCATTGAAACTTTTGCATTTTCCATTAATATTTAAATAGTTAACTTTACGATTGAATTGTAAATTTTTATCCAAAGAGTAGAAACAATTATAATCTAATTGTTAACTAAATTTAATATATCCATTTGTTACTTACGTTATTTAATTGTGTTTAGTTACAATTTGATAAGTTACTTTAAAAACGATTACATTTGAAAATTTGACAACTTTACTTGTTTCATAATATCAATAGATTGATTCATTTGCGTTATTATTTTGTATTTTCTGGTGATGAAAAGTAAATTGTTGATAATCAGTACTAAGTGTTAACATTATTATGATCATAATCATCTTTTTTTTCCCAATTGAATATGATGATTAGTTGTAAATGGAAAAAAACATTGGATGTTATCATGAGCATCTTTTTGTGTCTTTGTTGTTGTTTGTACCCAAGAGTTTACAGGGATTCGTATTATTTCATGATGATAATAATCATCAGAAAGAGAGAGAGAGAGAGAGAGAGAAGGATGAAGATGAGGATGATGTGGAAGATAAAAGATGAGTCCCTCGAGATTTGGTTCAAGTTTTTCTCTTCTTTTTTTCAAAATGATGATATGATCTTTGGCTTGAAACTGTTCCTTTGCTTCATCCTATGGGTTATTGATCATTTGAAAAGTTGGCCAACCGAGACTTGAGTTGATTATAATAGAGTAGGAACAAAATATTTATAACAACAATCAATATACATTATTAACTGTTGTTTAATGTTGATTATTGACAATCAACTAACTGTGGTCCGGTTATGTTGTTTTTACCACTTTTCCTTTAAAAGCAGTCACGCAATTGTAAATAGCTTTGCTTGATTGGCATTGAAATTATCTAATCAGGAGATTCATTTTTAATTGTAATCAATTGTTTAGTTTTGTTCTGTGACATTTAATTGATCACAATGACAATTAGTTGAGTTGTAAACGAGCGTTTGTGTTATTGTTACTACTTATGAGATTTTGTTATTTGTTGCTGAAATTTTTCTTCCATCAGGTTAATTGTTGAACAAATTAAGAGTAAATTATTTAGTTTTAATTTGTTAGTTTTGTAAGAGGAAGAAAAGAAAAGTTTGTCAAACAGAATTTCAGATGAAAAGATGTCACATTATCTTGACTTCTTCATCAGAAGAGGATGAGATGAGGAAGATAATTCATGTCACAGGAAGTTGATTTTATGCAATGACAATATTATCATAGAGAACGACAGAGGGTCAAGAGTCACTAGAATAATGATGATGATGATGATGAGAGAGAAGGTGGAAGATAGAAGAAGATAAAAAAAGGAGGAGGAAAAAACTGTTAGTTTCATAGAACTTTTTTTCCCTTCATCTTCGAGGTTGATGACAGTTTCTTTTCTCTCTCTCTCATCTTCCTCTTAGGATACATTCTGTCTTGATGTAATCTATTAAGGTGTGAAAAAGTCATTATCAACCTCATCAAAGAAGGAAGAAAAGAAAAAGGAAACAGAATTGATGAAAAATATTAATATATCTTTTTCCTCCTTAATGTGAGGTCTCTCTCTCTTTCTGTCTTCGTCTTTCCGTGTTTTCCTTTGCTGGACTTTGTGGCCTAATCTTTTTGTTTTACTCTGGACAAAGTGAGTTAATTGGTCCATAAGTGGAATCTTGAAAAAAGCTCATTATTAACGGATGAATGATGAACGATACGGATGATGATGAGATCGATCTATTAGAATAATAAGGAATATGGTTTAGAGGTTAAAGATGGAAGGTTAGACGGAAGGAAGGAAGGAAATTGTTATTTTGATAAATTCTATGTTCCATTGGTGAGACTTATTCTTGATTCTTTTCCACCATCGTCTTGTTAGCATCTTCTTCCTGGTTATATCTTTTCCTTTGGATTTTCAACTGCAGGTCTTTGGGTGAACATGATCGAATAATATTTTACATTCTCGCTCTCTCTCTCTCATTTAAAGATGAAAATGTATATAAATCACTGATGAGAACTGTGACAACCATATCACTCCCATGAATCCAATTAATGGCTGTTCAATTTCATGGTTCAATCAACTGTTAACTAAGAAAACTAATATCAAACCAAAAAGAAATGAGCTAAATATTTATGACGATTTCACTTGAAAGTATTTTGGTTACATATTGATTCCAGTGAGTGCCAATAAAGACAAGAACAATGAAGAAAAGTAAAAAAAAAAGAATCACAATTCAACCATATTAAGACTAATTTCAATTCTTCCAAAAGCTCAATCAATTAATCAAAATTCTGTCCATTAAATTGTATAGATGAAAAAAGAATCAACAAGAAATTAAACACACAACTCAAAGAGAACCATAAACACACCAAGAAAATCAAAGAACTCTCATAATTTCAAAAAGATTTAAACTCTTAACAAACGCCATTAAAATTCACATTAAAAAGAAACACTAATTAATTAGAATCTAAATTAATCAAAAATGGAAAAAAATTAATTTCGAAAAAAAGAATACTGGTAACGCCATCTGTTGGAATAGAAAAAAGTTGGACCGATTCACTTTATCTTGTTGTCATTCTGAGTTTGACTTCATTCAACTTAAGTTGATTGTCCTTTTAAATTGTTTTGATTTTAATTCTCTTTGTTTCTTTGTTTAATTATTGTGAATAAACTCCAAGTATTTTAATTAGAAAATTTGATGAGAAAAAGTAGTTTTCTGAACATAAAATTGTTAACATATTATGAGTTTTAATTGAACGATTTTTGTTAAAATTTTCTCTTTTGTTTTTGTTTCTCTTTTTTGTTTGTTTGTGTGATCAGTTAATGAGAAATGAGTATTTTGGATAACAATATGAATTTACATGGAGGTTATTCAGATTCAATGGCAACTAATGATGGTCAAGATTCCCCGGATGGTGGTAATAATAACAATAACAATAATAACAACAATAACAACAACAATCTAAATAATAACAATAATAATAATAATCTAAATATTAACAACAACAACAACAATAATAATGGCGGTGGTAATTCAAATAAATTGTTTACCCTGAAAAAATGGAATGCAGTTGCCATGTGGTCATGGGATGTAGTCTCTGATACCTGTGCTATTTGTCGGGTTATCCTGATGGATGCTTGTCTCCGATGTCAAGCTGATAATAAACAAGATGATTGTGTTGCTGTTTGGGGTGAATGTAATCACTCATTTCATAATTGTTGTATGTCACTTTGGGTACAACAAAATAATCGATGTCCTCTTTGTCAACAAGAATGGGTTGTTCAACGGATCGGCAAATAGTCATCAATAAAAACTGATCAACAAACTTACATATCCATGAGAAGGGAAATTAATGGAAACAACAAACAGAGAAGAAGAGAAAACAATTTACCACCATGAGTTTCACTTGATCAACATTTTCTCATCGACGATGACAATTTAACCGATTAATTGTGAAGCAAAATGATAATTACGTTCCTCTGTGATTATAATCTACACTTTCTATTAGCTGTTTTTTTTTCAACAGTTTCTATTAAAAGAAAAGTCTTTCAGTGATCACAATTAATCATCTCTCAGTGTTTTCATTTTCTCTTTTTTTGAGATTGATTAACGATTCATCATTACATCTGATCTTTGTTAATCATCTTCTTTTTTTTACAGGGAGAGGCGAACAAAAAATTCTTGTAAAAAGATAAATTATAAAGACAAGTTAGGCTTTTTATTCTTTATTCTTGTGAGATATTTGGTGGGGAACGGGAAGGAAAGAATAAGGTTTTTTTGTTGTTATTTTTTGGGCTTATGGCTATCAGTTAGTTTCTAATTAATTTTCTACCTTTTGTTACTGTTGGCATAAGTAATTGGTCTAATTGGTTTATGATTAGCTGCTGCTTGCTGTTGTAATTGGTAAGCCAGTGGATGTATCTTGAAGCCATATAAACGTGGGACAAATTGGGATGTTGGTTTTTTAGGTCGATATTCAGGGTGTACCATAAAAAGCATATGAGGAAATCCAGTGCCGAAATAAGCACCATCGGTGTGTTGGTGACGACTTGATTTAGGATTATACACATCATTACATTTTGGACAATACACTTTGACCATTGCTTCACCGGGAATGTCAGACAAACCTGAAATATAAATAAAAGAAAAATAGGAGAATGAAAAAAGAGAAAAGAATAAAGAATGACATTAGTTTTACGGTTCTTATCAATAATATAAAAACAATTGATTGAAAGTAGAAGAAGAAAAAAACTTACCAATTGGAAGAAGCTGCTGATTTTCGCAATAAACTCTCGGACATGTTGAAAATTCACCATTTTGATATTTCTCAATCATAAGGGCGATTCCACGATTGGTTAAAATGTAACGAGCATGTATCAGACCATATAACATTTCAGCGGCTTGTTCAACGACATCACTGTGACTCGGATTATCTTCCAGTTCATCGTCCGGTTCCAGGTCAAGAATCATATCCAATGCTTGTCTATAATGTGGTACACTGTCAGATAATCCAGTAAGGTTAAATTTATCTTGAATATAATCCTCATCAACTTCACAGAAAAATTCATTGCCCCGTAAACCACAAAACCAAGAAATCCAAGAAACCTCTTCAGAAGAAGACATTATTTACTTATGAAAATTAAATAAAAGACAAAAAATTAATCTAAAAACTAAATTAATTACAACAATTAGTAAGATTCACCAATCAAACAACATAAACAAAACAATCAACTCAAGAACAACCCTCTCTCTTTTCCTCTCTTTCGCATTGAACACTTTTTATTTGAACAAGAAAGAGAAAAAAGTAAGAGAAAAATGTCGACACGAAAAAAAGAAAGACGATTTACTAGTGACATCTATCGATTTGATTGGGCGAACAATTGAAGCGACAGATCGGTCATGCGTCTTGAGGCTTTTCTTTTTTATTCGCATTCATTTTCCACAAGATGTCACCACATTTTCTTCATTTAAATTGTGATTTTTTCTCAACATGTGTCTGGTATTTTGGTGAACACAATTTGGTTTAATTTTTTGTTCCTTTAATTGTTTTCAATTTGATTGTTTTTGTTACCGTAATTTGATTAATTTAGTTATAATGCCTAAGTGGAGGTCTAAAAAGAATGTTGCTAATGTTGGCAGGAATTTACCTTTAGCCCAACAATTGGAAGAAGATGCTGTTGTTAAACCATCATCTCGATTTGGTAAAAAAAATGATTCTATTGAATCTTTTGATCAGGTAATTGTTTCTGTTTCTCTGTTTTTGTTTTTATTTTGACTAATATTTTGTTTTTCTATGAAATGTTTGCTTTCCAGTTTATCGATGGGAGAACAAGTAAGAAAATTTTGACTCAAGCTCGGAATCAACAAGAGGAATTGGAAGAGGAGTTAGGTTTAAGAGATGATGTTTCAAAGGAACTTGGTCCTGTAATGGATCATTTAACCATGGCTGGTGGAGACGATGATGATAAAAAAGATGATGATTGTTTGGTTAATATCAATGACCAGGATGATTATTACAAAGATTTGAAAATTGATGCTGCTGATGAAAAAGCGCTTGAAATGTTTATGACGCACAAACAACAGGATAAGAAAACTCTTGCTGATTATATCATGGAAAAGTTAAAAGAAAAGGAAACAGAGGTTAATACCCAATTTTCTGATGTTGCCAGTGTTAAATTACAAGATCTTGATAAAGAAGTTGTCGAACTTTATAAAGGTGTTAAACTTGTCCTTTCAAGATATCGATCTGGTAAAATACCTAAAGCTTTTAAAATTATTCCAGCTCTTTCCAACTGGGAACAAATATTAGCAATAACTGGTCCAGATAATTGGACATCAGCAGCAATGTATCAAGCAACTCGTCTGTTTACAGCTAATTTAAAAGAGAAAATGGCTCAAAGATTCTTTAATTTGATTCTTTTACCAAGAATTCGTGATGAAATCGCTGAATATAAACGTTTAAATGTTCACCTTTACCAAGCTCTTAGAAAAGCTTTGTTCAAACCTGGAGCTTTTTACAAAGGTGAGCTCACAATTTCTAACTAATTTTTTTCAATTAACTTTTTATATGTTTTTCCCTTTTCAGGTATCGTATTACCTTTATGTCAGGATGGTGACTGTACTCTTCGAGAAGCCGTTATCATCTCCAGTATATTAGCTAAATGTAGTGTTCCATTGATGCATTCGTGTGCCGCCATGTTGAAAATCGCGGAGATGGATTATTCTGGTGCAAATAGTATATTCTTATTAACTTTAATAAGAAAAAAGTACGCGTTACCTTATCGTGTTATCGATGCAATTGTTGCCCACTTTTTACGATTTTCTTCAGATTCAAGAGTCTTGCACGTTCTTTGGTATCAATCGTTTTTATCATTCGCTGAAAATTACTCGAAAGATATGTCAGATGAACAGAAAGATGCTCTCACTGACCTTTGTAAAGTTCATCGTCATCAAAAAATCACCCCTGTTATTTTGTCTCACCTTCAACCCCAAATGAATGAATAGAATCAAATCAAAACAATTAAACAAAGTGCTCATAATTTAGTTTAAAGTTATAAATTATTTCGTTCCAACTGTTAACCAACGACTATCGATCTAAAAATTGTGACTAAACTCGCGAAGTTTAAATTGATTACTGTTTGTTTTTACTCTTATTTTCAAGGCGATATTATTTTTGTTGTTTCTTTAATTGTAATTAGTCGGAATATCAATGATTATATTTATTTATGAAAATAAAAGCTGAGAAGCCACAAGAAAATGGGGGAAAGGTTAACATCAATTTCCTTTTTTATGTTGAATTATTAAGATTATTTTTTTGTTGTCATGTTGATCGTGGCTTAAAAAGAGTTGATTAACATTCTGTTAGTTAATTAGTTAGTTAGTGTTTACATTTATGTTTTACAGGTTTTACACATTGTTAAGAGTTGGTAAGCTCACATTACAAACTAATACCGGGTTGTTAATAATTATATGTAACTGCAATAGTAATAATAATAATAATAATCATAGTATTGTAATAATAGTTTAGTTAATAATAGTTAATAGTGATAATAATTGTTTCATTGATGAATTAAGCAAAGAGATGGGAGGTGATGAGAAAATTGAAGAAAACCCGAAATTCTTTGCATGATTGAAATCGCCATAAGTACCAATAATAGTGATTAGTAATAGTAACATTAATTAGCAATCAATGAATGAATTAATCAAGTCGTTTTTTCCAATGTTTTCTTTTCCATTTGGTTAAATTAAGCTTGTTAAGTCTTTGTCTTTTCGTGTTATTGGTTTAGATTGTCATCTGATCACCATGAAAATAATAATATTAAGGCGATGGTGTAATCATTGTGCAACTCTAAAGGTGAGTGAGATTTAATCCAATTGATGATGTTTGATGCGTTGTTGGTGTTGTTGAGAGTTGATGAGAAATTAAAATGATCAGAGATTTAGGGTGATGATTAGTGAGTGTGAGTAGCAATAAAATAGACGATCAACTATCAGGAAATACGCTGATTTTATGAGATTAATCCATTTGTTGACTAGAAAATCTTGACAGGTCTGAGTTAATGACGACGACGACGGTGGTTTCATGCTGATGTTAAATGCTAACGATTGAACTCGATGTTCATGATATAATTAGTGAACTTGAGGGATATGAACAGCGATTCCAGAAATAAGAGATTCCAAAAAAAAAAGGTTGATTGGAGTTGAGACTCTACATGATAAGAAAATTGTAAAAGCATGGAAACATTAACCATGGTGATTTGATTAATTTAAAAGTTGTAGTTGCTCGTTGAAGATGATGATTAGTTAATGGAAGATGAGGAAGAGACTGAGAGTTTCAGTGAAGAGTAGAAAAGTTTTTTGAAGAAATTGAAAAGAACCAAGTATCTCCAAATTGCCGTAATTGGTAAAGTTAATTAGTAAACAATGTTGTTTTCTTGTTGATTGTAAAGTTTTAAAGAGAAACCATTTCCAGTTACAAGCCTCCAGAAACGTAAACGTTGAGGAAATGTTTACTCAATCAAGAGAGGAATCGCTAATTATTGGCAAATAATCAAAGTTCAGATGATGTGATAAAAGTACAGAGTTAACTTTGGAAAATACTGGACAGAGAGATTTGCTTCTTGGAGAGATGAGAAATTAAAAGATTACATGAAGATCAATAAAAATAATGGCATCGTTAATTGTGGTTTGTTGTTGATTTAGTTTGATGAGTTTTTCCTCTCTTGTCTTCAAGATTTTCTCAAAGAGTTTCGAAGAAAACTTTAACAAATATTTAATTTCTGCCCTTTCTTAATCGTTGGAAGTTATTTCTTTATACTGAGTTGAGATTTAGGGATAAACTATTAAGTTGACGTTGAGATTATTTAGATTTAAGATGAATTAAGATGCATAGATTGAAATTGTTGCATCAAAGCTGGAGCAGAGTACGATGGGTATGAATGGTTGTGGTTGTACATTATTGCTTGAGGATAATTGGTACCATCATAAGCTGGTGGAGGAACAACATTCGGGTTGGCATTACGACGAAGCTTGAGTTTAACTTGAGCACCGCTTTGGTGAATAACTTGAACCGCTTCTGCATGAGTCATTTTAACAGTGGAAATACCATTGATCTCAATGATTTCATCACCAACATTGAGTAATGAATGAGCTGATCCATCGGGTGCAATTCTCAAGATAAACAAAGGCATACCATTGAATTCGGCTCCACCACGAATCGAGAAACCGAAACCTTTTGGACCACGAATGAGCTCAACTGAGTAACTATCTGCTGGGATAATACGTAGACACAAAGTGTGACCCGATTCTTTAATCATGTTAACTACTTCCGGGTGAGAGGTGTTACGAATGTCATGACCGTTAACCATGATTATCTTATCACGAATTCGAAGGCGACCACAACGATGAGCTGGACTTGCTTCAATAATCCGACCAATCAAGGCACAATTACCATAAGAGATTATTACAAAACCAAAGTCTTCAGTTGCTTCACGTTGTAAAACAACATCATAAGCATCAGAGTTTTTCTTTCGTCGAACTAACAATGAAACTGTATTATCACAGGAAGACATTAAGTTAACTACAGTGTGATGAGAGGCTCCGGTAATGTCTCTTGCATTGATTGACAGAATTTCATCTCCAGCCTTAAGTATACCATCTTTATGAGCCACCCCACCGATCACTATTGACCCAACGGAAATGTTTCTCCCTTCTTCTGCCCCACCGACAATACGAAATCCGAAACCAGCTTCCCCTCTGGTAAGGGTTACCACAAAGTACTCGTAATCATCTTCATCCGGAAATCTATTATGAGCAAGATACTCTTCCCCTGTTCCCAGTTCATCGCCATTTTGAATCATATGTGTAAAATGAGGATGAGGTGGGGGAGGAGGAGGATTGTTGACAACCAGACTATTGGCAACCAGACCATCACTGGTCAGTTCAGTAAGACCATAAGGATCCATATTGAGCTGTGATGGCATTGACATCAAACCGGCACCATTTTGTTGTGATATCCCAACCATATTATACATTGAGCTGCTGGTGTGTTGAAGATGGGGATGAGGTTGTTGAGGAAGATAATGAGGGACTCCATTAAGACCCACATTGGAAGATGGACTTGGTGTGGCTTTTTGATTGTTTACCATTAAACTATTGGGTGAATAATTATTTGATTGACAGTAACCACCGGTTTCGTAAGCATTGTTGTTAATTAAACTCAGACTTTGAGGTGTTTGGTAAAGTCCATTCACAGCCTGTTGTTGTTGTTGTTGTTGTTGTTGTTGATGTTGTTGATGTTGTTGATTCAACTGATCTTCGGCGGTCATCCACTCAAAATCTCGTCGCAACATCATCTCACAATTAGGTGTCTTACAATTACGCTGAGGAGTAGTGACCTCTTTCTCACAAAAAGTGTTCGAAGGGTGCAGAGTCAAAGGCGTTTTACTTCTGAACTTTTTCTTACGTTTAACTGTCATCGATGAAGTCTCACCAATGGAACATTGTTTCAATGCTTCGACCACTTTTACATGAGGTAAACTAGATAAATCTGTATTGTTAACGGTAACCAGAATATCACCAACTCGAAGTGGACCACATCGCTCGGTATCAAGAATTTTCTTCACCTTTTGTCCCTTGTCACTGTCTGATATGGTAAAACCAAAACCATCTGATCCTTTGGTTAATGAGATGTTAATAAATTCATACTCTTTATCCTCTTCCATTGTAAATTCTGGTGGTAATTGGTAACCACGAGCAAAGGTTAATTTAACCCGATCACCAACTACAAAGGTACCAAAGAGACGAGCAATCTCTGAATGTTGAAGACCTGAAACAGAAACACCGGACACAGAGACTAGGACATCACCAGGCTGAATTACTCCACTCTGGTCAGCGGGTCCTCTTGGCACAATATTTTTAACAACAACAAGACCTTTGTCAAGTTCAATCAAAGTAAACCCAAAACCATTTTCACCTTTGGTCAATTCAATCTCATAAGGTCGCTCATATTGAGTTCTCTTATTGATATGGTCAATATAGTAAACACCATAATGAGCATCACTGATTTTCTCCCATCCATGAGGTAAAGAGCTCGCATCAATGGCAGCAATATTACTACGATTTCGCCTTCTTTTAGCAGCTAAATTGGCTGAAAATTGATTAGCCGTAACACCGGGTCCATTCACAGATTCACCGTTACTGTTACCGTCTGGATGATTTTGTTTATTCTCATTTGAATCCGAATTAGGATCATCTGGATTAGCTCCTTGTGAATTGATGTAAGAAACATTTCTATTTAACATTTCTTTGTTCTCATAAGTTGAATTAGAGTCATTTGGGTGCATGGGAACAATTGAATTATCGGAATTTGATAAAGGTAAAGGTGTACCATAGTGACGACCCATGAAAATACCGCTTTCCAAAAGAACTCCACTTCTCTCCATTTCCATGAATTCTTCAGTAGAAATGAACTTATAATCAACTCCATCAATCTCATCTGATCTGGGTAATCTGGTAGTACATGGGATGGTCTTCATGTAGACATTATCTCGAATAGTAATTTGTAGATCATGGTCAACTGATCCACGAGCAAATTGACGAGAAAGATATTCTCTAAGATCAATTGGAAGACCAAAGGAAGAGCTCGAAGAAACAGCTTTAATATCAACCAAAGGTTTATTGTGAATCAGGTAAATGACATCATTTCTTGTTAAACCGGCAACTCGATAACCATTAACTTCTAATAAAATATCACCAGAATCCATAAAATAAGGCAACTGACCATAATCTGATCCACCAGCAATACTCCACTCTTCAATTCTAACATCTTTTGATTCATAAACAACTTCACTCCAATGTCTTAATTGAGGAATTGTTGGAACCGATTCCATGGGTGGGCCTCCACCTCCATATCTAATCTGACTTTCAAGAGTAGCTTTCTCATAAATATCCTGTTCTTCAATCAAACTTTTATCCAAATATTCTTGATTTATTGATTGAAGATCTTGTTGATGTTGCTGTTGTTGATCTTGTTGCTGTGATGATGGTGGTGAATGAAGCTGATGTTGTTGTTGTTGTTGATGATGATGATGTTGCGGTTGTTGTCCTTGTTGTTGTAACAATTGTTGCTGATGAAGATGGTGAAAATGTTGTTGCTGTTGCTGTTCATGATATTGATTACTAGAATCATGTTCCATGTTGATACACAATAATAAATTAGTTAAAACAGTAATCAAATTATAAACAAGCTAATTACTTAATTCACTAGGCCACTTAAATTGCATTTAGATGATAGTTTTATAGATAAGGAAATACACAAAAACTGCAACACATCAAAGGGAAACAAAAGGAAATATTTAAATCACAATTTAAACGAACCTTCACTCGGTGAATAATATAAACCACTCGTGTAATTAAAAGAATAGATTGTCGATAATCACAAGTGAAACAATTAAAACAAATTAAAAATAAAATGAAACGATTACAAATTCATCAAGATCATTTAAACAAGAGAAAAACATTTAAGAAAAATTTTTAAAAATTTTCTTCTCAAAACTTGACGCTCGAAGAATAACCTGCTATTCTCACGAACTTTTCTCTTTAAATAGTATTTGTATTCTATTCTCACTAAATTGTTACTTTTTCATTCAATTCTACTTCTTGATTTTTCTCCTCGATTAACAATCAATTCTTAATTGACTGTTGGTTTTTTGCTGATTTTCTCTCACTATCTGTGATTATCAACCATCATGGCTTCACGAGGAGCCCTCATTTTCCGTCAGGTAACTAATTGAATCTCTAATTGTTGCAATTTAAATTTAGATTCTCATCTGTTGTTTTCTCTGTTTATGTCAATAGAGTTTTTTTTTCATTAATTTGATCATTTTTTTTTGCTCGTTTATTTAATTTGTCTTTTTAGTTATTTGATCGAACTTGTTGTGGATACTCATACTTAATTGGTGACCGAGCCCAGAAAGTTGCCCTTCTCATTGACCCTGTTCTTGAGCAAGTTGATCGAGATCTTAAATTAGTTGAACAACTCGGACTTGAGGTTAGTAATTTTCAGTTAATAAATTGCTATTAGCTAGTTGATTGCCTGGCCTAATCTATAAGTTAATTTCTCACCATAGTAACTGTTATTTTATCTTTGAATATCATTGAGTTAATCATCGCAATCAATTTATTCATCAAATGAGTATTTAATCGTATGTTGATCATAATAATCTTTATGATAATTATCCTAACTCATGATACAAATTCGCTTGTATTTATTTTGATTTAACTCTCTAAATCTCTCATTTTGATTTCTTTTTCATGGTAATCAGCTTAGATATGTTCTTAATACTCATGTTCATGCCGATCATATAACGGGGTCTGGATTAATCAAGAATCGTTTGAATTTAGAAAATAATTCAAAAGTGATTAGTATCATATCTAAATCAAGTGGAGCTCAGGCTGATATTTGTGCTGAAGATGGACAAGTTATTGATTGTGGTTTGATTAAACTAAATGTATCTTTCACTCCAGGTAATTTAAGCTGATGATTGTTTACAGTTTGTGCTTAATTGATTTGATCATTTTCTGGTTGAAAGGTCATACCAATGGTTGTATGAGTTTAATTGATCACGATAATAAACGAGCCTTCACCGGAGATACTTTGTTCATTAGAGGTTGTGGTCGAACCGATTTTCAAGAAGGTATTTAATTGTTTGCTTTCATTGATTATCATTTAATCTAGTTAATTGTCTGTCATTCATTTAGGATCATCATCCAAGCTTTATGATTCAGTTCACTCCAGGCTTTTTATATTACCTGATGATTATAATGTTTACCCGGCTCACGATTATAATGGTATGTAATTATTTTCTTATTGAATTGTTAATCATTCAATCAATTGTTTTATTTTTAATTTAACAACTTTAGGTCAATTAACGTCAACAATTGGAGAGGAAAAAAAGTTTAATCCAAGATTGAGTAAATCACGGGAAGAATTTATTCAAATTATGGAAAATCTTAATCTTGATTATCCAAAAATGATGGGTAAGATAATTTAATCACAATGTAATTAACTTTAATTGTTCTCTCATTGATGATTAGATGTTGCTGTCCCTAAAAATATGATTTGTGGTGGTACATGAATCGTGATTGATTAACGATAACTTTTTAATTGTAAATGAAACAAACAACCAAATTAACTGTGAGTTAATCAACTTTTCATCGATTTCGGTATGCAAATCCAATCTAATTTGTACAAAAATATACAATTAGTAAAAGAAAAAATTACTCTATTAAATGTTTTTTTTCCACAATTAAATTATGCACGTTACTGATTACCAAATGAACTTCTAAATTGCGACTTTTGGAAAATTAATACCAACAATTGGAGAGGAGAAAAATTTAATCTGAGGTTGAGTAAATCAAGGGCGAAATTTATTCAAATTATGAGATTATCAATCTTGATTATCCAAAAATGGCGAATAAGTCAATACAAAAGCATTTGTTTAAAATAATAATTAACTTGATTGTTCTCTTTCATTAATGATTAGATTTTGCTGTTCCTAGAAATATGATGTAATATAATGAATAATCTGCTAGTAATTAACTTTTCAGTGATTTCGATACTTGAAAACCAATACTTCGAGCCAATGGAATTGGAACTGCATTGCCGATCTAATTTGTATTGAGAAAAAAAATGGAGATTAGTCAAAGAAATATAATCATGGAAGTTAATTGATTATCAAACTGTAGTAAAATAATTCACCTGAACTTTAATCTCAGCCATTGATCCAGAGAAATGGTAACTGTCAGGAAAGCCTTGTGATCGAGCTGATTCTCGGATTGAAATAACCCGATTAGCCCGAGGATGTAAGACACTTCCTTGTTTACTACTAGGAACCGTTTTGGTTATCGTCGTGATGAAAAATCCATTCCATTGAAGGCGACCAAATAATCCAGACCATTGATAGTTTCGATTAGCAGTATGGACTAAACCCCAAGGAATCAAAGTGTTTTCTGGACGGGAAGTTGATTTTGAGCAAACATTGCCTGAGGCACAATCACAGACACCACGAAACGATCCACTTGATGATTTACCATTTTTAATATCATCATAATGGTAATCGAGTTTTTCGATGACAGTTCCATCAGATAAGATCAAACGGATATTCGGCAAATCTCTCCAATCAGCACCAGGGAAACAAGGGATCTTATCAATTCGAGCCTGATTTAGTAAACTCATCGACGGAACAACATGTAGACTTACATTAGTGAGATTTTCGCTCCCTTTTCGCATTAACTTTTGGTAAAATGTTTTCGTCGATTTGTATGAACACGAATAGTCCAACGAGTGACCAACTTCATCTGGTAGATCACTAATTGCATCGGCAACGGTATATGGACGAAAATAACTGTAATTCTGATTGTGATACATTGACTTTGATCGTTTAGTACCAATCAGAATATCAAGTTGACAAGCTCGCGCTGAGAAACAGTGTAAAGGTTTCGGTAGATTAGGTAATTCAATAGTTGGATCAGTGGCTAGAATAAATGTTCTTCGACGCGATTGTGGAACACCATAAGAACCCGCTTGAAGAATACCAAAGGTCACTTGATAGTTCATCGTTAGAAGGCATGATAATGTTAGTTTGAGAATTTTACTTCGTTCGAATTGAACGAAATTACGAACATTTTCAAAAACGACAACTTTAGGTCGATAATAATCAATGTAACTTAAGAATGTGACAAGAAGTGAATTTTTGAAAACGGAATAGAGTCGATTGGAAAATCTATTCATCCCACTGAATCCCTGACATGGTGGTCCACCAAGAATCATTTCCACTTCCCCTGGTTGAGGAAGACACTGTTTCTGATCATCGTTGGAATATTTTTCACCGGAAAGTAATCGAGCCAACAATAAATTAGCATCTTGATTAAAGACATTTGCTGACGGAAAATTATAACCGAATGATTTTGCGGCCGATGAATCTTTCTCAATGGCCCAAAGTGTTTCAGATGAGCCCGATTCCTTGAAACCCGAGGCCAATCCACCGCAGCCAGAGAAAAGATCAAGAGTTTTCAAAGGTTGAACTGTAGGTAAAATTGATTGTTGGTAAGTTGAAAATGAAGATAATTCATCTTGAGAAAGTGTCTCGAACAATTTAGTAACAGGATTGTAAAATGATTTAACAAAATAACGATGAGCAATCAGTAAATTATCAGGTCGATTTTGATCATTTCCAAGGTAATAAACATTACAAGGTTCTCGAAGAGCTGAACAGTTGATAGTTTGACTTTCGTTAGTTAAATAAACTTCATCAAGAGAAGACCCAAGAAGTTGATCATAATTACCAAAACAATTCTGAGGTCGATAAAATAACTGTACTTCTAATTGACAATCGTCGTTAGTGTCAACCTTGTTACGAAAGATTTTCTTGATTCGGACAATCGTATAAATCTGATTGATATCGTCCAGTCCACCTTTGATAAATTCAGTAAATTGTTTACGATAACGTTCAGGGTAAAGATTTTCATCATAAGAAGAGTCGTTGATTTGATTACATCTCATTTCTTTCAACAGAAAATCCGGTAAATCAACTGAATCAGGACTAATTAGTGCGAACGATTCCTCGTGAAAACAATGACCATTAATTGTGATGCTTTCAAAATAAGATAAATCATCTTTTTCTATGCAACATTTTGACAGAACAATTTGATTTAATTTTCGCCGCTCATCTTGAAAGTAACAACCAAGACATGATTTAGCTTCGAGTAGATTAACAATTTGTTGATTAAAACACTTAAACCAACCATAATCTTTTGAATAGATTCGATCGCAATGATAATCTCGTTTCTCCAAAGATAAATCTAATCCAAGATCAACATCAACTTTGTCAATCAAATTGTACAACAAAATGTCACCACATTCACGAATCAAATAAACGGAATTGGACGAACCCGTTTCCTCGAGAACTGTACTCTCACTAAAACTGAATTAAATAGGCTAATTAGCGATTCCCAATATCAAATTAATAACCAACTTACCAAAGAAAATCAATGTGAGCGTATTTTTGACCATCAATTGATTCAAATAAATCGATAACTCTTCCAATTCCAGTGTTATCTTCAATGGCGTTTCTTTGATTCCTCGCAATCAACACGAAATTTCCGATGACAATCTTAACAATTTAAAAGGAGAGAATTGGTTTAAATTAAATTTAAAAATTGTTAGTTAAATGATTACTTGGATTCCATTGATTCGAGTTGATTCATAGTAAATTCTTTTGGAAAAAGAATCGACATGTTTTGTTTCACTGGTCCAAATGATTTTAGAATTAATTAAATCACGTTTCGATTTACCATAACCACGATTACCTAATTCTTTGTAAATTGTTGTTGATTTAATTTCATCTCTCCGTGGATTCAAAGCTCCTTTAAATTGTTCCTCGAAAAAAGTTGCCACGAGTTGAGTACAAGTCGCAAACGAATCATTGTTAATTGATTTACGAATCTTAGAGCCGATAGATTCATTCTCTTGACTTCCACCACAATTAGCCAATGATTTAGGTCTGTAATTAGATTAGCAGTTAGTAAATTTACTCATTAAACACAGATAATAATGGTTACCTTTTTAATTTAAGTGACTTTTGTGATGCCGATTCAATTAACTCTTGAATCGCAACAGTTTCAAAAAGTTTAAGCTCCTCAGGTGATGCAGATTCATCATACGATTGAATTTGGTCCAAAATGAAAGGTAAAATTTGATATAATCGAGATAATTTAAGTTTCGGACACTTAACAATTAAATGTTGAACTAATTGTGAACAATTGGACTCTGGATTACATTCAATCCACTCGATAATATGTTTAGTGGCCATTATTTTATCCCCGATACTTTCACAGATAATTTTGTACCTTGGATGAGGTAAAAGTAAATTGTACCTACAAAGAGGCGATTCAACACCAATTAAAACACGTTCACCTCCATCAAACCCCGAGATCCACCATTGATCAATCGGCCCAATACCACAAGTCGCCACCGAACCCTCATTAGGACCATCGTCGGTATCAGTCAAGGGCTTCAAATAACCTTTAAGATAAACGGGTTTGTCCGATTCGATTAGTCCAGAATCAATAGAAACCAAATGATAATTTGCATCATACAAACAGTAATTGGTTACATTCAATTCCAGTGAATCTTCAATTTGACTCTCAAAAAATTGGGTCAACTTCGGGTCAGCCAATGCGATCACTTCTTCGAGAAAAAGTTCACCTTTGTTTTCATCATCATCGACATTTAGATTAATACACTCATCGATTGGATTATCACACTGATCACAAATAACTAATTGACTGGTGAGTTGACGTTTACGAGAAGATGAAGAAGATGATAATCCATCCATGGATCATTAAATTAAATATAATCTCACAGAGAAACAAAACATTTTCTTCATCAAAAGGAAAACAAATTGTTCAAGTTAAACAAAAAGTTTACAATAAGAACATCGATTAATCGATTTAGTCAATAATCGAAAAAAAAGATGATCGATAATCGATAATCTCATTTTCTAATTTTCTTTTTTTCAAAACATTATCACTTCTTAACATGAGATAATCAACTGAACCATCAACATTTTTATTCATTGTTTAAGTTTTTTTATTCTTTTTATCTGTTTTTAATATTTTTATCCTTCATCTATTCAATGTTCCCATGAGCAAATTAAAATCTAAACAAAAAGTGTCAACAATCAACAGAACGAATCTTATTCTCATCTCATTTCCACCATCACCATCACTCTAATGTCTATTCACTCTGAAGTAGTAAGTTTACCTTTAATTGTCATTACGTTTCCAAATTTAAATTGTCTCTTTCTCTCTCATCCGTCATTAACATATCACTCATTTGCTGTTTTTATATTTACCTACTCTGATTACCATTACCCCTCTCATTTGTTAACCATTTCAATCCGCCTTTAATTTGTTGAAAAATGGGCAGATACCAAATTGTCACATATCAGAAACATGAAATATTTACTAATTTTCACCCGTTCATGTGAATATTAATTTACACACCTTTAAATTGTCAACTTGACTAGTACAATGATAATTTGCTAGTTTCTAAAATGTTTCAAGTTCCAAAAAAAAAACAACCAATTCTCTCCCAATTCATTGGATTCTATTCTATTCTTATATTTTTCTTTTCTCTACTCTTAATTTTGTAGTGTATTTGACAATCATTTTATCTTTTCTTTTCTAATTATCTTTTGTTTTTCTTTTCTCGTTCTTCTTGGCATCTTCATCCATATCATCATCATCATCATGGTCTCGGAAATATTTCTCTCCATCCAGGATCATTCTCAAGCCAATAGCATACGAAAAGCCATCAACAACAATGAGTGTCCAGTCAAAGAGAAACACGTTCGAAGTGAGTTAATTGTGATCATTTGTTGGCTTCAAAGTGTTTCAATGTATTCGCATCATCATCCTCTCTCTCTCTCTCTTCCTTGTTGTTATTTTACTATCAATTCTAAATCCTTTTGATTTGATTTTTTATTCTTTTGTTTTTTCTCTCTTCTCTTCTTCTATTGTCTATTCATCTGAACAATTATCATCACCATCACATCAACACCACACACAATCATAATATATGAAAAAAAGGAATTATCATCGATTCATTTCGTGAAAAGGGATCAGCATTCTTTTGGAATTTTGCTGTTAAATTACCTCTTCAAGAGAATCCAATTGTTTGCTGGAAATTCTGTCATGTTGTTCATAAACTGCTCCGTGAAGGACATCCTAAGGTAAATTATATCTTCTCATTCAAAAAGAGTGACAAAATCTCGTCTCGACTTTAAGAGAGAAAATAACTGTTCTTTTTTCTCAAATCATCATCATTAACAAGAGACATGAAAACCTGACCAATCTCTCTTACCGAATCATTTTCATTCTCTTTCTTTTGATATGCTTCATGTTAATTTTTCCAATCGTCTCCTTATTCTCTCTCTCTCTCTTTTTATCAATCGACGTCTATTTTCCGCTCTAATGAAAATTTACTGATTACTTTATTGGCAATCATGACGATGATCATGATGATAATCGTCATTCATCTTCCAGGCCATTATTGATGCATATCCAAATCGTCGGATAGTCGGTGATCTCGGACGATTCTGGGGATCCCTTAAGGATGGTTATGGTAAACTGATACAAAATTATTGTGCCCTAATTGTGTCAAAAATGGATTTTCACGTTCGAGTATGTTACCTTTAATCTCTTGTCTTGATCACCTTTTCCTTTTTTTTCCATTCTATTCAATTTTCTTCTTTTTTCACTTACCTTTTATTTCTTACCTTTTATATTCTGAAACTTTGAGTAGTGAAAAACAATTTCATCAGATTATCAACACTTTATGCTCATCAGTTCAGCTTCTTTTTCTTCCGGTTTCAATCATGTTATTGTCTTAGAAAACTAACAAATTCTTCTTTTTCTTTTATTTCATTTATCTTTTTTTCCATCTTCTATTTTGATCTATCCTCTTAATTCAGAATATTAAATTCCCGGGGAGTTTACAGGTCACCGATGAAGAGCTTGATGAAATTGGTGAACGAGATGTAAATGTATTGTAAGTTTATTCCCTTTGCCTCAATCATTAACAAGTTAATCATCACCATTAATGATTCTAAATTAATTATCACCATTTCTTTTTTTTTTACTGTTACAGTTTTCAACTTTCATGTGAAATGTTTGACTATTTAGACGAAATATTAAGCCTTCAATCATCAGGTAATTTAATCCTCCATTTAAATGAATGATTGTTCATTTGAATTAATCTACTTTTTCCTTCTTCCCATTACTAATCTTTCTTAATATATTTTTGTTCAATTTCTTTCCAAATCAATTTCCATCCATTAATAGTATTTGGATCTCTGGATATGTCACGAGCCAATTCAATGACGAGTGCAGGACAATGTCGATTAGCTCCATTGATCCCGTGTATCCAAGATTCAAGTCAACTTTATGATTACTCAGTAAAAGTATTATTCAAGTTACATGGAGGTTGGTTAACCTTTTTTTTTTCATATCATCATCACCATGTCTACCCTGTTTCTTGCTCTTTCATCATCCATCAATCGTTGTTATTACTACAATATCATTTCTAAATTGCAAAGTTGATTCCACTTTCAATTGAAACTGAGAATGAAACTGTAGACACCATTCATCTTGTAGATAGAAAAAAAAAATCTTGAAATGAGTAAAAACATGAAGCTGTAAACATCGAAACGTTGATGGTTGAGTAAACAATATCATCATTTTTGACAGATTGACATACTCATTCATATCTATCTGATTTCCAGTTAATTTTTTCACTAAATATATATAAATTATTACGCTGATTGTTATTTAACTTGTTAGTTGATTGCAATTTTATGTAATTGGTATTATCCGTAACAACCATGAAAAGTTTAGTTAATTGGAAAGGAAAAAAAAATTAATTCCAAGACTTGACCTTCAATAATTTCACCAGAATCAATTGTTGTTACCAGTAAATTGTTTAAATTGTTACACTTCCGTCAATTAATCGTAAATAATCACTACAATCTATTAATTCTTACAATTTAATCTGATTGTTTTCTTTTCTTTCATGTTAATCCAATTTAGCATTACCACCCGGGACCCTTGATGGCCACAGAGATAGATTTTTAACTCAATTTAGATTGTAATTACTTTCTTTTCCAGTAGATCAATTGATCATTCATTGATTAACCAGAATTTTATTGTTAACAATTTACTAATCATCATTTTTTTTTTCACCTTCTCCATCTTACAGATTAAAACAATTTTACCTTAATTCAAACAATTTACAGTATTTTAGGTATCTTATACAAATACCACTTCTACCAGAGGTAAGTGAATTTACTAATTGCTAAACGAAAATAATTAATTGTTGATCAGATAAATAATGATTTACATGTGACATAATTAAGATCATTTAAGATTAATCGTAATCATTATTTTACTGTGGCAATTAAACAATTTACAAGATTCTTATTATGTGGTTATTATAATTAGTTATGATATAATTTGAATCACAAATGTAATTACAATTAAACTGGTTGTCAATTGTACAGTTGTGTCAACAACAATTAACGTCTCTCTCCAAAGTCAAAAGTGATATTTTATCAAATAGTTTAGAGTGTAATGATTACTATTATTACAATTATATAATCAATAAGCGTAAACACTTATCTAATTAGTTAACTACTCGTTTGCATCGTTATGATTACCCTACAGTTAATTACCTGTATATACATTGAACACTTTGCCTTCTACTGACAATTTGTCTCAATCATATTTGATTAGCATAAAAAAGTAATACTTTTATCAGTCAAACAGTTAGTTATCATTGATCATTAGCAATTAAACTTAAATAGCAACCAAACTGTAAACAAAGTCGTCTATTACTTGAACCGATAATCATATAATAATAATAATAATAGTAATCATGTTTATCTTTGGATGATCACAATCAATTGATTATTTACTATTGTAATGAAATTATTTACCATTTTGTAAGACTGATTAATTAACTGTTTCTAATTTACAGAATCCACCTAATTTCCTATTAGCATCTGATTTGAAAAGTCATGTAACTCCCGTTGTTATCCTGCCTCAGCAATCAGATTCACCTGATGGATCTGAAGCAACCGACACATTAATTGATTTATCATTTCCAAATAATCAGGTTAGTTCTTAGTTAATTTCCCTTAATTAGCACAGAACAATTGATTTACTTAATCTATTATTAATTACCCTTTGAATGCATTTCTAATTAATAGGTTGATAAAGCTACAAGTGATGAAAATTCATCCGTTTGGTCATTCAGATCTGAACCAGTTAATGGATCTGTTTCCCATGAAGCCTTGGAAGCCAAGTATGACTAATTAATTAATTTTAATCTACAATTTATCATACTAATTATGATCTTTATCTATATTTCTATTACCTTTATTCAGAGATAATCTGATAATCAAATTAAAACGTCGAATAGAAGAGCTAGAAATGGAAATACAACAGATTCGTATAGAGGTTAATATACTTACTCCTTTTCCTTTTTTTTCTGTTTTCAATGTTACTCTCTGATGTGGAGATAATTTAATTTAATTGTTCAACTAATTGTTTCTCTTTTTATTCTATCTTTAGGATGGGCGTATTATTGATAATTTTCGTCGTAAATTAGCTGAAGTTGAATGTAATGTAGTCGAATCGGATAGAGCACTGAAAGCAATTAACATTGATAAAGATAATCTTTCCAAAGAAAATGAAGAATTGAAACAAGAAATTATTAAACTTAAATCAGGAACTGATATTCAACATGAGAATACCAAAGCTAATGAAAAATTAGCCAAAGTTCTTGATATATACAAAAAATTAAGAGATGAACATATTGAACTATTGAGAGCGGTAAGAAAATCAAACCATAAAGAATCAATAACAAGCACAACAATTAATTGCTCATTAACTTCTCACCATTTAGAAAGCTGAAGTTGATAAAAACTGTATCAGTACTAAGTCAGCATTGGAACGTGAACTTAAAGCCAAAGAGGTAAACAAATCAACTAACAATCAACAACAACAACAGAATCTCAACAATTTCGTTTATATTAATAACCTTTTTTTATATCTTTTTCTTAACAGAATTTGGAAGAGCAATTGAAAGATTTGAAGCACAAGGTAGAAGAGAATCAAGTTAAGAGCGAGACGGTGGAAAAAGCAGAAGCCATTGAAGCTTATAATAAGAAGCTACTCACTGAAATCGCTTTACTTCAGAAGGAGAAACTTCAAACGGAAGGTGAACTGAGCGATGTTCAGAAACACCTTCTCATGGTTAAGGCTGATCTTGAGGACCAATCACGAATTTGGGAATCCAAGTTTAATGAGCTTAAATGGCATCTATTAGGTATCGTATAACCATAAAGATAATCAGTACAATAGATTAACATAAAATTCATTTGTTGAATCTCTTTTATTATTTCATCTTTAATTGTTTTGGTAATTAACTGATTTTCTATCATTTTCTTACAGATCTTTTACTTCAAGAAACTTATAATATTTCATGTAAACTTAACGATGAAGCCGATACAGGACCTTGTTCAGTCACAGTATTTTCAACTCCTGGTATGAAATTGAATCGGAGTCATGGATTCCATTTTCTTCATCATGTTTTCATTATGTAATCATCATGGAAAAGATAAAAAAGATGAAAGGAGAAAAAGTTTCATCACAATTGAGATGGTTTATCAATTTAAAGTTCTGATGATAATTTTTTTTCTTCATCTTCACAGTAACGCTGATGAACCATGAAGGCAAATATTTCATGATGGAACTTTTTTTTCATGTTAACATAATTTTTGAGACAAACATCAGAATTTTGTGTCTTTTGTTTGGTAGTTTAAATTGGTTCAAAACTTAATCAGATTTATAAGAATCAGGCATTTTTAGATTGTTTTAGATGATTGAATGAGAATTTATTAATTGTCATCCAAGTTGATTACATATCTCATTTCCTCTTGATCATTTGTGTCAATATTTATCTTTATTTCCGTTTCCCATCTCATACTTTTGAACAGAAAATTTTTTCAATCAATGTGATAATTTGAAGGATTGGCTTGAAAAACTGTCAACTATTTCACAAGACTTTACCTGTTCACCCAACAATTTAGATGACATCAGCAGATTTATCATTAATTACTATTCCTCACTTTCTCATACTTTTCATTGTGGTCGAGTCATCTATCAAACTTTGCCAAATTTTGATCTAGCCCAAGGTAAACAATTAAATCTTAATCAAATTAATCATTCACTCTAATTGTTTTCTCTCAATTTACAGAGCTTATGAATCATTGTAAAAATTTGGTCTCCTCTTCAATCCAATTGAATCAAAAGATGAAAAATCGTGTTGATATAAAAGATCAATTAGAAGTAACCAATTTATGTGTTAATCAAATTATCGCACTTCGATCAAAAATTATGCCACAATTAAACCTTAATCAAAACGCTAATCTTGAACAATTGTTGACCCAAGAGTTGAGTGATATGGACAAAGCCATTGAAGAAGCTGTTAGCAAATTAGAGGTGATTTAATATTCCAATCAAACTCAAATAATCAATCAATCTTAATTGCTAATCAATAATTTATTTTTAATTGAAATTCTTCCAGCAAATGATGGTTAAATCAAAGAAACAAGATTCAGGTGTAACTCTGGAAGTAAATGAAAATATACTCGACGCTTGTACAACTTTAATGCAGGTAATTTAATCATCTGATTGTCCAAAACCATTGAATTACGGAATTGTGACAATTAATATTATCTTATTAATTTCTTTTCTTTTCTTTTCTCAGGCTATCGTCCGTTTAGTTAAAAATTCCAAAGAACTTCAAAGAGAAATCATTGTCCAAGGAAAAGTATGTTATCATCAATTCAACAATCAATAAATTGTTGACTAATTTTGTCTTTAATTTTCTCAATCAGGGATCTGCATCACCATCAGAATTTTATCAAAGGAATCATCGTTGGACTGAAGGTTTAATTTCTGCTGCTAAAGTTGTTGCACTTGCAGCTAAATTATTAGTGTAAGTATTGTACCAATAATATTAGTTAATTTCTGAGCAAATTTAAAATTGATCAATAATTAATTGAAACAGTGAAGCTGCTGATAAAGTTATCGCTGGAAAAGCTAAATTTGAAGAGCTGATGGTTGCATCAAATGAGATCGCTGCAGCTACTGCTCAACTTGTGGTCGCCTCTCGAGTTAAAGCCGATCGGAAAAGCGTCAAAATGTCCAAACTATCTCAATCCTCGAAAGAAGTTCGTGAAGCAACGGGAAATGTGGTCGCAATTGCCAAAAGTTGTGCTGAGAAAATCGAGGAAACCGATACTATGGATTTCTCCAAATTGACCTTACACCAAGCAAAGAAAATGGAAATGGAAAGTCAAGTGAAACTATTAGAACTCGAAAGTGAAATAACTCGAGAACGAATGAGACTTGCTGGTCTTCGAAAGCGACATTACCATTTAGCGAGTTAATCAATTAATTTAGATCAAATTTTATCATCAATTTTGTTTTTACGCTGCCCAATGATCAGATTAACTCTACTCGCTTATCATCAACAATTAAGAATTTCTGAATAGTCACCAATCATCAAATCTCATTATTAATCATTTCCATTTTTCACCATTGATTGTTTCACAATGAAATTACCAAGGAAGACTCAACACTCGAAACTTTTAAATCCAAATCAATTTTAATCACCATTCTTATTATTTTAATTTACTTACAACAGTCTACAGAATCAATCCCAATACTTGTCACTAAAATTAATGCGGAGGAGATTTATTAATTGTTTCTTCTTACAATTTAATTGCACAATTTCTATAATTTGATTACAATTTTGTTCCTATTCATCCCATAAATTGGAAACAATCAATTTAATCATGATAATCTATATTCATCTCAGAGATTTAAAATTTTTAATAAAATCTATTGATATTTATTTACAATCATTAAATGATTGTTAACTATGCAAATTACGACTGAATCTATTGATTGATGCCTCAGAATTTGTTGATTCTTACTGAACATGTATTATTAATATTTGACTTTTATCATGAAGAAAGTTGATAAATAATGACTGATATACTTCCAAGTGCACGTAAGTTACAAATTTCCTTGAATCTACAGATTTCGAGGTAAAATTGTCATATCGATGTACACGAAAATTATGAAAAATAGATTTAGTGCTTGAAGAAACCTGAGACTGTCTAAATATTAAGCGATTCATATTCTATCGGAAATATTACTGCATTATTCCTTGAATATGTAAACAAAAAAAATTCTGAAAGCTCATCAGTTAATAGCTATTAATTGATCCCATCAAGAAAATCAATTAGCATTGCTCTCAATCTAAAACACTGGACATCAATTAACCTCACAAGGGAACTTCATGAAGTGTCAAATCGATAATGACCAGAAAACATGTTTTTTGGAAACGGCGTGAGAAATTATGCGGGCCATTTTTGTTCTGGCCTGCCACAACCCGATAGTTGCCGAGAAAACTGGCCTGAAAGATCGGAAGCCGTGGACATTAATTGTGTGGAATGGCAATGTTTGTTTGAAATGTGCAAAAATTATCGACCTATCTGTTATTGAAATAGACGATATTTCAATCTCTGATAGACGAGGAATTGCTACGATAGAGGCTCTCAGTTAAAATAAAACAGTGTTGGCGCAATATGTTAAAATATTATATATGTATAGGAAAAAACTTAACGCAGATGAAGAATCTATCTACCAATGTCGATGATATGCTGAAATCTCTTGGAGATCATGGGCTAAAGCAACATCATCGAACTCATGCTAGTTTCCATGGGCCTATACAAATTGTATTGCAGCTATCCACGTATCATACGGGCAAGCTCTCTTCTGCCGTCTGGAGTTCGATCGGCTTGAATAGCCATCAACCGCTCATTTATTATTTTCTTATTTGTTTTTACAAATCTTAAGCTACAAGTTGATCGTATGATACGTGGATAGCTGCAATACAATTTGTATAGGCCCATGGAAACTAGCATGAGTTCGATGATGTTGCTTTAGCCCATGATCTCCAAGAGATTTCAGCATATCATCGACATTGGTAGATAGATTCTTCATCTGCGTTAAGTTTTTTCCTATACATATATAATATTTTAACATATTGCGCCAACACTGTTTTATTTTAACTTCGAGAGCCTCTATCGTAGCAATTCCCTCGTCTACATCAGAGATTGAAATATCGTCTATTTCAATAACAGATAGGTCGATAATTTTTGCACATTTCAAACAAACATTGCCATTCCACACAATTAATGTCCACGGCTTCCGATCTTTCAGGCCAGTTTTCTCGGCAACTATCGGGTTGTGGCAGGCCAGAACAAAAATGGCCCGCATAATTTCTCACGCCGTTTCCAAAAAACATGTTTTCTGGTCATTATCGATTTGACACTTCATGAAGTTCCCTTGTCAGTCTCAAATGATTAGATGGGAATTATGGCAATGGAATGGAAAAATAATTAATTAATCAATTATTAAGATTCGTCTTTTTCCATCAACAGTGAGAAACTGGACATTTGAAATATGTACAAACCAAGAAAATTCGTTAGTCCCTTTTCACTCAGATAATAAATGTGAAAGTTGTTTCTAAATTGTTATGATTGATCAAATTTATGAATTCTTTATTTTTTGTGAATTAGTTATCATCGCAACCCCCCAACAGCTGATCCAAATCTGAGCTATTTGATGGATCGCACGCACCGAGGAAAATGTGTCATTTTCTCTCATGAGAATTTCGATGGCAAAAAAGACTTAAATTTGCTGAAATTGAAGCTGATGAATTGCGCGAATGTTTCAATGGCTTAGGATTCGAGGTAATTATCCATAAAGATCTCAAGAAAGAAGAGATCAATTCAATTCTTAGGGCTTGTAAGTCTGTATACTTTTCAATTGTTTCAATTTCTTGACAATTGAGAAACACCATGACTCTCACTAAACATAAAACGTTTTTCTTTTTATTCTCGTTTTCGAAAAGTATCGGAAGAGGAACTTTCAAATGCCGATTGTTTAGTAAGTATTATCAATACCTATGGAACTGAGGCAACTTTATTTGGTAAAAGATAAAAAATATGAAGCAGGTATTTTGTCCGAACTTTTCAACGTAGAGGCATGTCCCTCATTGGCACAAAACCCTAAAATTTTCATCATCGATGTGAGTAAACTGTTGATTTTTTGTTTTTTATGTACGAAAATCTTTTGTACGAAAGCTTTTTTATTTTCTTGTTATCATGTAACTTTTTGCTTATTTATATTCGTTAGGCTTGTCGGGGAAAGAAAACTGATCCAGGCTTTGAAATTACATTGGCCTTTAGCACAAAACATGATTCGGAAGAAAATGAGCAAGATGAGCCTGACTCCGCGATAGTTAAAAGGCCATTCAAAATTCCAATAATGTTCCATTTTTGGTAGCTTATTCAACTTGGCTTGGGCATAAATCTCTTGAAGATGAAGAAGAACCTTGTTTTTTGATTAAATTGGCCGAAAAAATGACGGAATTTTCCAGAACATTATCAGTACTTGATATACTCACACTGGTGAATCACGATATTGCCTATGGAGACGAGGGATTGGAAGGCCGAAAGCAAATGCCAACTACAATCTTCAGTTTGACAAAAAAACTCATGCTTACACCCAAATAATTCTTGACAATATTGTCATTTTGGCTCACTCAAATAGTATCTCGATTCCTCTTTTTCTCACTTCTTGTTTGTCTCCCTTTTACATGAATAGGGATAAAATCAGAAAGTTACTATTTTCTCATTGTAAATTTCCCATAATTTCCATTAATAAATTAATTATTATCTATTAATTAAATAATTAATCCCATTCATAACTTTGGTCCAAAATGATTCTATGTCAATTTCTTTCGATACTAAGTCAAATTGCTCAAGAATTGAACCTTTTCGAATGACCCGCTCCGTGACAAAAGGTGCGGTCTCAAGTAGGCGACTCTGTTATTTTGGGAGATTTCACTTTGAACCAAAGAAGCTCAGCATGAAATGTTCCGGAATTTTCGGTAAATAAAACAAGAGATGTGACGAACTTGATCCTGAGTCTTTTTATTTTTTCTTTGATATTCACACGAGCTCGATAATTTTACCGAAAAGTACGAGTTTCAATATGAACTAAAGGATTAGATCGTCCTCGAAGAGTTTCTCATCTCTTGGCATCGCAAACAAAACAGAACGAAAAAGGAATAAATCTTAATCATCAGAATTATCCGAATGACTGAATCAACTATCGAATCTATTGTTATCTATTGAATGAAACATCAACAGAACAATTAAAAGTGACAAAGAGTTAATTGTTTCCAATTGACCAACAAGTAAATAGTGAATTTAAAGATGAAGGATAAGTTTGTATAAATCAGAGAGAAAACTTTTCCTTTAATAGTTTATTTCCATTCTGGTTTCATTGAGAACTGAATTGGAATCATCAACAGAATCTAATCAGATCAATCTTTCTAAAATGGAAAGAAAAAAAAATCATTAGAACTTTTTTTTTTGCAAATAGACAAAGACAAGATTATCTTTTCTCTTTTTAATATATCGATAAATCTTGTGAATTTAATTAAATGGTTAAAGCTCCATGACCAAGGAACCGGTAATATCTTCCTTATAATCTAATGAATGGCAAGAAGAAAAAGAGAAACGGTAATTTATTGATAGAAGAGAAAATAAAAAAGTTCTAAAGGAAAAAGAAAACTTTTAGTTAGATTGTAATGTAGATTTGGGTGTGTAAAGGGTGTAACATTTAAAGAAATTGATGAACGGAAGCGAATGGCAGCTTCGCAATGAGCACCCATCATTGGAAAAGTTTCTGGTAACACCAACAATGATCATCACCTGAACCATGATAATCAGCGATTAAAATCAAAGCAACCATTTAGATGATTATGCTAACCATTAATAACGAAACAATATTACTCCGAATGTATTACTTTCACTTATCCCTTGGCACCTTCACCTCTGTCCTTTTCACCCAAGTCAACCAAGGGAAACAATCATGTCAAGGATCATAGAAATTAACAGTTAATCAACCGATTGGGCTTAATCATCGAGCGGGGGTTGATCTGAGTCCAATGTAGGTGGCAGCAGAATATAAGCAAAAAAGGTTGGTAACTTTTTCTGTTGATTGTTAACAAACTTGTTTTCTTTTCATGAAACTTTTTTGTTATTATTTTCATTCACTTGTAACTTGACTACCTGAGTTAAAGGTTCTTACTTTTGATACTGTAGTTTATATCCACTGGTCAGTTCAATTGGAGATCAACAATGTATCAAACTTTGGCTATGTGATTACAATTAGTTGATTACTGTTCTCACCTTTCTCATTTGTTTTACAACAACAAAAGTTTTGGTCATTTGCTGGTCACCAACTTGTTGCTTTTTGTTGCTTTTGTTTTGTTTTGTTTATATTGATTGTTGATCTGAACTTTGGCTTTTTGGTCAATCTTGTTAATCTCCTTCTCTCTCTCTCTCTCTTCCTGATCACTTAACTGGATTAATTACCATTATTATCATTCCTTTAATTGTTCCCATTGACCCAATCAATGTATTCAAATCGATTGTGTTTCTATTTGATCATCAATTTAATCACAATTTATATTACAAATGTTGAAGCATCAACATCAAGGATCGTTAATCAAAGCTCAGGAAAGTCTGAAGGTGAGTTTGGATTAATTTTTTTCTCCCTATTATTTGATCTGATTAATTCAATCGATTGGAATCAATGATCATTAATCAATCATCAATTTCGATTAACTTTTTATCTTCAAGTTTGCAATCTAACAATTCGAATCAGTAGAAGACAAGAAAAATAAAAGTTCATTGAGAAGATTCTGAACTTGACATAGTTTTAAGACTATCGGATATTTTGACTCATCAAATGATTAGTTAATTGTTTATGGACAAAAAATAAACAATTAACAGTAATATTAGACGACATGTTTAATTATTCCAGTGGGTGTTGAGATAATTTGGAATGATGGTGATGATTTAATCTTAATTTAGGTAGGAAGATGATTAACTTTATCTACATGAAGTTTTCAACTGTTTTTTACCAATTTAACTTGATCAGTTAATTGTTGTCTTCAAACCATCTTCAGAATTGACTCATTAAAGACTCAAAGTAACAAGGTTGTAAAAGATTAAACTAATTGAAACTTTAATCGTATTCATGATCAACAAGAATCTAATTACCGTTTCATTGAGATTTAGGATATCGCTGATTGTAATTGAATAGCAGTTGATTCAAGTTATTGGTAAGATGAGACAATCTTGTAACTAAGACTAATTTAATTGCTTCAACATAACCTAAAATCTTACAACTATTAAAGAACCATAAAAATTATATTGACCAAATCAAGATGATGATGATGATTGGTTATCTTTATCATGAAATTATTATTGCAAACAGGAATTAATGTAAATTGATCTGATTTGAAATCGATAACCAATCAATCTTACTAATCAAAATTTTCATTGTTCCATCAATACCTAATTGTATTCACATTGGAAAAAGGGAAGAAAAGAAAATATTGAATTATCATCATGTTTAAATTAGGAAACATTATGATGCGAGTGGGCGAGTAATTCAAATGACAATTGAAGGTTATTTGAGAATCGAAGATTAACCTTCACAACTATTGATGATTCGATGAGAGTGGGCAAAGAAAAAGTTCTAAGTACATATAAGTGAAGAGGGTCAGGGGTAAGTGTGGGCTCGAAAATACGAAGGTAGAGGAAGAGAAAAAATATTCGACGAGAAAGAAAATAGTCTCAACTAATCGAGTTCGATACGAAATCGAACACAAAATCACATTGAACATTGTACAAACTCTTAACTTGATATTAAATTTTTTCATTCGATTCGCAACAATTAACTCAACATTTAACTCACTGATTGTAACTCAATTAATCGCATTAACCTTTTTTTTTAACCTTAGTAAATTGATGGTGATGATAATGATTGAGTGTATTCAGAAAAAAGCTTAACCACACAATAGTTAAGTCAATGGCCTGGAAAAAAAATCAAAGAAAGAGCCACAATTAAGAATGACAAAGAAATAAAGTTGAGGACAATCAAGAAACCAATCAAATAGTTGTCTCAATTTACCGTTGATTAACTTATTGTTTAATCAAATCTAATCAATATCAATGGCCATTGAGAGCAAGCTGAACAATAACAAGAATCCTCTGATCAATTAAACGGTAATACTAATCATCAATCTTCAACAATTAACCGTATTGTTAACCAACAACAAAACTAATCTCATATTGTTCAAGATTAATATTGTAACAATTAGCTGATCACCAGCCTGTAACTATAAATAATCATAATCGGAAACAGGTTAATGCTTTGAGATAAATGTTGAAATCAGTACGAGTTTTAATCCTTGATTGTAATTCAAATTATTTGTGTGTTCACATTGTGAGTGTAACAATTTGATTGATTGATTGATTAAGAAGAATAAGAAAAAAAAATGATTTTCCCATAAAAATGGTTAACCCGTTATCGATGGTGAAAAAAGGTCAGTTATCAGATTAATCTGCTATTTCAACGGAATCTTTTCTGAACAATCGCCCTGAAGATTAAGAATCAGAATGAGTCTGAGAGAGAGGAAAAAAATTTTGATATTCACAGTTGATTGAATTGAACTTTAACTGTGGACACATTGGTACAACGGTTATCATGTTACCTTTGAGGATTACAATTTATCAATCATTGTCTTTTTTGCATCATGATCATGATCCAGATTCCGTCAAGTGTCATCAGTTATTTGAACACCGATAACAACACAATCAGTTGTTCAGTTACTTTTAGTGTGGGAGGTGAAACGATAAACAGTATTTGAGATTTTTTTCCGAAGTGAAAAAGTGTTAATCATCATGATCACTGTGATGAACAAGTGGTTTACCTTGAATGATCCTTTTTTATCAAGGAAACATTCACTGAATTAAGAGATTAACTGAAAAAAAACAGTCTATCATAACCTTCAACATCTTCATCTCCATCTTCATCTTCATCAACGCTTAACTTGCTTTGTCATCAACCAAAAATGCTAATACAACAACATAAAGGGTTAACCTCTCGGACGTTGACGTTACAACGATATCAACGTTACAACGTTACTATTATGTGACTAGTTGATAATAGTTTAATCATCAATCCATCATCATCATTATCAAAATGAATTCATAATTTAACATATATTTTTTTTTCTCTCTTGTAATGGTTACTTAATTTCTGCTCATTTCTCCTCAACAATCAACAAAATTCAGAGATTAAGATTATCATTATTGGTTATCAGATTAGCTCACGTTTTTTACACGGTTCAAATTGTTATAACTATTGTATATCTAATTGATAACAATTTAACATTCAACAATCTATGGATGGATAAAGATGAAGAAAAAGTTTCCTTGTCTTGATTGATTAAAATAATACTAATTATTTCAATGGAATCAAGTTTTACCAATATTATTTAGTACATGATAACTCAATTAACTAAATTAACAGGCAGAATAATCAAATTTAAATGATCATATATTTGTATACAAAGCAAATGATTATACATTTACAAGTAATTATTGGTTATATCTTTTAATAATAATGGTTAAGTTAATTGTTGTTATTTGTTTAAAAAAGTTTAAGTTCTCTTTTTTTTTATTTACTTTCACAAATTGATTTCTCAAAACTGATATTGATAATTGATAATTGCATACTTGAAGATATAATGGTCACTAATACATGATAATGTCCATAATGGAAAACTAATTGTTAATTGTTTCTTCCGTCAATTTAGTTCAAATAAAATGCTCGGAAAGCTTAATGGAGGTAACTGTTGATGTGACCAAGGAAGGTCCAAATGTGGTCATTTACCTGGACAAGCTTAAAGGTTATCCAGGTAAGTAGTTGATACTAAGAGATTAACCGAGAGAGAGAGAGAGGAATATCTCCTTTCCTTTCCTATCTACACTTCTCTGGCTTTTAAATTGTTAGTTAATTGCTGTTGATTATCTGATTATCATTTAAAAAGGTTGCAAGTTACTTTTTCCCCAGAGATTTTTGTCTTAGGTCAACCGAGAAGCAGAAAATGACTTTAAACTTGTTTACCTAATATTCAGTAAGGTGAAAAATGAATCTTACTTTTGTGTCTACCTTTGTTTTTGATTGTTGTTGTTACAGGTAATTAATTAATTCTGTGAACTAGATGAATTGCTTGGGAACGAAAAGTGAAACACTAAAAGCTACTAATTTGTTCAATTTAAGGGGAAAAATAAAAAAGGATGAGGATGGAAAAGTGATCATGTATTTGTGTGTATATAAAATGTGAACATTATCAAGGAAATTTAGAAGAAAAAAATTCATCTACTTGTAAGAATTTTCTTATTGATAATTTCAGGTATTTTTCTGGTGATAATTTTGGTTGGTAGTTTTTTCTGCTACACTACCTGTGAATTTCTCAATTCAAGAACGATACTTGATGGTGATAATGATCATGAGTAATTGTGACACAAGTAATAGTTAGGTGATGATAATCACTGAGAAAATGAAACATACACACAACAGAAGCATAAAAAAAACAGATTAGTGAGATTGTTCAATTCTGTAGAAAAGTTTTTCATCTCTTCCTGTTTCTGATAATTGTCATGATATTTTTCTGGTCTTTCGATTAGAACTTTTTTTCTCCTCTCTTAACTTTTAAATCGACCAGGAAAAAGACTCCATTGTTTTCCATGTGTATTGACCATGCACTTCAATTAGCCTATGGATTAGAACTGTTATTCTGGTTTAAATTAGCTGATAATTTGCATATAATGACACAAAAGGGTAATGGGAAAAGTGTTAATAAGATTCACTTTGAAATGATATATAATGAAGGATGAATCTGAATGCAAGTGATGGTGATTAGCATGATGATCATTTTGATGATACAACAAAACAAACATCAGACAAAATTAACTACATTTAAATTGTCAAGTTTACAGTCAATTTAAGACTTTTGATTTACTCGCAAAGTTTATGATCGTCTTCAAGTCGTTCAATCCTTGAGTCTTTTTCCAACTCATCATGATATTATATTCACCTTGTCAGGTAAATTAAAGAGAGAGAGAGAGATAATGATAAAATCGCTAACACTTTTGATATTGAACAAGATTGAGTTTTATGATCCATGAGGAAGATGAAGAAGAAAAAAAAATTTGTATCAAAGTGACGAAAATGATGGTGAATGATTATCTCCATTGGAACCAACATGTTGATATGTTATCGTTATGATGATGAGTTGATAATTCTTGAAAATGATGAGGATATTTTCAGAGGAGAAAAATAAAACCAGTCTTTTGATTGAGAAGCAAATTGATGATGATGATGATGATGATGTGCATTGGATGAAGGAGGAAAGTCTTTGAGTTCATTAGCATTTTAGTGAATTGAGCGAGTGGAACCAACCATAGGTAAAAGGGAGAAAGGGAGATAGATTAACAAGATGAGGAGGAAAAAGAAACAGGAGAAGAAGAAGAAGAAGAAGATGATGATGATGATGATGATTATGAACAATTGAAAGGTAATTTCCTAGGTGAAAAAATGAAGGAAAGATTAAATTTCGTCAATAAAGTTTTCTCTGTACCAAGAAAATCCTCTTTTGCATGCAAGTTGAAAACTCGTTAAAGACAAAAAGTAAACAATGAGAAATTAACATTAAACAATTGTGACAAAATGAATACAACCAAGTATGACAAATGGATTGAGAGAGAGATTAATTCATGTGTAAAAAAAAGACTCACATGTTGAATAGATTAACGATCAGGGGAAAAAGTTAAGAACAAAAAGAAAAGGAGAAAGAAAAGTTCTCAAAAAATCACTTTCTCATTAATCGTTATTATTTTGATTCGTCCGACGATTTGTTCTGTTGTGCTTATTAGATAGAATTGAATTAAAAACGACCAACTCATCAACTATCAACTGTTAACCAGCTACAATACAGGGAGATTAGTGAAAAGGATTAAGGTGATAGAGATTATTTTTGAATAATTGAATAGCTTAATGTCCATTGTTGGTAAAAAGAGAATAAGAAAACTTTAAGAATTGAAAGTTAACGTGAAAACTTTTGAAAGAGTAAAAATATAAAACGAAAAGTAGGAGTGAGAAAGGGAGCTAATCATTTAAATGATTATGTAAATTGTGATGATGCAACAACGAGTTAATAAGTTAATTGTAAACACGCAATCAAAACCATTTACGAAACAATTTAAATTTACCCTTTGTGATGAATGTTACTTTTTCGTCCGATTCTGATTAGGCTCAGCGTTCTGAGCCCCTTCATCTGAATCTTGAGGCTTTTGAGTTACATGCTTTTTTCAGGAAGAAAATTGTGATTAAAAACAAAGACAAAAAGATGATAATTATTATGATGATGATGATGATGAGGATGATGAAGATGATAAAAAGCTCTTTGAATGTATATTAATAAGACAAAGAATCACGTCAGCTCCTTTTGTTGGATAATTATCTCTTCTTTGTTATTAGTTATCTTTTCAGGTTAAGAAAATGTGAGTGGACATCAAGTTAGAAAAGTAAAAGTTGAATGATAACAAAGAGCATTTATCTTCAATCATCATACGAGATAATCTACTGTTTGTGATTTACAGTCTATGATTAAGATTAAGAGGATTTAAAATTGATCACGATTTGAATCTTGTTTTCATTTTAATTCAGTCACAAGAAAGTAAAAGTAACATTTACACATGAATGTAATGAAAATGATTCGCGATTCTTATATATATATATTGTATTTGCTTTCCAATGATGACCTTTCATGATACACTTTGGGTGTTGATCTTATAAATATTTGAATTGTGTTCAATTTATTTTCAATCTTTTGAAAAAGTTTCATTCTTTTCATGATTAATAAATTAGCATCAACCACTTACCATGTTTGTTGATTGTAAAATTTGTTATCAGGAAATGTAATAAACTGACATTTCTGTTGATTTGTTGACTGGTGTATCTTTATCATCATGTTATTGTGATTATCTTCATTTGACCTCCTCCCTCTTCATCATCATCATCATTTCAGGTAGAAAAGGTAAAAAAAATAATAATATCTTTTCATTAAATCGCTACAGGGTAACTCAAAATACTTTTCGTTTTTACTTTTTTTTTCTTGTTCAGATTGAAAAAAAAAGGAAATGAACAATTGAGTTATGGTAAGAAAATTATTCTGAATAACATGAATAGAAACTTGATATTTGTGATCGTTATTGGTATTATTTATATAATTAATTCGTTCGTCTAATTAACGTTTCAAAAAAAAGGTCAGAATATAATGATAACTAATTGTGCTTTTAGAACGAAGCTAAAACTTGATGATTAACATTTTCACTAATGATTTTCGGTATTGTTTTTGGTCATTATTTGCCCTCTACGAGAAATTATTTGTCTTTTACCGGCAATAATAAACGTCGCTCTTATGTAATTAATATGCTTCTCATGTAATTAACTTTTTCATAATTAATACTTGTAACAGTTGACAGAAAATTATAACTAACGAACATTAAATTCAACAGAAATTAACAAATATCGTTAGCATAGTTTTCACAATCTTAGGTTATTATTAATATAAACACTTTGACTTGACTGATTGTTGCTCTGGATAATTTTCTGTTTATTTAATATCAACTTTGTTGTTTTTACAAATTGAAAATTAAGTTGAGTGTTTGTGATTGAATTGAACAGTTACTAAATTGTTACCATTGTGCCAATTAATAGGGTTATGATTCAGTTAACTAAATGATATGGTTTGAGGAAAAGGTGAGATGAGTTGAGTAAAGGAAATGAATAAAGAAACTCCCAGAAAAAAGTCAACAATGAAAGTTTTAATGATGAGCAAGGTGAGAGAAGAAGATGAGAAAATGGTGATGAAAAGTAGCCAGGAAAAGGAAGTGAACGATGGGAAAGGAGTGAGAATAGAGATGAGAGAAGGTCGAAAGGGCAGAGGATGAAGAAAAGGGTCTGACAACCAGAGGAGTTCTTACAGTTTTGATTCAATGAAAAGTTCAGTGAGTGAAAGGTGAAAATATTAATATAAAGAGAGAGGAAGTGAGGAATATGAATCCTCAAGAATTTCAAGGGTCAAAGAGCGAAATTATCATGAAAAAAGAATCTGATTACTTTTCTATCTTCAGATATGAAATAAAAATTATACGCTTTCACTATCTAACTAATGGGTAATATTCATCTTAAATTCTGAATTATTTTCTATTAATATCAGTGAATTGAAAAGGAAAGATAACTTTTCAATGGAATCTCTTGTTCCATGATAAAAGGTGAAGGTATCATGATGATTTATGTAGATAAAGTCATGATGATAACGTTAAAATAACTGTTTACAAAGAAGTTGCTTTTTTTATTTAATATCCAATTTCATGATATTCTCAATGAGATTAAGGTAAAAGTTGATATAACTGAATAAACTTGAATATCAATAAGAGATGAAAGAAAATGATTGCGAAGATAAATGAAAAGCGGAGGAGGAAATGATGGAAAAGGGTTTTCCCTTTTAGAACTGATTGAAAGATTGAAAGTGAACAAAGAGAAATTGATGAAAAAGATGAAGATGATAATTAAATGATGGTTAATGAAGATAAAATGATGAGGATCAAGAAGGAAGCCAAAAATGACCAATGCAAATGATTTGCTTTTGATTAGATAAACCTGAAGATAGAAACAGTTTATTATTTGACCGTTTCAATTGAATGATTATATTAGTTGATTGTTACCCAATGTCAGTTGAATTATCATCACATCAATACCCTGAATTGAACATCAACAGGGGATGTTCATTGATGGTTTAGGTGAATAACAAAAACACCAATCATCAACTTTGACACAATAGATTTTGTTAATCCGTTGAAACGGTTTTCATGGTGACAACGTTTTCTATTCACAATCACAATCATCATCGTAATTATCTTAATCATCTTATTTTCCTTTTGACCACAAGAAAAAAAAAGTTCACAATTTTCAGCGAAATTATCAAAAGAGTGACTTTTTCGCAAGGTTATCTCACCTTAATGACATTGACAATATCTGATTATCCAATCTAATTGCGTAGTGAGATGCACGCTACTTGAGGAAGATCGTTGATTACATGATGACAATTAAATGTTGATTATATACCAATACACAGGTCACACAATCCGAGTTTCAATTGATTATTTTCACCAAGAAAATTAAACATACGCAATAATCATATTTCTTAATTCACTTGACAAGATTACTCTCTTTTTCATCATCACATCACATTCTGAATTACATTGGGTAGCAACTTCCTTTTTTCCTCAATTCTATTTCCTCTTACATCTTAATCATCATTCGTTTGTTAATTTTTTGTTTTCTTCGCAATCAGTTGATTGCTTGCACTTTTTTTCCCTCTCTTCTCTCATATACAATATCCATTTCTCTCTCTCTCTCTCTCTCCCTCTCATCCATCATCATTTTCATGTTATATAATTTTTCCTTATAATCATCTCATCTTAATCCAATTTACAGGTTGTCATCCCGAATTAGTTAACAATAAAACTGTTTTCCGGCTTCCATTGGATGATAACTTTTATACCTGTGGAACTACTAGAATACAAAATAAACTAAAGGTAATTTAATCTTAATTGTTGACAATTATCGATGCAATTTACTTTCATTTTTTTCCTCTCTTTGATTGAGTTGAATGAGAAAACGTGATAGTTGCTAAACAATTCAAAATAATCAACAATTAACTGTTGATTAACCAAGTCGAGTATGATTAACTTTTTTTTTCTCGACGGATCTAAAATATTGTTTCGTCTAATTGTTGATGAAATGTTTACAATTAAATGTATATATGATTATATCATCACTCATGATGGTACATTGAGCTCATCAGAACTTGATTGTTTTCTTAATTGTCTTGTTTATATTAATCAACTTTCGTTTCTGTTATTAACTTGTTCAGGATGTTCGTATATTTTACAATCGAGTTATAATCGAGAAAGCCGATAAAACGGCGGAGGTCATTATTCCAAAATGTGTTGTTCGTAGCGATTCGGCTTACCGGTTACCTAGAGCTCGACGACAGTCCGGTAACGATTGGGAATTACCCGAAAATTTTACAGAATCAGTAGAGTAAGTAAATTGTTAATTGAACCATCATAATTATTTAAGTTACCAAAATGAAAGTTAATTGATTTTCTGTGAAATCTATTTAATTGATTTTGATTGAATCTTAGAAACTCAATCAGCCGTTTTGATTGAAATATAAAATAAGTCAATAACTTTTACTTTTTTTGCACTTTTTGTTTCAGAGAATTGATTGATTACAGTGGTAATATCACCGAACATGCACCAATACCTTATCTTAATATTGGAGTTCGGCAGAATGGAAAGTTCGTTGATACCCTTGAATGTCCACCCAGGAACTCCCCTGGAAATGGTCATCTATTTGGACGATACCAGTGCTCCAGTTTACGGCCTATTGGCGAGATATCTCAAAGTCACCGACAACACTCAGAGAAAACAAGAAGAGACCATCATATTAGAAGGGTAATGAATTTAACTAATTGCGATGATTTTACTTCTCTGTTATTATCCACTAATTTTAACAATTTACTAATTGTTGATTCTGATGATTTTCTTTTGACTTAGATGTTCAATTGATCCTTATATTTTCTCGAACTTCGAATCCGGTGATGGTGGGGATTCGATCGTTGCCAAATTTCGAGCATTCAAGTTCCCTGAATCAAATTATGTCCTTTTCGTTGGAACTGTGAATGTTTGTCTTAAAGAGTGTCAAGGAGTAAGTTAACTAATTAGCAAAAAATTATAACTACGGTGACAACAATTTACAGAATCTTATAACAGTTAATAGATAATACGTCCATCTATCGGTTTAGTTTACAAGTATTTTCTTAATAACTTTTAATTTTATAATTTCAGGTGATTTGTGGAAACAATCAGCTTGGATATGGTCGTCGTCGAAGATCAATAATTAACAACAGCCAAGATCCAAATAGGATATTCGAGATTGAAATGACCGCTTTTCTCAAAGTTGACTCTCTAGAGATGGACAATGGATCGGTATTGAAAGGTAATCAAAAATCAAACAGTTTTCGTCAATTAAAATGACGAAACAAAAGCAAATTGAACAATTTTATTGATTCATTTTCTACTGAATTTCAGGCTCAGCAAGATTTGGCCAAGATGGAGATGATAAGATGCTAAGTCGCCGAGTTGACAATAGACATGAATCAATATTAAGCGATAACAAGTTCGAATCTCGTTCTTTGCCTTTACTCGAACCTCTGAAAACAGATCGACGAACAGAATCAACCAACAGTCGCCTACAAACTTCATCAGGAACACAATTAACAAACCCATTGACCACAATACTTAAAACACTAACTCTCAACTATCTCGCTCTAAACTTATTGTATATAATCAGCCTAAGGCTGTAATTAACTGATAATATATTTTTTGTACGTAAATAATAATGTGAATGAATATTTTTCCACCTCCACAACAGTTCAAAGAAAACAATTCGGTTTTAACTCTTCTCGAAACATTTCATGATTGTGACAAAGTTTCTCTGATTCTTCCGAGGCACTTTCTCAATTTCCGATTTTCGGTTCACCTTTTAATTATTAATTATCCATGATTGTCACCACAATGTGAGAAAAACACTCCCAATGATCATTCTTGTCAGGCTTATAAAGATCATCAGCACAAATTAAACTAATTTATTTTTCGGACAACTCATCAACTGAAAATCTCAGAGACATACAGTATATTGTTGAACTACTCAGAATCGTGACTGGATTTTGTTTAGTACTAAAGTCAAGGTCGGAGATCAGGTCACCAAGTGATATTCAATGTTCGAAGTGAACTTTATTTTGTGATTGGAAAATTGATAAAATGATTACTGTGAACTCCACAAGCGAAAGTGTTTATCAGTCTTAAGAATTATTATCTTGCAGTTATCCCGAAATCGTTCATAAAAATACAACTCGAAATTGATAGAATAAAGAAATTTGTTAATTTAATTTGATGGTTTGAATCAATTAAGAAAAAGTCAATTTACTCAATTAAACTATTATATTGATAGAAATTAAAGAGGAGACTCTTTAATCATAATTTATTTACAGAATGGACACAAAAATACAATTAATTAATTTCTGTTCGTGTTTTTTGTTTTCTTAATTGTAAAGTTGATCTGATGAAGGCGATGGCAGGATTTTTTTTGCATGAAATTGGATTAATCCACTATAATTAGAATTGATCTGATTGGTAATTAGTAGATTTTGACATTAATTGTATTACAAAAGTTTTGGGATTGGAAAAGTTTCTGATTGTATTACAAGGGGTTTTAAGAGACTAATTGTCAATAAGAAATATTAATAATTGAAAGTTGTTAAAATAATTATATATTCAATGAAATAATGTTACAAAATAATGTCAACTGAGAAAGATGAAGTTATCAAGATGACGAAAATTATTTGATAAGACTAATTATCATCATCGGATGCGGAAATGATGAAGTAAAGCACTTTTGGTGAATGTCAATTTGTTTGATGATATCAACTGATGATGTGTTTACAATTAAATCAAAAGAGATGAGCAGTAATTTAAAAGATGATGATAGTGAAGATGAGGCGATGATTAATTAAATCAATGAAGAAAAGGACATTGATTAGATTGATTTTTGATGCTGAGGAAAATTAAGAGATCCATAAATGATAATGTTCAAGATGAATTGAGATTAAGTTTCAAAAAAATTGCTTCGATTATAATTATAATTGAATCGAATTTGATTTTAACATGAATAACTTTCTCAGTTTACGATTAATTGTTGATGATTTAAGATGTGATCAAGATGAAAATTAGAAGAAAACTAAACAATTATCTATGCAGATCCATTCTTTAATTGCTCCTCTCCAGGCTTTTCATCATCGTAGGTCTATAAATTAAATCAAGGAGAAATCAAATTATTAATAGATACCAAATATAATATAAAGTGTTGCGAGGCGATTTTAATTGTTAATCTCTGTCAGATTAGTTAACTACCTTATATGTTGGATTATCATAAGCTGCTTCTGATGAAGCTCTTGTAATTGCTGCTTTGGCACAAGTTTTGGTTTTCATTAGGACACAAAGTAAGGTAACGAATCCGATGCCCGTTATTATGGCGAAAACAGCGACAATCATTAGCGCGATGTAATAAGGCTTAATTGCGTCACCGGTGCTGCTTTCTTTGAGAGCTTCGGCTTCATTGGCTATTTTGTAATGGAATAGAAATTATTAAAGATAAAATTAGAAAATTGTTCATCTTTCGTTGTTGATATTCATTGATATTATTTTTTGAGTCGAAAAATTTACCTGAAGGATCATCATCTCGATTCTCTGGAATTACATTTGATAATTTGGTTCATCTTTCGTATGGAAAGTGACAGTGTCCGTTGAAATTGTCGCACCATTGGCGAGGTAAAGGTCAATCCAAGCTTTGTACCTGTTGTTTGGACTTAGTCCATCGACGATTATGGTTCCATCTTCTGATGGTGTTTTGAACATATGAACCATTTTGTTTTCTAGTCCTTCTGAATTCGCCTCTCGGAAATTGACTTTTACAACGTTAACATATTTATCAGTTGGTCTTGGAAGACCTCGAAGTTTCATCATGGTCCGATAAGATTCAGGGGTCACGTCGACTGACGGTGAGAAATCAAAATCATTTCGAGGTCTCGAAGGCATTTCTATGGTAACTGGTTTAGCCGAAAGTAGTTGGCTTGTTAATCCTTGAGATGGACGAAGAATCAGATCAATAACGTAAGTTGCTCCACTTCGCAGGTCACGTAACGTGTATTCGTTTACATCTCGGTGAATCATCGGAGTAACTGTCCATTTATCGAAAGGATCACTGGTCAAACGATATTTAATTGTTATTCCATCGATCAGAGATTTTTCTTGTTGATCTAAATTTCTCCACGATAATCTAACACTGGTTCCATCGATCGCAAGTGCTTTCAGATTAACATCCATAGTCACTTGTGGAGGTAAAGTCGATGAAGTTGTGGGAGATATCGAGGATGAAGGGGAGCAGATGATGAGACAGATGAATGAGAGCCAATTAAAGTTGAACTTGTAAGTGGATATCCATGTGATCCTGAAACCGAAGATCCTGGAGCTGGTAAGTATAATTTGTAAACTTGACTCTCAGGTCCAGAATGAAGAGCTTCAATCAGAATTCGGACTTGGAAGTAATAAGTTGTGTCCGATTTAAGGCCACCTAAGTGATATTCAATGTTCGCAGTATCAAACAGTCGCTTAGGTCGAGCAAACTTTTGAACGTTCCATTGGTGTCGAGGTGTCGTTGGATCGACGGTGAAATGGACCTCAGCATGTCCAATAAGACCAACAAATAGAGATGGAAGAGTAAATCGTATCCTAACTGCCGAGTTATTCATGGCAACAACACTCACATTTTCCAATTCTTTACCTGAATCAAGTTGACAAAACAATGAAAACAATTAGTTTATTGTGAAAATTGATTGATTTTCAAGTCAAATTAAACTCACCAGTTTCTTCTGAGTAATTACAAATTACATATGGACAAAGAATTGGATCTTCAGGTGATATTAGAATAGGAAGAGGACATTCAGCTGATGGCTTCAAATGTCGTTCAGTGATTTTGGGACAAACTCCAGCAAAACAATCAACTTGTGGTTTTCCCAAGGGCGGAGTAGGTTTACATTGACATCTTCGTCTTGGACCAAGAATATCACCCGCGTTTACATCTTCCCATTGATCACCTACTTTGTAACGATTCCCATTGTGTAGACAAAAAGCTATTATACATGAAGGAGAGAAGAAAAATATTAGTAATGATCAATTTAGGTAATTAAGTGAAATCAAGATGATTAATGTTTACCTGCTCTCTCTGTATCACGACACATCCAATGAAGACAACAATCTTCACCGGGCAAATGTCCTCGATAAGCCAATGGAGGTGGACAAGGAAGATTAGTCGGTGGAGTATCGGGAATTAGTGGACATCGATTCTCACAGGTTACATTTGAATTCATGCAAACACATCGAGTGCCACAAGGAAGGAGTTCACTAGGAATTGGTTTGAAATTCGGGAATCGCAGGCCAGCAAAGATACAAGAACCGTCGTTTTTACAGGTCGGACGTGGACAACAATTTGGAGGAGAGGGAATGAAATTAGGATCCAATTCCCAATCAAGACATTCTTCATTCGGAGTGTCAAAGAACTGAGGACAGTTCAAGGGAGCACATGAAACTTTGCCGGTGGGCAAACATTCACAAACCGATTGACAGCCGTCGTTGAATTTACCAATAGGAATCTTTTGACCTTTGTACAAGCAAAGACCAGGGAAACTTTCAGCATTGGGATAAGCTGAACGATCAGGAAGATGCATGGTGGTGGTAGAGACTGTTGGGGTTGTAGTTGGTGGTGCTGGTGATGAGGATTGATTTTGTTGATCTTTTGAAGGTAATCGCTCAGGTTCATCAACTGAATGGTCACAAATTAAGTATGGACAAAGACAGGCATCACTTGGGTTAACGATATGAGGCTTGGGGCAACTTGGGGTGGGTTTAATGGCATTAGAAGGTATTGGAGGGCAACCGCCATGACATTGGGTTGTTGTTGTACCATTTGCACGTTGAACACATCGACAAGTTTGTTTGAGACACCCACCGGGTCCAGACTCATCCCAAGCTTCACCAATAAAGTGAAGACTATTATCCTTTCCAAGACAAAACGGTTCAACTGAACCAGGTAGAGATGGTGGTGGATTTACTGGTGACGAAGTTTCCGACGTCGGTGTTGATGGTGAATTAACACTAGGCTCATTACTGTTATTATCTATCGGACTCTTAGGTGGCTCATCATATTTCTCAGTTTTCTTTGAACAATCGGGAATCTTGCAACAAGGATCTTCTGGCGATGCGATCCATTCACACTCTTCAAATCCAATCGTGTCGATATAAATTGGACAACGATCATCACAAGCTCGAGTTCCCCCCTTTTCACAGCGACATTTATAGTCACATCCATCATAAAATTCATCGCCCACTTGATAAGCTTTATTATTGAAAAAGCACCCATTGAATGAAGAGTCAACACCAACTGGGAAAGTTTTAATAAAAACTGTGTTCGAGGTCGAGTTTGATCTAACCTCTTTAACCTCTACGAAATAATCAGTGTTAGGAGATAGACCATTGAAATCTATTTCAAACATTCCTGGTTCCAAGAGTTTCAGATCATCTTCCGATACTTCAACCGATGACCAGGCTCGATTAGAAGACATTTCAATGGGCGAAGGTGACGATGAGATCATTTCCGTATCAACTTTCGAGTATCGAATTGAGAAAACATGTTTAGCTTTATGATGAATAGAATTGGGAATAATTAACCTAAGAACCATGTGAGATGAATTGGTTACAGTCGCTGAATCAATGAACAGTTCAAATGGTTCCATCTTTTTAATTGCTGGAGATGGGGACAGTTTTTCCGTGTTACAAACAGCGATCTTACAACATTCAGGATCGTCTGGATCGGGAATGAGCGAGCAAAGTTTCTGATTATAACCATGGAATACGGGACAGCGAGGTGCACACTGTAAGCGATTTCCCTCCTTACAAATACACCGAGATTCACATCCATTGACAAAAGATTCACCGGGTTGATAAGTGATGTTTTCATAACGGCAACCAGATACTGATAAAGGTCCATCCACTGGAATAGTTTCCCAATGTCACCATTTTCGTTGTCATTGTCACTATTGAAAAGCGATGATGAATTCACTTTGACCACATCAACTGGTTTCGATTCACAGGCCATTGTTTTACAACAAGAATCTTTTGGATCTTGAATGATGGTGCATAAAGGGTCAACGGTTGTCACTGGTTCTTCTGAGCCGATAAACGGACATCGTGGATTACATTCAACTTCTAATGCTTCTGAACAAACGCATTTGAATTCGCAGCCATCGAAAAACTCTTCACCGGGTCCATAGGTTGAATTCTTGTATTCGCAGATCAAATTTGATCGACCATTAGACTTTCGGCAACCATTTACTGAATCGAAAGGATCTCCTCGATATCCTGGTTTACAGGCACATTTTGGTGGTTCTTGGTCACTTCGGGTATCAAGACATAAAGCATTTTGACCGCAAGTAATAGTTTCACAGCGTTTAGATGATGGCGGAGATCCAGTGTTTACTTCAGAGCAAACGGAGCCACCACAAGAGGTTGGACAACATTTGTCCAAACCACGACAATGATAATCATGTTGACACTCTTCGAGACAAATGCCAGAATCACTACGAATCTTGGTTGGTTCGTAACAATATCCTGGTTTATCTGAGAATGTTAATTCTGTCGATCCTGAAGATGATGGAGTAGATGAAGATATTGACGGTGACGATGAAGATGAAGATACGGATGGAGCCAAAGTCGAGGTAGAAGAGGGTGATGGTGATGACATAGAAGATAAAGTTGGAGATGAGTATGTTGTCTCTTCAGATGAATTAGTGGTTACCGACGGAGGTGGATCACTTCGAGTTTCAATACAGGTAATGGTTGAACAACAATCGTCAACAGCAGCCTCACTACAAGATGGATCTATGTTACTACCAATGAGGATTAAAGGTTCTAAACAAACGGCTTTACAGAACCAATTGTCACCCGATTGACAAGTGCATCTCCATTGGCATCCATGGGTTATTTCCTTGCCCACCGGGAAAGTAACATTATCCTTATTCATGCAACCATCTTCAGTAGTAGCAGTTATCATCTCAGAATGATCGGAGGAATCAATTTTCTTATTGTTCTCATCGAATGGATATTCCCAGAGGCTGATTCGAATCAAATAACTTAATCCAGGTCTTAATCCTTCCAATGTCCAAAAAGGTGTATTATTACCCTGAACTTGAATCCAATTACCATCAGAATTTGTTGTATCATTGGCAGAATTTGATAAAGTGTCATTAACAAGTTTATATTCAATCACGTAGCCCGATTCATAATTAGGTAACTTGAAATCATCCCAGGCAATGGCGATTGAGGTTCGAGTGCTACTTGTTATCAGAACCTTCGGTCGAGCTTCAATTGTTGGCTTTAATTCATCTGTAAATCAAGAAATAAACAATTGAATGATTAGTCAATTCGTTCGTGAGAAAATTGTCAGATCTATGGAAATCGTTAGATATCATTAGAGTTAACAATCAATACAAGAGAAAGTTTATTTTCATTGCCAATTGGCTGAAAAGAAAACCACAATTTATATGTTGATGATTGTATTTCAATCGTTCACTGATTTCTGATGAGAATCTCAATTGTTACATTAAATCAACCAAATTACTTTTCGAGCCAAAAAAAGTTAACCTTTCCTAATTGTAATCATACAAAATAAGATATAAAATAATAATAAAAAGGTGATGATGATTATAATCCAATCACTTTGAGAAATCATCGTCAAAATAATAGTAATCAAGAGTTAATTGTGTGAAATTAAAAGTGAAATACATTTTTACACATTCATGATTCAGTGATAAACAATGAAAAAAAAAACTTAATTACAATAACGATCAACTTTTCTGACCCTTAATTGACAAAAGGTTATTGACAGATTTAATCATTATAATCAAACCTATTGATGAATGATCAACACTTTCACAATTTAAATGTAATGATAATTATTTAGAAAGGGTTATAATTAAAAACGATTAATATTGATTGTGATTAATACCTTCACATTGATAGATGAAACAACATTCAGGATCTAAGGGATCAGGTTTTTGTTTACAATTTGGATCACCAATTAACTTTGATTTAGTTGATTGTGAGCATCTATCAACACATTTAATTGTTGAATTAATTTGACAGGTACAATTTTGATCACAGGAAATATTGAATCGATCACCAACATTGTAGATTGATGAATTATGGAAACAACCATCTAAATATTTGAAAAGAAAAGGAAAATGATATTGAAAACAATTAGTAATTAGCAAGAAACAATTAACTTAAATAATAGAATCAAATGTAAATTAGTAGTCATTGTAATACAAATGAAGTGGTTTAATTAGTTGAACACATTGATTAGCTAAATTGTGTTAATAGCGACTAGTTAACAGAAAACAAAACAAAAATGATCTGGATTATCATGATAATTGTTAACTAAAGTATAACAATCAAAAGTTAATCCAGTTATTATTATTATTTGTTAAGGTTAATTATTAGGGAAGAAAAGTAAAAAAAATAAGATAACTGGATTACTTAGGATTAATTAAATTGTAATGTTTTCTTTTTGAGTTGATTTAACAATTAATTCATCTTTACACTTCCGTTGATACTTGAATTTTACTTCCGCTTGATTGGGAATGCAAAAGATGATGATGATTATCATCATGTGTGTATAATGATGACAAGTATCATGTTCATCGTCATTTTAATCATGAGTATCATTAAAAAAAAAACATTTCATTCACAATTGTGAGCATTTAAATGGCAAAAATGATGACAATTAAAATGCTACAACTTTAACTACTACTGTTAATTATATTAACAGTAATTAACTGAACACATGATTAAAAGGTAAGGTTGGAGAATTAATTTTTTCTCTGTTTTTCCTTCATCGCTAATTGTTATTAATTAAATGACCTTAGGGTTAAGATCCTAAATATCAACAGAAAAAGTGGATTATTGTTATTGAGAGATGATTAGAATCATAATCACGTTCTGTTCATTGAATATATTTTGGAATGAGAGTTAATTGCGATGATTAATTTAAGTAATTATTCAAAGTCAAGTGTCAATCAATTAATAAGTAAATTGTCCGATAATCATGCTTAAAATTAGGAGAGAGAGAGAGAGTAATTAATTCAGGCGAAAGGTTGGAATCGAGATGATTTTGCTTTTCTTGACAATTAAATTAGCTTCCTATCGGCTACTCATGTTTAGGAATCTGAATCGTTCAAAAAAATGAGAGATAATCTTGGATATCCTGAAACGATTAGGATAATGATCTTGTGATGATTGTTTGATGTATTCAGAGGCAAATAATCAAAATCATGATCATTATCATGATAATATTAACCTTTAGTCTCCACGATTAGGGTTTCATTCATTTTATCGTCTTCCACTTTAACCAAGTATTTGCTGTTTGGTCTCAGGTTTTCAATGATCGCTGATCCCGTTGATTGATCGGAAGACAAACCAATCTAAATGTTGATTGAGAAGAAAAAAGAAGATGATTAGTTGATTAGATAATTAGAATAAAATCATTAACGGAATAACTTGACTCTCTTTTTCCATATAACCTGTAGCTCAATTCTTGAATGAGAATCTCAATCAATGAACTTTATTAGAAACATCATATTATTTATATTCATCATTAATTATTGCATTTTAATTTTTCTTTTCTCCCTTTAATTAGTCATATTTTGGATTTACTTTAAATAATCTCAATCTAAACCAATTGGAGTGTAAGATTAAGCAACAAATATTACAATTAAAATAATTACGCCGCAAGGATATTGTTACATTTGGAAACTAATAAATTGACTCTTTTTGACTCTTAATTGTTGATTAAAGGGATAATTATGATTAAGATGATACAGAAACAATTGAATTGTATGAGAAACAATAACATGGAGCTAAAAAAAGAGATTAACTTGAAAGAAAATGTTGAGTTCAACTTAATTTTAGATCAACTGATTATTGGATTGAAAGGATTAACGAAATGATTGATAATGAATAAAGTGTCACCTTTACTACCAATCACCACAAAATGAAACAATTATTATCTTCTCTCAAATGTAATCAACAATTGATTGCTGGTGGAAAAAGAAATCAATCAAAATGGTCAACAAAATCAATTCAATCTTTGTGGATATTGACCAAGTTGAGATAATCCAATGAGTTGTTTACAATCAACACACGGACTATTTTCATTAACAATTAACTTACACAAAGTTAGCACAATGAAAATGTTGATTCAAGTGATTTAAGATACAGATTAATTGCTATAGAAATTGATTAATTTTAAAATTGGAAAATAAATCGAACAAGAAAAAAGCATTTCATCGTTTTCTTTAACCTTATAAACACAATGAAGAAGAAACAATTTCCTTATACAAATGAATGTCTTAATAGAATTAAAAAAGATAAATAATTGTAGTTATTACTCTGTTTGAAATTGGAAGAAAAATATTTGATTGATGAGGACAAAGATGGCGGATGAAAGGGCAAAGAGAAAAGAATCTGAAAGAAAATTCTACCCTCAACTATTAATCAATTTTCTGGACATACATGGAGAGAGATAATCAAGGATTAACTGTAGAATGAGCAATTCTACAGGTTGAGAAAGAGAGAATCAGGAATACGATCAATTTAGATTGTAACAATTAAGGACTGACCTTTACTCCTTTTGAGCTCCATGGTATGTTATGACTGTTGAGTGGTTCAGAACCATTAGCGAGTAAATAATGATAGACCATCATGAGTGGTGGCCTCAGGCCATTGGTGATCGCGATCTTTTTGGGTGCCTGCCATTGAAGGGAGATGGTGTTTACCGTTGTTTTAACCCTTTGAACGAGTAATTTATCTGAATGAGATGAAACAATAGAAAAAGAGACAAAATTAATTCAAACAATTAGAAATTAATAAGACACACCGAGAGTTAATTGTCAACATGTCAATATACAACCATCGATTTTGAGTTTGCATCAATTTGTTAATCAGTTAATCATTTAATCAGTTGGAGATAAATTCAAAACAAATTGTATGTCTTGATATTGGAAACAATTAGATATCAAAATTAATCTTCAATTGATTACCATTACAATTAGTTTAAATTGATGAAATTTTGTGGCCTGTTACTTGAGACTATTTCAATCAACGTGATTGGAACAATTAAATTTTCATTTGTTTTCGTTTTTGATTTACATTGTGATAGGAACAATTAAATTAAATGATTTTCCAAGTTAAATTTTGCTCCTTTTTTTGATTACTTATGAACACGCAAACATTTGATTGTGATTTATGAATTGATACGAAAATTAGATTTAATTGTGAATCTTTAACAACTTTATGATTATAATTAAGGAATAAAAATTAAATCAGTAAAAGAAACGGTATATTCATGAAAATATGAAAATCGTAAATTGTATTAACTGGTTTTATTTAATTTTCTTACTCTTCTTTTGGTTGATTAACTTGTACCAAAAATAGGTAATTATTATTAATGAGAGTTAATTTAGTTAAATTGTTTCGTTAATAATGAAAATGTAAAAACAAATCAAATGAAAATTAACCTTTCCCAACCAATTGGTTATAACAAAATTATAACTAACCAACTAACCACTGAACATGATAATAAACCTTAATTAAAGTCTTAAACTAATCATTGATTTTTATCAACTAATGGGAAAATGATGATGATGGTTAACAGTTAAATTGCAATGATGAAAAAACAAATCAACATCAAACTCCTCGGTTGATTGCTAATCATCACCATGTTATTTTCAAAATGATTTAATAGAGAGAGAGAGAGAGAGAGATGAAGACATGGTTGATAGACAATTTATTAAATTGTTGATGCTTAACTTGTAATAATAGAAGTGATGATTTTTGATTACTAGTGTAACTAATTTATCAATCAGATTAATTGTAAGACAATCATTTGTCAATGAGAAATATTTTGTCAAGATTATCAACAATTGACAGACTGGAACCCAAAATATTGAGAAGATGATTAACTAATTGTTACATGATGATGAAGATTAATAAAAAAAAGTGGATTACAATGATGACAGGCTGATTTATGGATGATAAAGATTAAAGATATTACAATTATTCATAATGATTGATTGATTGATTGATGATTATAAAGTGATTGGATCAGATTGGATTACATTCAAATGGTAACAATTAAAATGGTAAAAGGATTTTGTTTTCTTCATCTTCTTATTAACAATTAAAAAACTCGGGCGACCAAATTATTTGATCATCACTCATCTAAACTGAACAATCATAAATCCAACTAATTTAACTAAATCATTATCAAGAAAAGTTATCAACAATATCGTCATGATTACCACGCTGGTTAACGAAATACCTTAATTGTTATCAGAAAAGGTGAAATAATCAAATTGGTGATTAGCGTTCATGAGATTGTTGGACTATCTCTAATCACGGAAAAGTGATTAAACACTTAGACACATAATGGATTGGTCAATATTTCACCTTCTCTCTTGCTTTTCTTACTTTGGCATCGTATCCATAAACTGATGCCAAGAATAACCAACATAATCATCATCATCATCATCTTCTTCATGATCATTTCATCCTCAATCTCCCTGATTCCCGTTGATGATAATCATTTTCATGGTTGATAGTTTTTTCCTCCATCAACATAATAGTTTCCTAAATTGATTCGTGTAGAAAGGCTTGGTGTTTACATGGTGAAAATAGTGATCAGTTCAACAGGTAACCCCGACTATCATTTGATACTTTATTTTATTTTCAAGCTTCTGATGTTGATAAAAAATAAGTGATGAGGATGATAACCAACAAGGATCGGTTTGTGATGGGCAAACAACCAAGTTGTAACAAAGATACCGGTCAATAAGGAGCGGTAATGGTCAGAAATTAATTTTTCTCAACTTTTTGTTTACCAATCCGGGAGTTTGATCACCACACAGTCAGAAAATAACCTCTATCAAAATACATGATAGATTTAATTAACAAGATAATGATGATTAAAAATGAATTAACGATAATATAAACCTTAAGGGCTTCAAACCTCCTTGAACATTATGAACTCTCATACAATTGCCAATCGATATGTAATATAAACATGATCAAAATCAAATTGCTCCTTTCAAAGTTAATTGAAAGATGTAAAAGATTAAACTAAAATAGTAGCCATTGATAAAACTGACCAGAACAAGTTGAAAATGTTATTCTCAATTGGAAAACAATTCAAAATGAGAAAATCTCCCGCAACTAATCAACTCACCTCTTCATCTTTCAGCTTCTTGTTTGATGGCTACTAACACGTTTTCTTATCAATGGTCATCTTAGATTCTTGTCTATGATTAAAAACATTTTCATTTCTATCAAATCTTTTCCAATTAAAGTTTAAGGTGTAAAAATAGTAACAATCAAGTTGAGAACGTGTAAGAGAAAAAATTATTACTATTCTATTCTAGTAATCAATTAACCAAGAACTTAAATCAATTCCATCAGATTGAAAAGTAGAATCAACAACTAACGGTAAGTATTAATATTTACAATCGTCATGATTAAAAGATAATCAATTCAATTAGAATTGGACTCAAGTAATCAACAGGTAACAGAGAAAATCGCAATCAAATGTGGAGGCGATCTAATTAATTGTTCTAATGAATTAATGTAATAATTAATTACAGTTAATCTTTAAATATTATGAGAAAAACTTGACTAATTTTCATGTTAATTTGTTTCATTTTTTGATCACATTATGAACGTTTTTTAATTGTTGTTTGAATCTTAAATCACCTCAACTCGTTTACATTGTTTTCCAGTAATAACAATAAATTGTGTCTTCATTGTTATAAGATTAGTTAATTTGATTTAATTGATTTATTTAGTGGTTATGCTAATCATTGATTCAGTTATTACAATAGAAAGTGATGAAATTAATACAAATACTCGTGAGTATCATGATAGTTTCTGTATGTATCATCTTAAGAGTTTTAAATTACTCTTAATTCAAGAGTTTTAATCTAAATCCTTTCTTAATCTAATTTGCTTTTCTTTTCACAATTTTCTCAGGGAAGTGGTCAGTTTATATTACATATAAATAATTTGAAATTGAGGTCAATCTGAAATGAATTAGATGAAAATAAAATGAATTTCTGTTGCTTGTTAATGAGTTTAAAGTGATTATGAGAAGGTGAAAGTTGATCTTCAGAAATTTATCACCATCAAGGACCATGAAGATGACCCGAAAAAATAAGGTGAGAACATGATGATAATGATTAACGAACTGATTAACTCGATGATAATGAAACAAACAATGAAATAATAAAAAGAATTGAAAGTTTTGGGTGAAAAAAGAAAGTAAATTAACTGAAACTCCGACATCAATTGTGATGATGGTTTCTTCGTATTCTTTTCATGGTGATTAGGATGCATAACAATGGAAAGTGTTTTCCTTTTGTATCTGATGCCTTGTCAACAATTACAATCAACACAAAATCAACGACAACAATCAACAAGATTTACTATTAAAAAAAAGGTACAAGAATAATAATAAACCATAAAGGTAAACCGTCTTGATGGGAAGGATAAAAAAAGATGTAAAAATGAAACATTTACCTGACAATTTATGTAACTATTAAATAAATGGATAAATGATTAATTATATAATCTTTAAATCATGATTATGATGGTTAACATTAAATCATTTCATCAACACCAACACTTAAACATTAACGAGAGAGTAACAATCAACTTTGATCACAAATTTACACTCTGTCCACTTTTCAATTCAATTCAATTTTTAGTAATTGTAATTAACCAGTTTGTCAAAAATTGAATAATATCTTTATAATTAAATAGTCAAGTGAGATCACCATTAATGTTTAACAAGTTAATCAATTGATTTGATTGATGAAACGCTAATCAGAAACAAAGATTAACCATTTAACAATCTTGACCTAATAATGGTCATCAAGTTTAATCTTGTTGACATTTAATGAGAAAATGTTGATTCAATTAACCAGCATAATTTAATTATTGTTTACAACGAAAATATGATCTTTCAATCAGGGAAAAGCGAAACAATCAATTAGTATTAATGGATTAAGTTGATACAACCAATTGATTAAAATGGTGTTTATCCTCATCTTAATCTAATTGTCATCGTAATTATTTTGATATAATCATCAAAATAATCACCCACTAGTTGATAACCAGGATTGTTAACTAACAACAAAACAATTTGATAATAATCATGCAATTGTAATGGTACATCAGGAGAGAGACATGGATGTAAATGAACTTGAAAATAACAATAAAACAAGAAATTTAAATTAACTTAATTGTCAATATAATCAAGAAAGTTCATCATCATTAACGGTTTTTGCTACTTTTCCTCTCTCATCATCTTCACAAGCATCACCATCACCAACATTTTCCAGGTAAATACAATTTATAAACCTCGATATGAATGATGATTTAGTTTTGATTTAGTTTCTTGCTAAACTCACGCTTTAATCAACAACAATCAAAAGGTAACACAACAGAAATGATTAAAAAATTAAATGGACACAGTTTATCATTAAGAGATGAAGATGAAGATGAATAAGGAACTTGAGGAAACTTTTTTTTCCCTGTTTTTTTTGCATCATTATTACAATTAACCTGAAAAATTGAACGTCACCAACTTAATCATGATAATCATCTTGAAGAGGATCAACAAACAATCATAATCTAAATCAACTCGTATTAACAAACATAAAGTTAATAATCCATCAAAGGGAAGGGATCAACTTCAATTTGATAGTTTAAATAATTTAACTTTGTTAAACTAAATGATCCAAGTGCTAATATTAATCA